TTCGCCCACGCGCACCCAGGCCAATATGACACACCCGCCTCCCCAATTTCCCTCCAATTATCCTTCCTCCGCCGCACAGCCGCCGGGCCTGCAGTAATGGAAGTCGAAGACGTCAAAATCGGCGCCCGAACAAGCACAATCCACGTGAAACTCCTCCAACCCTCTGAAAAGAAACCAGACACCCTAGAAATCAAAGTAGCCGGCTACATCACCGTCAGCCCGCCCAGTGCCGAGGTTGGCATCAGCGCGCCAACAGGTTGGACCCCCCAGCCCTCTGCGCCATCCGGATCTGGACCTAGGGGTCAAATCGACTTTGCAGCTTTGGCAAACGGTAAAGATGGCGACTGGGTCAAGCTTGAACCGCCTTATCCTGAATTCCGAAAGGCGGCGGCGCAATTGGAGCTTTATGGCCCCGGTAAGGGTAAGACGCAGCAGGTCAGATCGGGGAGTATGGCTATCGATCAGTGGGCGAGATTTCAGCCTGGTGGGGATGTTAAGGGACGGTGGACGGATGCGGCTATTCCTTATTTGATTGATATGTTTCCCATGGCGTTGGATGGGTTTGATACTGTTTCTGCGGAGGCAGAGGCTAAGGCGAAGGGGGAGAAGGTTTCTGAGGGGAAGGCGAAGTTTTGGTATCCGACTGTTACGCTGAATGTTGATATGAAGAAACATTTGCCGGCTGAGGGGGTGGAGTGGCTTTATTCGAGGATTGTGACTAAGGTTGTTAGGGATGGGAGGACGGATTTGGATGTTACGGTGCTTGATCAGAATGGGGAGGTTATTGCGTTGAGTACTCAGGTTGGTCTTGTTGTTAGTGCTAGTCGGAATATTGGGACGAGGAAGTTGGAGAAGTTGTAGACTTCGGTTTTCTGATGGATAGATGTATATAGGCGAGTCTCATAGATCAAAGTACATACTACTAAACATTCAATCTGGTGGGAAAGACATAAGCTATCTCGTGATAGCCAGTATAGTAGTTCATGGTATCTTTTCAGTATGTACAGTCCTGATCGCTCAACATCCATGTCTTCCAAGATTTCCAAGGTTATAACGTGGATGTAAAGTTAAACCCCCACGGCAATGGTCTAATGTACAAAAAACCTAAATATCTATTTACAACAGATAAGCTTGAAGCCACTCAAAGCTTCTCATCCGGCGTAAGGATCCAAAAAGCCATAGCCTCAGCCTTAAGAACCTTCCTCTTCGCCCACTCAAGATGACCCCCAGAACTCTCCTCATCCTCCTGCAAAGCCTGCGCCCTAACCCAAAACTTCCTCCCAACCCGCGCAACAACCTTCGTCTTAACAACCAACAACGCAGGATTAGTCACCCGCTTCTTATACCGAACATCCAACTGAGCCGTAAAGATACTCCCACGCGCATTATCACCAGCATCAGACCCTGGCCCACTCGTATGAGCCCCAACAGCAAGCGACATCGCCTCATCGATTAGCGTCGCGACGATACCCCCGTGCACGGTATCCGGGTGTCCCGAGAGCCCCGGGCTCGCGAGATCAAAAAGCATTATAATATCCGCGGGCATGGCGCTCGGCGTGGGGTTTGTCTTCGCGGCCTCGGCTTCTTGTTTTGTTGCGGGGAGCCAGGTGGGTGTTTTGGAGGGGGCTAGGGAAATGTCGCGGCGTTGAAGCGTGAGGACGTGTGGGATTGTAGTTGATGTGCCAAGTGTGGTTGCGAAGTAGCCATCTTCGCCGGTGGGCTTCATTCGGCGTGAGTCGGTTCGGATGGGCTTGTAGTCCGCCGAGGAGATTAGTGAGTTTGCCCACGGGTTAGAGCGGAAATGCGCGATGGCGGGGTCTGTTTCGGCCATTGCGGGTATCTGTTAAGGTGGGGGTGGTATTATGTATATGAGGATGGGTTTTGGGGAGGAGATGCTCGGAGTAGAAGATACAGGTGGGATTTAATGGCTGTTAAGCTCATCCACTTTTCCGAAGGGCCATACACTTTGGCCGCGGGTCTGGGAGAACCGAATCGATTAGATTAGCCTCGGTCCGGCTGCATTGGGAAGTGTGAGTGAAGATCATATCACGTGAGTATATATACGCCAGCATTCCTAGTTTGAGCAACCTTTTTTCTTTATTTATGGATAGAGTCGTGCTTATCCAAAATGAGCCGTGGGCGTTTAAATGGCGCTTTTACATTCACAGCAACGGTCCCGGGGGCGGTGCTTGATTTGGAAGAATCAACGATTCGTTTTCAACGGTTTCAAGTTCCATTTTGGGATCGGAGTACAGAGCGGTCCATGGTTAATTTATAGTGGATTACTCTCATCTGAGTACATGACTAGCAGAGAGTTTTTTGCGCAGTTTATTGCATCTCTCTTTCTCCAGTACCCTTCCACGCTTAATCAATTATGGCAGACCTTGCCAGTCTCCCTATAGAACTTCTGCTCGTGATAATAGCAAACCTAGACGGTTACTATCGTTGCATTGATCTATGCGCACTTTCTCAGACTAATCACCGCTTATATGCCATTGTTTCTGAGGAGCTTGACCGTCATCTACGCCACGCATTTTCTCCGGAAACCATACAGGGCCTTGAGAGCCACGTCTTGCAGTGGTCTGCAGAAAATGGGAAAGAAGATTCTGTTAAGAGATTGCTAAAAGCAGGAATTCACATACGAGACCACAGTGAATGTGGCACTTGCACGTCTGAACCAATCACCCTTGCAGCCAGAAACGGATACGTAAACATCGTGAAAGCTTTCATCGACTATGGAGTTGATTTCAACCAGCCTTGTGTCAAACAAGGGTGGTATGAAAAGGGATGCCACTACCAGCTGCTATAATAGGAGGGCATGAGGCAGTTGTTAGACTCTTGATTGATCACGGAGCTAGCTTAAAATCTGGGACAAATCAAACATTCCCAGTAGAGCCTTTGGCGATTGCAACGAAAATGCGCAATGTGTCTCTCGTCAAGCTACTCCTTGATCACGGATGTGATCCGCATACAGTTGACATCGAAACTTACAAGGACTATCCGACCTCTGCATGGACGACTGCTGCAACTTCAAATTTGGAAATTCTTGAGTTGTTCATCTCGAGGGGTATAGAGCCCAAATTTAATGGCCCTGATTCGGAAAATTGGTACCTGATGGAAGCGCTAAAGAGGAATCAAATCGAACTCGTCAAATTTCTGTATTATCACGGCCCTAGGCTCAAAACGCACCCTAGGCATCACTGGATTTTTGATTCGCCTCAATCTTCGTATAACTACTTGTTCGAAGTCAGTTACGCACTCACGAGACATCCTCAAGAGCTTGCATTTCTGCTCGGGGCCCTTGACCTAGATTCCCTCATCAACGACTATAGCTCAAGGCGGGCTTTGATGAAAGTTGCGACAGAGTTGGGGAATAAAGACATGATGAAACTCATTTTGGACGTAGGCTGGGCCTCGGAACACTCCAAGCTTGAGCTAAGAAACCATCTCTTTTCTGCTACTGTGAGCGGCCAAGCTGGAATAGTAAAGACGTTACTCGATTACGGCGCACGCCCAGGACGTGAGGGAACTGGAATGTTTATTTTTCAGGCAATCAGGGCAAAATCCTGTGAGATATTAAAATTGATGCTTGATCTAGAAACAGTTCCAGGTTAAACAGGCTATTTCTTGGAAATTGCCCTTGCGTCATTTATCAATGGTTCGCCAACGTCAAAAGAAGCTCTCATACCGATCATCCGGCTTCTAGTGGGGAATTCCGAGCCTGGTTCCATAATTCCTATGAGAAAATCTTTCAATCTGGACTTGGCTCAGTCTCTAGGTGAAAGTGCAGAGGTCTTGGAAACTCTGCTGAAGCCTGTCCTAGGCGGCAGACTTTTGCCGTATGATCCATTTCACGAGAGTATCTTTATAGTGGCGATTCGGTCATGCGAAGTTGGCATCCTGGAGCAATGTCTCAAGGCGGGATTTGATCCAAACTCGGTTGCTGGAACCGAATTTATTTCATTATCGTCCAGTATTCCACTAATTCTTGCCGCAACGGCGACAGATTTGGAGGGGCGAAACGAACTGGCTGTTGATCTTCTTTTGAAGTACGGAGCGAGGATCGAGCGGCAGGACCTTCCCAAAGAACTGTCCCAGTTTCATATTATCTATGAAAATAAGAGGCAATTTTCTTTTACTGCGGAACATTTGGCAAAAGCTACCCAACTTCTGCTAAACAAAGGTGCCAATCCATTCACTACTTGTTCAAGAAGTGGAGACTTGATTCCCATAAAAGAGACAATGCATGGGCCAGCAGTCGTCGTCAAGGTCTTTCTGGAGCATTTTTTAAAGTGTAACAGGGCCTTGTCTGAGATAAAATCTTTGATTGATGAAGCCACTGGAGCTATTCCGGAGCATGACTCTCTTACTTTTGAAAAGGATCGTGAAAAAAGGGCCGACTTCATATGGCGCTGGTACTGGCAAAATGTCTATCCTTGTCCTCTGGATTAGGATGTTAGCTCCGATTTGCTAAAATCAAAGTATTTGCTCTACTTGGGTCACTATACGTAGCATACTTTCCCTACAAGGTGTCCTATTCTAGGCGCAGCCGTTTTAATGAGGACGCTCAGAATCAGACTCACCGAGCAGACTCACCGAGCAGCTAAGAGCAGATCAGATAATGTATAAATAAGGCTCTAAGCACCTCGAAATAATTACTATAGCAGGGACCTGCTAGACGTAGCTATTTGACATGAAAGAGCCGTGTGTGCTAGAACCTACTTTGGAAGACAAAGGAATGGGACTTCCAACAGGCCTACATACATATCCCCAGTTTCTCCTGCCTCTCCGCCCATCTACTACCGAGTAATCTATAGAAATCACTCCCGTTCGTCTGCCACGCTCGTTCCAATCGGTTTGTTCGCCTCTTTATTACGTTCGTATTCGAGGGCTACAGACGTGGGGTGGGTGACGAGTTGAGCCGCGCGATGCCTATTTTCAAAAGACCAATAAATACGTATTTCAGTTACTTTATGGAGCAGAAACACCAACATACCTTGCTAATAGAGCTTCATACCCTGAGCGACGTGCACAGGCGAATGGCCGTCGATATCGTAGCATTGGCCTGAGTGGAAATAATCTCCATTGTAAGAGTACGTGTCATATATAAATGACTGCGTAGTGCATCCGGGCTCGCTGTAGAACGCAATTCTCTGCCCGTTACTCTTTCCCCATCCGTTTTCCTTATAAGACTGGAATGGTTGGACTGAGCCATCGCAGGCTGCACCACCATCGACGACGACATCCTGCACGTTGCCAGTACAGCCAGGACCGCTGTAGGTCAAAACCTTGACTGCAAGACTGCTTTGAATGCAGACAGCAGCGACGGCGGTAAGGAGCTTCGAAATAGTGCATTTTCAAAGTTTTTGAAAATAGCAAGAACTGTTTTCTTGAATATAAGATCGAAAGGATGATTTTGATGATATTGGGAACTGTTTGGCCTTGGTGGATGGAGGAATACTCTCGACTGAGATATGAAAGTTGTTTTATATCTACAATCATGGCACTGCTTCTAGATGTCGATCATTAGGGCGTATTATGCCCATAGAGCCTATGCAACCTCTGGATGTTGATTATCAGCTGGAGAGCGTATTCAAAATCTAGATGTCGACCATCGGAGCGTGGTAAGCCTTAAGGGCGTATTAAGCTTTAGGAGCGCAGTACGCCTTAAGAGCGTATTCAACCTCGATGTCGATCATCACAGCGTATTCAGAGGAATGTCTGATTTTAGGGATCTGTTTGACCTTGGGAGCATACCTACTCTCCCCAGTGTCTTGGGAGTTAAAGTGTGTTCGGTGTTGATTAATTTGGTTAATGTTAGCGCAGCGCGAATGTAGGAGTCATCCCAGATTACGGAGCGCCCCGTCTCGGCCCGTAGCCGTTTCCAGATTGGGGCCCCAAATCGATGAGCCATACGGATTATGATCCTAGTAAATAAGTGTCGCCAATAAATTGCGAAACACAGCCGCAAATTGAGGGTACGGGCCTGGCCCGCAAAAACCCGCACACTGATTTTGCCAAGGATATTCCCATGCGGAAATAGAAACAGCAAAATAGTAAGTGAAAACACTAAAGAAAATAAAACCAAAAAACATACAACAGCAGGGATTCGCATGTGGTCACCCGCCATACTACTAACCTGCCGGCGTGTGGCTTAAGTGCGGCTGAGCGGACGGGAAGCCCTGTTCTCCACACCCTATGGTCGTATGTACCGGAGTCACCACAGAGTAAGTTGATATAGCACACAAAAAGGGTATGATTCGCTTTAGGGAGACAAAGGTGGCTATGAAGTGGTTGAGAATCCGCCGAATCGAGCGACCACTCTTCAGCTAAACAATGGCAGGATTCTATTGGATCATCGTGTTGTTCCCCTTGGAACATTCGGCATCTTGGCACTTGCATATAACAAGAACTGCCAGTGGAAGCCTCGTGTACTTAGTACGTAGGCTGGCTAGTTATACCAATCACGTACATGCAACCGTGGAATTGGTTGGTCTACTTAGAAAGACTTCTCGAGAGAGAATTTCGCAAACATGCCTCTCACAAAACGCGTTTCCGCTTTACATCTTCTGACGCTGCTGGACACGGCTGTCTCTTGACTGCTCGTAATCGTTTTGAAGTAGGCCGACTTTTTTTCAACATAGAGCGGTGGAAGTCGATAATCAACGCCCGTCCGACCTCTTCATTCCAAAGAATGTTCTCACGGCGGAAATCGTCATGAATGATTCCCAAAGCTTGTGTTTCCTTATTCAACCTGCCAATCTCCTGCAAAAGCGACAGCTTCAGTTCCATGGACGATGTACTTTCGCCTCCCCAGCCCATGACGAGCAGGTGGCGAATCTCTCCAGCCCCATGGAGAAAGTAAATTTTTGCCAAGTCGATAGTACCGAGGAAAACAGGCACAGCCGATCCTTGAGCCTTTCGTAAGATTTGGTATACCTGTGCTTCGCGGGAGACTTCTTTCCACAGTCCAGCTGTGGTTCCCTTTCCGAGGACAGTGTAGCCATATATGGTGCATGTAAGTTTGAAGGGTTTCTTGGGAATCTGAGACCTAGTATGTTCGAAACCAATTCTCCAAAGAGGAAGCTGTGACCGCGTTGCATGTCTCCATTCCTGATGTCGCACAGAGGAACGGAATGCCATCAAGCACAGACACAGTACCCGGGCGATTAAGGTCTTCGAATATTGGAGAGTCTGGTCAATTTCTCCATCAATTTCTCTGTTTGGGTCACAGAGAAAGTAGTACAATGTGCTGAGGTTGTCGTAGAGAACACGGAGGAGGACACGGGCAATTCCAGTTGTCACATAAGAATACTCGAGTCCTTCTTGGATCATCACATGATACTCCTGGACGATGGCGGAGCAGACAACCCGCTCTGCATTGTATTTTAATTTCTCTGCATCATCCGTGGGGATCTCGTTTGATTTAACCATGTCTTTCCACAAATCCATTTTCCTTAGCCTCACGCGTAGGTTTCCACAGAAAGCTTGTGTGGTGGCTTGTATTGAGAAGGGCGCTAACGTCACCGTTGACTCGATGAATACAGAAGTGATCAGGTCTTGGAAGGCGTACGCTTGATAATTGGCATGCATTTGCTTCGCTGTCATCGCTTGGGTTGAAAAAGTTTGTGTGATTACCGAACCGGATTCCATCTCCAAGTCCGAATTCGAGTCGGGCAGCATCAATTTTACATAGTTCCGCAATTATATCATGAACATGGCCCTCCACGGCGAAGCGCTCGTAGACCTCGAGATCTTGCTCACTACTGATTGGCTGAAGGTTGAGTCCTCTCGCAAACTCTTCAAGCGAAATCAGGGGGGCAAACAAGCGTGCTGGAGCGTCCTCGGCTGGCTAAAGGTAGTTACACACATAGTTATAGATCTCTTGCTGTCGGGCTGGCAAATCCGCCCACGGTTCTAGTCGCGTCAGGCAGTATTTCCCGGTGGGGAGGGGTATTGTCCCCGTAGTCGAGCGATATAGTGTTTCAACTCTTAACGGTCGGGATAGTAGGTTATGAGAATGGCGCACGAATTCCACGAAAGTGGTCCGTCGGCTGCGCTCTCTTTCTCGTCTCCCTTCTTCCTCGGCCCGTTTACGTCTTTCCTCTGCCTCCAGAAAAAGCTTTTTGTAATCTGGGGAGCTGTTGTCAGCCACCGTCTGAGGCTCGTCGAAATGGCAAGAAAAGGAGATCGTGATGCCAGGTGCGGCGTCTAAACACAGCCCTGGCTTGTGTCACCTGATCGCATCGGCGGAATATTTTCCCGGTCATACTGTGGGAGTTGTGTCAGCCTTAGGCGTAAGGCATGAAAGCATGCTGCCTACGGTGACTATTCCAATCTTTTGCTCCAGGAGATCGTTGAGGGGAATGCTGAATGTCCAGAATAAATCTCCTGGTATCAGACTACATTTTGCTTGCGACGACCAGCCAGAATACAGATCATGCCATTTGAAATGTAAGACCGGGCAAGTGTTTAGTGATTGTGACACGATACACGCATCAGATTCAAGTTCAGTAAGCTTAAGTTCTAGGGCAAATATTGCCGCCGAGAAGCTGTCCAATTTTTGAGTCGAGCCTTCTGCAGCCCGTGGACCTTGGAACTTGATGCTGGCACTGAACAAGAAATTGACAATTAATTTATAGAGATTGCTACCCGCGACTTATTTGCTTGAACGTTTTTCATGGAGGGCATTAACTATGGCAGCAGAAAAGGTACTCTGGCAGTATGAATGGCGAAGACTTTTGATAGATCAGCAAGGCTTTGTCGAGTCAACTGAATCTTTATCATCCGATCGTGAAAATATTGGATGATCAAGATTTTGATGATGTCCGAAAGTGGCAGGATGCCAGTGCAGTTGGTCTGAATGAAGGGAATTGCAATCTCTTAGCGCGTACCTGAATGGATCATATCCAAGGCGGCTCAGACTCGTGAGGCATAATCTGTGGATCTCCAGGTACTAGTTTTTGGATGGCATTCTTCAGGAACAGCCGCAGCGCAAGTACAAGAAACTTGTGTATAAATTATGCACACTGTTGTTACCGTAAATTGAGCGTAAAAGTATCAGTCTCTTATTGGGTCATCGCATAAAATCGCTGTCTCAAATCAAGATTGTAGTACGGAGTTCTCCGTGCAAGAAGTTACTAGTAGTATGCAGGAGCGCTGACTTGGCTTCCAAGGTTGGCTCATTTCATGAATCCGTCTTGGGGGAACTCTGATTTAATATACCCGCCACGTCCTGATGCTGAAAACCAGTGTAGTCTTGCATAACATAGAATGACTCTCATTTAACCCATTATCTTGAGTTCTGCCTGGAGTACAGGCGTAAGTAAATACAGGCTTTCATCGTGACTTGGCCCCCAACTTGAGTGAAACGTACCTTTGCTATAGCGGCTGTGAACCCCTGTCTAGGCGTATAACTAATGCATACGACATCCACTAGCAGCCCCTCCAACCTGCAACCATCGTTTAGTATTACTTTAGTCCGCGAACCAGAGATCGCGCGATCTCAAAATTTTCGCTTTGGCCACCCACCTGCCACAAATGTGGTAGGATCTGACCATTAGCTTGATATTTCTTACCCTAAAGGCTCGGAGTTGTTCACGCGGAGGATTCTGACCCAGCCCCCTTATTATGCACGTATGAGGGGGGCATTGTACTCCGTAGGTGAGGGGATTTAATTTCTTGGAATAGAAGCTCTCGGGTGCGGGTGGGCTCTGGACTCCATTTAAAGAGACCGACCATGGCAGGTACCTAGGTACTCTCTCACTTCTCAAATCCCCGAAAGATTTCACTATCCTCTCTGGCAGCAATCACATTTCTGATAGATTTGGTCTTGCCTAGGAAAGGGAATATATCTAACTTGACGACTTGGCGGAACAGTACTTCATCAACATGAAGCCCACTGTATTGACATTTTGCCCTTTGGCAGATTTGGTTGACTGGACCCATTCCGACTCCCCATCCTCTCAATGTGCCTACCTTGTCCAGCTTGGAAGCCCCTGCAAGGGCCGAAATGAGACGCGAAACTTCCAACAACGCCAAATTAGTCGTCCAAAAATACCTTGACATTCTCATTGGGCCTTCCGAGACATCTAGGGAGTCAGTTCCCCAGTTTAAATTCCTCCAGGAACTCGCCACTATACAACTTTGCAACAACCACAAAAAGCATCATTCCCACGCCATAGGACAGTGGCTGAATGAATTTACTGCCAACCAGGCTTCTATTATAGTCGGGCTGGCAAAGTACTACAATCTGGAAATCGATGATACAGTTAGCGGAGAAAGCCAAAACTCGGATGATGAAGATGACGAAAAGAATTTGAATGTTACCGAGGAAGAGGATACATCGGAGGAAGACGAAGAAGAAGAAAAATCAATCCTGGCTAGCCAATTCTCGTCGTCGCTTACATCTAGTATCTACCACACGTCTATACTAGCAGCAGACGAAGTTGCTAAGGACGTCACCTGTCTTTTGCAAAAGCCTATTGACATGAAGTCCAATGATGCAAAGCCTGGATGGATATATGTCATATCCCCTCTCGCAATGCCAGGAACCTTCAAAGTCGGCTATACTCTTAAGCCCCCCCCAGCTGGACCGTTTTCCAAAGCACAAACAGTGCCATGGCGAGTTTGAAGTTCTGGAAACGAAACTGGTACCTCATGCACATCGCGTGGAGCAACTCCTGTTGAAGGAGTTCTACAACCAGGAGTTGAGAAAGAAGTGTGAGAACCCGAAATGCTCTAGGGTTCACCGCGAGATACTTGGCGTTGATCATGAAATTCTGTTGAGATGTTTGGAAAAATGGATAGAATTTGTGGAGTCTCGCCCATACAGCAAACTGGGTGTCTTGACAAAAAAAGCCAAGGAAGACCTACCTCTTCCTGCTTTGAAAAGCTACCTCGGCTGCAAGCCAACGTCCCGTCGTTCTACCGGCTTGACTCCAAAAAAGAAAGAAGGAAGCCAGAGCTCTCCGAGCACACCCTCGAAAACGAATCTCAAGGTTCCTACTTCGGCCCAAAAGAACATGAGAGCTCATTATACTGAGCTGGATCAAGACGACTCGTGCCTATCATCGATGATCGCGAATTTTCATCTCACACCTTCAAAAAGTGAGAGGAATAGTTTTCCTGAGGGATCGCGATACTCCATACCTGGAAGTTTTGACTGACCCGTTGAACTACTAGTAAATCTCTTTATATATTCTGCTATTTAAAGTACACAGAGCAAAAGAAAATAAGACAATATTGAAATCAATCGTACTATTATATCTTGAAATCAGCTAAAATCAAGGGAGTGAGAACGGATGATATCTCATTCCAAGGTTTCAGCGGTCAGGAAAGACCAGTTTGGCTGAACCAGGGTGGGTAGAATTGCCATTTATACCCACTAGCAAGTGAATGGCCTACCGATCGAACCTGTGAATCTTCAAATGGCCAGTACTATGCGTATACCAGAGACATCGGATTTGAGAGCTACCAAGCTTGCGATACTAGCATATGTTCCGCATCCCAGAATCATTAAACCAACAAATAAGACGACTGCATTGCAGATGGCTGTCTTCAAATTTTGTCTCGAATACCAATTCCCCTCCTTCAGCAAGAAAAGCCACATTATAGGCGGAAGATGAAATGAGAATCCGGACACAAATAGTGAAGGCACGATCAAAAGAAGTTCTGGAAATAATGGAATTACCTCCAATATGACCCAAGCTACCTACCAACGTGGCAATCTATACTAGCCCGATCCATGTTAACCACCCCTTTCTCTTGTTGAGCTCCCGTAACAGTGGGGCCTTAGGCATCACTATCCCCACTACTTCTCACCTCCGTAGCTTCCTACTTCCTACAATACACACACACTTCATTGTATCTATTGCCCCAGTACGTAGCACTCTACGTACAGTAACTTCAGTCATCCTACCTACCTAGGTAGGCAACTCGCGGCCGTAACGGACGACCCCTTCGGCCCCCTTCACTTGGAGTGTCGAAACTGAAATGCAAAAGCCGACTATATTTAGGAGATCTGTACACCGCCCAAATGCGACACTGTCAAAAACTCAACTGAAATCGAATCATGCATCTGTCTTAATCAAATTCGTTCTAATCTACGTTCTTGAAACCTAGGCTCAGTATTTCAAGACCAGCAACCAACTTGAAGCACAGGGCCCTTGACCTTGAATCTCATTGGTCTCTCTGCAATATTATAGCCATCACCTCCGTACGCGCTTGGTCGAATATCGATTTGCATGGCCTGACAACCTAGCAGAAACAATCAAATGAGATGATTCTGTCAGTTTGCTTTCTTGGAGAGTGGCAGAGCCGTAACTCATGATAATAACTCTGAGGTGTGTCGTACATCCTCGGGCGCTGAGACTAGCAAAAATACGCTGGAATGTAGTGATCCACGAAAAACCACTGAGCTGGGTCGCATGGACCAAATCCACAGCTTCAATGTCCACAATCATATATATCTCTCGCATATTTCCAAGTACTTTAGCCAATAGCTCCGTCCACTCGTCAAGTGACTCCGCAGAACGAAACTGGACACAGCTCATCGCCATATCACGCTCAGAATGTTGTGACAAATTGAGTTTTAGGCCTTGGCATATCATGTCCTTCAGAATATCATCAACCGATATCCCATTCGCTTCACAATCTGCTCCGGTCGTTTTGAGTACCCATATTATAGGGAAATTCTTATTCCGAAGTTCACGGATCAAGTTCACTGCGAAGGATCTGACAATGTGTTTCGCCTGATAATCACCCTTGACCATTATAACCGAGGATTTTCTCTGCGACTCCCACTTGAAGAACTTAGGGTCTAGCCAGAACTGGTTGTCGTGCTTAGCCAAAGGCTTTCGTTTTGACCTGTGGTTCTTGCATAAATATGACACGTACGACAGCGATTTCAGAGGGTCAACTTTTCGAAATCCGCTCATATATTCCATTATTTGATTGAGTTGGAGATCTGTTAAGCGATGATTGGTGTCGATGGCTGCGTTGGAGTTGATAATCTGGTACTCTATAGCCAATTGTCAGTGTATTTGGAGGAAATATCGCCAAAATGGCACCATGTGCATTCTTGTACCTTGCATGGCTCTATACATATCTTGAAAGGCAGATAACATTGTCTCCTGATTTTGAGTTATTTTTTGCACTTCAAGATGCATATCCCGTTGTTCAGCTTGAGCCGCTCCCGTCGCCAAACGCTCCACTTCTTTTCTGTGATCTGTGATATCTCGGATGAGATCTGCATATTGTAGTTCTGCGGGATGTGTGAAAGACTTCAAGATACGGGCAAGTCGGCCTTTTTGATACCAATCGAATGCACGGAGAATGAATCGTATGATACAGGCATACAAACTTGCAACTGCCCTCTTCATCCGCAGCGTCGGATAAAGTATTGTGGAAAGCTGGATGTGGGGAAGTGATTCGGCGATATTTGTAAGCGCTTCAGCAAGAGTGGCGACCGATTTAGAATGGTTTTCGACGAGCTTCCAAATATCCATTGATCAGTGACATGCATTGAATTTCCCCGGAAACTAAAAATGATTGAGGTTCGTACGACAAATAATAATTTTAGCGAGCCCCATGCCAAGCTGACATATTCTGGATGCTGTTGAACAAGTACGTCCATGATATTACCATAATAGCAAATTCGTTTCGAAAGTTCTGTGAGCCAATGTTTGACAGTACTTTTTGACGTTCTGTCGTATTGTTCTTTTGCCCTCTGAACAACAAACTGAATATCTTCGAGACAGTTCGCCTGTTGAATTATGTCTCGCTCTTTATCGTTCAAGGCGGTATTACTATGGATTATCACGATCGCATCTTGAAATAGTCCTCGAAGGTCATCCAGATACCTATAAAAGCCATGATCAGTTACTTTGAACGAAGAATTGACATATAATGCTAAGAATATCATTTACTCTTCATTTCCATCCCCTTGGTACCAGTTGCTCTGGGTTTGTAACGGCATGATGCTGATCTTCTGATTGGTCGTTCACCGAATAGGATATCTCATGGGTAGGAGCTCAGTCAAGTAGTTTTAATAAATTCAGAGCGAAGTTGAGCCTCAAGACTCAGAGAGGGCCTGATCGTGACCCCGCATCGGCTGCTGACGTCTCGTGATTGACACGTCAGGGGCCAAATCAAAAGTTCCCTAATGTAATTACTAGCTGGAGCGGGGTAATTGCACTAAATTGAAGTTGGTGCTCTCCAGTCTTAGGCACGATATTCCATGACACCTCAACAATCTCCTTCTGGGCGCATATTTACTGAGTGCCAGTCCTTGTGACTCAAAATCTTACACCGGACGATATCATAAAAATACAAGAGCCCTTAGATCCGTCTAATTGCTCACATTATGCCTAGATATTCTTCTACCCCTAGGGCTGACAAAGTCAGCCAAAGTGAAAGGGGGGGGTCGCCAGGTATTCTCTTCTAACGGCGACAAAGAGTTAGATCCTCTTACCGACAGTTATGCGATTTCACGGGATAATACAATCGGCCGGGCTCCTTCTCCTGGAATTTCCAATATTCTCCAAAGAGACAGGGCCAGAAAAGGGAAACATCAGTCGACTGTACGCAGACAGATTGGGGAAAGACGGATAAACGATAATTTTGAAGCCAGACCCCGACGTGACAAAATTCGAGAATACATCTCAGTCGAAGAATCCGATGAAGAGAGTATGTATAGTGATAGTATTCATTATACTACAACCAATGGCTCTGAAAGGTGGCGAGAAGAGGCTACAGAGGAAAAGCCCCGAGCTCTTGTCCTGCATAAATCAGAGTCGGCTGAGTCCAATTTTGAAAATCCGGCGGAAGAGGCAGAGCTTCTCAGGGATGAAATTGCTCAGCTTAAGGCAAAACTCAAATCGAAAAGTTCCGGTCCAGCTGCCCCTGATTATCGGTCTCAAACATTTCATTATCTTGACGATGCTTGCTTTCTTGATGAACCCCGTTGGGAAACAGGAGAGTATGCGCCAACTCTACAGGCAAACAGCAAAATCAGCAACGTTAGCTACTATCTAGAGCAACATCCTGAAATCGCATTCTTCTTCATGAAGGATTACAAAAGCCGAGCACCAGCTGACCGAACAAAAATCGAGACCCGAGATGGAGTTTTCCGAACACCTAAACCTATCGAGGAGAGCCTGCAACTTTTTGCTGGGGCAATGAGAGATGCTGTCAATAAGGTTGTCCGAAAGGTTCCTAATTTCTCGGAGTATTTTCCTCACTTCGATGTTAGGAAGCCTATTGTTGCGCCATATCTATTCATGTTTCATTCTGCACCTCATCTTGATGATATACTGGAGGAAATCGACGGACTAAGCCGAAGGCTGATACAAAAGCTGTGGAGTCATATCAACGAAGGCTACGGTGTCCAATATCTGCGCGCACGAGAAAAAACGAAAGATGGCAAGGTCTCAGCTGAGCTTTTGAAGTATTTGATCAAGCCGGGGGACATTTTGGCACATCCAGATGGCCCTAATACCCGAGCTTACATGGCCTTGCAGTGGCCTGAAGAGGATCCACCTCCCGATGACGGCCATCCGGAGGATTACGAAGAATTCGATCCGATTCGAAGAAAGGAGACATACTCATTTCGTGATGATACAAACATTAAATCACTTCGTTACTCATGGAGTATTCCCGTGGCCTTTTGGGAATTTGATGGTGTGTTTCAAAGGTCCGAAAAAGTGCTCAAAATTACCATGAAGGTTTCTATGAGAGACGAAATCGTGGAAATCAACAGTCTAAAGTTTTATCCCTTGCAATATGCCCCACAAACAATCGAACAATCTTTAGAACACCGTGGGAACACTTTCTGGCAAATACGATCTCGAAAGTTTGTCAGTTACAGCCAGAACGAACCTGGAAACTTAACGAATGTGAGTTTTCAGCTGCATTACCACCCCAGTCTACTTCCCACAACTTATCTCCTACTCACTAGGCAGAGGAACGTTTCATGGTCGATATAGAAACTTTCAAAGCACTTCACCCTAGTTCATCTCTAGCTCGAGCTTTTCTCCGGGATGACCTTGGCTCAGCTATTGTTGCAGGTAATGATCCTTTGCCAGACGGGTTTCCTTTACTGTTACCTCCGACGGTCCCAGGATATAACATGCTTCACAAAAAATGGGGTACGGACCCAACCTATACTTTCCCGAGGAACCTTTTGCTAGCTGTACTAACTTCAAGTAGTTGATCTATTCGTGGACCAAATTTCAGATATTACATGGAATAAACAAGCTTTCAAGGATTTAGTGGTGGATTTAGAGATCAAAGAACTCGTTCAAGCTTTGGTTACGAACCAGCTGACTAGCGTAAAGTCAACAGATGTCATTAGTGGCAAAGGAAACGGGCTGATCCTGCTCCTCCACGGGGGCCCCGGGACAGGAAAGACTTTTACTGCCGAAGGCGTAGCTGAATTCGCCGAGAAGCCGCTCTTTCGAGTCACTTGCGGTGATGTGGGTACAGAAGCAAGAGAGGTGGAAACAATGCTTCAAGCAGCGTTTCACCTGGGTAAAATATGGGATTGTGGTACGTATTCGACTTTACAGCCGCGGAAAGAGGAAGATAATTGACTGATAATTACTGAATTAGTTGTTCTACTCGACGAAGCTGATGTTTTTCTTGAAGAGCGCGATATGAGAGACTTAAATCGCAATGCGCTTGTCTCGGTCTTTCTTCGAGCATTGGAATACCATAATGGGATTTTGATATTAACATCAAATCGAGTGGGTACTTTTGATGAGGCATTCAAGTCTCGCATTCAGCTAGCACTGCACTACGAAAACCTCACCAAGAGCCAACGTCGTAAGATATGGCGTAACTTCATGGGTCGTCTGAAAGACATAGACGAAGACAACATTGAATTCGAGGATGTCATTGACAACCTGGATGAGCTGAGCAGCCATGACATCAATGGGCGCGAAATTCGCAACGCACTTACTACTGCACGGCAGCTGGCTCTATTCAAAGGAGAGAAGATGGGCTCTGCACATCTGAAAAAGGTTTTGCGAGTAAGCGGAATTTTTGGTAAATATCTGAAAGACTTAAGAGGTGGCCTTACTGATGATCTTCTGAAACATGAGAGCGGCGTCAGGCATTCATATAGCGTCAAGAAAGCTGCAAGCTTTGGGTAGTGAAACCACTTTCTCTTTTTGGTTTTTTTCTTTAGTTTTTCTTTTTCTTTTTTCGGACGCTTGCATGTCTCTTAAATCTCTCTCTGTGAATTATCGTTGCTGAATTCTGGTCTAAATATAGCACCAACGATGGACTAATACGTGTGAATAGCTTTGAGTTCTCAAATTAAGCGTATTGGTATAGGAACCTGGTCAAATAGCTGGCCGAGATAGAGATACTCAAGCTTCAATGATTCAAAGACGACCGGGGGGGGAGGACAGTAAGGGTGCAGCGTCAAGTGCCCATATTTGTACATAAATATGCAGTCAAGAAGAATTGGAAGTTAGAATCAATTCCGATTGAAATGAACTCCTCTTTAATAATAGCTGTTCTGCAAGGGGAAGAGCTCGTCCAAAGTGCTTCCGTTGGTAAGCCTAAGGCATAAAGATCGTAAGAAAACCATAGGGCACTCGTCTGCGTTCCGGTATGGGCGAGTATTTGAGTCTGAATCCGGCTACTCAGTTGGCTCACCGAATCTAGAAAATATCTATAACTCTGATATTTTTTTCTTTAAAGGTATAAAAGTCTTTTAAAGTATCTTCCTCGCCTAATTGAAGAGCTGCTAGGATAATAATAGCTTTCTTATTAAGGATAAGACAAGCTATAGTCGATCCTAGTATAGAAGTAGGACAGTCCTCTTTATCTATAAGATTAAGCCTACGAAGTAATGACTTGAACTCATCTCGGATACGATTATCTGAAGTATCTTCTAGAGCTTCTTTATCTGAGACTATACTAGGCTTAAAGTGGTGAGCTGCTTCGCTTGTATAGGCTGGTAGGCTAAAGTCTAGGCTATGTTGAGTTACTTTTACTAGGTTTTTTATTGCCTGTGGTATTTCTTTATGAACTGAATATTCTGTGATAAAGGCCCAAAAACTCTACGTAGGAATATGATATAAGATATTATCTAGATTTGTAGCGCGTTCTTGGTTACAGACCACCAGTAATTTGCGCACGTCATTAAGCGACCTGTGATAGACTGATTTCCTGGATGATACAAGATCGGCTTCCGGGAGATTATCCAGTTTAACTAGTGTTCTGAATAGCAGATCATACTGTGCCTTGTCCAAAACAAAGTGGTCTGAAGGGTAAAGCGGCAAGGGCACTTGCCCAACGAATCAAAAAGAAATGGGTGAAAACGGACATACAACAGCAGGGATTCGCATGTGGTCACCCACCATACTACTAACCTGCCGGCGTGTGGCTAACAGTCGGGTGAGTCTCACCCAGGTGAGAAAAGGGTGAGAGCCGCTTCAGCGTCGCGCGACCCAGGCTGCTGTCGTCCGCCATACCCAAGTGATAAGGGTAAATGCGCAATAGATAGGCTGAGAACTCAGGCGAGAATCACCCCTTTTACGTGACTGTCCTACAGACCCTTTCAGCTGAGCAGGTGTAGAACCTTATTTTGGAAGTGTATAGACAATGACGAATTACGTTTAAGTGAAATACCATAGTGAACCACCGTGCTATCTGGTCCTAAACAGAACACCTCGATATAATCGAAATATTGTACCTATGGGAACTGACTAATTCCACATACTAGTAGTTACCTAATTCATTTACACACAACTAATGTGGTCTAGAGCTCCTTCTTGGCATCACCCTACCTATCTAGAATCTACAGGTGTTATTAAGGATAGGGATATACTAGTATATAAATGGTATATAAGACGTGAACCTGGTAAACTTTGCACATCGAATGTTCATGTATATTTGCGTCTGTTCTCAAAGCTTGGTGCATCGAATGTAACACAAAGCCAAAATGTTGCAAATAATCCCATTAAGATGGTTATTGGAATTACAGCAGTTTGAAGATCACTATGGTGTCCCTATTGAAAAAGCCACGCAAAGAAAAAGTATATTGACGGGACCAAGGAAACAAAGCTCTACAGCAGTAGCTTCGAGATTAATTACTTCTCAATAATATATAAGCCCCAGAAGATCTCGTGTGAAGGGTCTTATTCCTCTAGAGTACTATCACGCTTTGGAAGCCTTTAAGTAACAAAAGTGTCGTTAAATAGTTTATCTAATAAAAGTGTAGTCGAGAAAACCTTAACAAATCTTTAAAAAATTATAAAAGACTAAGTATATAATTCGAACTAGTGTTCAAATTAATATAGATAAATAGGCGGTTCTGGCTAGATAGGTCTTAGGAAAAAATAATATAACGATTTCTGTTTATCAGGGTACCCCAGACACAAAGGTATATAGACAGTCTAGGAAAACTTTTCGAACTGCAGATATCTAAAGTTAGTAGTTGTAGATAAATTATGAAAAAAATAACAATCTACGTAATATATCTTAAAAAAGTTATAGTGGGAATATCTATAGGCACTAAATAAAGTAGAGAAGAACCCTCAATAGTAATAGTAAGTAACTCTAACCTAAGTAAAAAAAGATTTATCACTTATAGATCTTATTGTTATCTAGGCTAGGTAGTAATAGGAGCTTCTTAGAAGTAAGGAATATAGAGTAATAAGAAATAGATAAAGATCTCGGTTATTTCTCTCTAAAGACTGAACTGGAATACTTAAGCCTATTAGTATCTGAGCTAGATCTAGACTTAGGATATAACTTTAGTTAGCTATTTCTTAGCTTAATTTCCCTAGGGCTACTATTTTGGGTAGCTAGGAATAGGGACTTATGTGGGATTACTTCCCTTATAGTATATATAAAGGGGTGAGTTTATTACTAGAAGTCCCTATGATGGTTTTTGTGAGCTCATTTTCAGGCTCTAATCGCTTGATGGATCTCCGAATTAATACCTCGAGTGTATATTTGAATGCGTCACCAGCTTTGGCTAACCGATCACAGTGAGATTTGAATTCAGAATCAAAGCGACTGGACATGGTATATAACAATTTCATACCCTAGGGGCGCCTCGAGAATTCGATTATCCTGGCACTTAGTTGAACAATTTTTGCATAGTAATCACAGAATGCATATTGTAACTCCATCCAGTCAGGGTAGAGCTGGCCATATTGATGATACTTCGGGCATGATTTTCCAATCGTCATAAATCATACCTGTCACTAGACCTGTGCATGGGAGTCCCATTCCCATAGGTCCCATGGGAGTCCTGCTTATGTAAGTGGGAACAGTCCCACTTACGTAAGTCCCATAGTCCCATGGGAATGGGATAGGACTGAGGGCCATGCCCATGGGAGTCCCATGGGATTCCTATAGAAAATACGCTAACTATATATGGCTAGGGCATATCTTTGATCTAACCTAAGAAGGTAATTTTTGACATTTCATGTAACCTTTGTCAAAATATATATCTGCGTAGCAAGTTCCTACACCACCACCCTGAAATATATTTTACTCAAATTTATATGGATTATTAATTAACTTATTCTCTTTTAATAAATACTAATTTTATTTAAGAATAATTATTCAAAAAGTCTTGGCAGGTCCCATGGGACCTGCCAGACTCCCATGGGATGGGATAGGATTAATAATTAGTCCCATGGGTTCTTGGCAAATGGGATAGGATTCGATTTTTACTCCCATGGGGCTCCCATGCACAGGTCTACCTGTCACCTTATCAAAATAAGGTTTGTTATTGCTCGCAGCCAAGCTGGCGGCCACTCCAGACCGAAACGGCGATCAGAGGGTTAGAGTTAACGAATATGCCAACAACACTACTGAATTGCTGCGTGGCTTCCAAAAGCGTCGTTAGCCTCGGTGCTACAGCCTGTCCTGTCTTTCCTGCCCTCTTCTCGTTATTGCTATCGATTGCGGCAACGAATACTATGGGGTCTGTCGTATCTGGAATCTTGTTGTTGGATCTGTATAGCCGCATTTGGTCGTCTGTCAGAATAGCCTCAAATTCCGTCACAGCCTCCCTTAGCGCTAACGTGGGATCCGCCGACCGTGTCGACCCCGACTGAGACGAGACTACCAAAGCCATGTGATAGTGTAGCCCTTTTGAGAGGTAGACTTGAAGGTAGTAGTATGAAGACGGGCACTTCAGGTTAAACACAACGGAGGGGTAGAAGAGCTTGTAAGGTCCTCAGCTTTGAGGGAAGTGCGGTAGAGTGCATTGACTTAATACCCGTACGTCTGCCTGTAGAGGAACTCAGCCGCAGGCTTATAACCACATGACTCGACTGGTCCAATTTACTGGTATTGGTTGGTCACAATGAGGGGTAGAACTTGCTATAGAATTGATATTTGTGGGTGATCAGCGCCTAACTAATGATAGGCCATCATTGTACTAGTCAGCATGCCTTCATAGCTTCACCGCTACACATATCATCATTGCATTCATCTCTTCTTGCCATGTATGCCCCCACTACAAATACAAGAATCGATCAAACACTAGTCACTATTAACAATGCCACCACACGGTCCAGAAGACAAAAAAGCAAAACATTCAACAGATATTGTATGGTGGTGGTCAGCTAGCGCCCACGATTCTGTCCTAGGCGGCTCGCCGCCCCAGCGGGTACCGCTTCAGCCCTTCACCTGAAGGGCCGGAACTGACATGCAAAAGTCGCCTTTGTAAATTCCGACAGGGAAAGATTTGACGAGGTGCTAGAACGCAGGTAAGGGATAAAATGAATGGTTTTCGCTCTTGTTCACTGGGCTATCTTTACTGTCGATCTCTCGAGAGAGCAAGTCTCTAAGTGACAGAAAGCTCCTTCAAAAGACCTCTCTCATGATAAAGTGAGCTTTTGGGCCTATATAGAAATGTTAGGCGATAAATGTGCCTCATTCTTACTTTGCTGAGCGCAGTGATGATTGTCTCAGGACAGTCAAATTATCACGCAGCATTCCGCCTCCGACACCGAGACTAGCAAAATGGAGAGTCTGCTATTATTGGACTCTTTGATCTCCAACTCGTAGAGTATTCGTCAAGCGCCCTACTGGCTGTCCGGAGTCCAGCAGGCAGTGCGTCAGGACTGATAGCAATATCCATGTCCAGGCCTAAATCTTGGCACAAAGATCGAGCGGCAAGAGTATCTTCTTCAGCAATGTGTCCTCTTGAGTCCATTGCGAAATCTCGAATTATAATCTTATTTAGCAACGGTGTCGAATCTCGTGCCGAAGGGAGGAACCTCTGAATAGCCCGGGCGACTGCATCAAGCTCCCATTCGTAAGTTTCCCCCGGGCTGCCGTCCTCGATAACTGAAATATCACGCGCTACACAAGAGAGATTCTCTCGAATGGCGAGGCTTTGAAGTGTCGATGGCAATAGCGTGTCTAGATTCGGAGCGTCATCATGAACCCACCCAAAAAGCAAGACTGCCGGCAGTTCTGCAGTTTCAAGGTGGAGATATTGTTTTAAGAAACCCCGAAATGGCAGTAAAGCTTGCTCAATGTCACCGAAGTCTTTTTCATACCATTGTGAGCCTAGATTAATTGGGCAAAGCTCAATACTTATTGAAAGGGTTTGAACTGTCCCTTTTATGCTCATAAGACCTTCAAGTAGCGCGCCTTTCATCTGCTTGCGTAGAGGGGGGCGGGGGGACTCAATTTCCCAGTTTGCTGCTTCATCTTGGGAAGGGTAAACCAAGCCCAAATGAAGGCTTTGTATTGACGAAAGGAGTGACAACAGGCCTCTGACTTCATCTTCATCGATGTAAGACTCCATAATCACAAGTCTTTCGAGTTTGGCCAGATGACCCATCTTGCTCAAATCAACACCTTGAAATCTTTGAAGCCATATCTCTAGTGACTGTAAGGAGGGCAGATAAAACCAGCCTGCAGATTGGTCCGGATCGCAACTCGGAAACGCCTCTGGGTAAATACAATCTGAGGGATTGCCCTGAGATACTCGGCTACACGGAACGTTCAGACCGTATTCAACTAGGGAGAGTTCGGCGAACTTTGATAGAGTATCTGGGGGTGCTGAAAGCAAAGCATGTCGAATCATGAGGCCTGGGAATCCGGATTGCCACACGAAGGTATAATCCAATCGTAAAGATCGTAGATTGTGAAGTTGAGAGAGAGTGATGGCCACAAATGCGTAAGGATCACCTTGGTCTAGCGCTTGCATCCACCTCTCTGGCGAAGGAAACTGTGCTCGGCTGACAATTTCCTTCGCGGCGTGTACCTCGCTCTGAAACGAAGCTGCGAGCAGTTCCCAGTTTCCATCGACTGGGGGAGGGTACCATTTTTCAGTTTGATCCTCTGCTGGATATTCCAAGCGGGAAGAAATCATCCGAACATGGCGAATATGCATGGCTAGATCCGGACGTTCATTAACGACACAGAACAATGACAGAACCCGCTTGAGTGGAGGTCTGGTCCAGTCAAGATTAACTTGACGGTACAGAGATTCTTCGGAAGGCATCTGAAGGGACTGAGATGTAGCGCCAGCAGACGCAGCATCAGATGGTTCAAGTTGGTCAAGAATCTGCATCAAGCATTCTTGCGGGAGTTTTTCCAGAGAGCTATTGCGGGTCAGTGTGAAGTCCCGGAAAGCAGGGATCAAAACACACCTTAACGTAGATTGTGCACGATTCATGATGGTCGCGGAATTGGAATTTTGCACGAGTGCTTGCAGGAGCAGCAAGGGAATTTAAGCATAGATTTTAAACTTGTTCAGGCTATTTATAAAGCGGAATAAAAAAGTTGGGGGCGAAAGAGGCCACTGGGTGCCACTTTGATGATGGGGGCCAAGGCGATGTCCCAGACCCACCGTCCAAAGCGGAAGCGATCAGTCACGGAATGATCTTCGAAAGCCAAGACGCAGATCGAATTTTTGTTATATCTCAGGAACCAGGCCAGTTGGCAACTTCTAGTATTTGTCTGGGCACAGTCTTTCACTCATCAGATCATATTATATTAGGGTGAGGCTCGAGTAACTGACCATGCCAATTTAGACTTCCACTCTAGCCAGGCACAGATATTCCCTCGATCTAATCGTGAACACGTACTGAAGCCTCTGACCTTGAGCAATATTGCGTGGACACCGCTTGGCTTTTATCCTTTTGTTCGGTTGCAGAAAAGGAAACAGGACCGAAAAATTTGTTCCCATTCAGCTGGTGGGCCTTGTTCTTGAAGCGACCGGCGAAATTCTGTTCTCTTACCATGCTTCGAGTCTTGACACAATTTTAATAAGTCGAAAATCGGATGTTTCTTCCAAGGTCGGGGGACTGCAGCTAGCAATTTTGCCTCTGAGATAAGTAATAGCGCGAAGCCGTAGAGAAGATTCAGTATTGAGGATACAGATATAGATGTCTGCTGTTAACCCTCGGGAGATACCTACCCTGAAGAGCTTTGTTTAAGAGCTTTGTCTTCTTCCTTCGCATCCCTGTTCCTATGTAGTCTATACGGTTTTTCTAGACCACATAAATGCTCCTACCTTACAGAAAGCGACTCTTAAGAGACATGATCTGACTTGTCATAACCCGCAGAAGGCTTTTACATGTCTTTGAAGCCTTTTCGATCCAGTCCATTATAATATTTCTCCTATGTAGCGCTTAATTAGTAAGTTCTAATAAGGTAAGTAGTTGACTTACAACTGACTCGTTAGTTGTAGATCACACAATGCGGGCTCCGAATAGTAGCTGGAAGTGCCATCAAAGACTATCGAAAAGAACAGAGTAAAAGCTGTAGTAAATACAGCATACTCGGTGACTGGATCGGAGAATATGTCGTGCAATGTGAACGCTAGGCCCCGGGGGAGTTTAAATTAATCAGCGAGCATAGAAATATGGTGGATTTGGTCATGGATGCCACCTTGGCTGCATGAAAATGGCTACACACAATCGCGTCGACCGTGCAACTTCATGTCGGTTAGAGCTCCTCTGAACTGACCTAACGATAAGAATTAACCGAACTCTTAGTCACAAATGATGGTGCTCTACCGTTTTAACTATAAAAAAAAGGGATGTTCCCCCGCACGCTTTTCTCCGCACCAATGTTATAGATCCCATGGAACACGATCATAGTGATTGGTTCCACCTTTTTGTGGACGTTGTCTGTCGAGAGGCCTAGAGGAATCGGACCTTTCGCGGTGTCTCGGTCTTGTTTATGCCGAGTTCTCCTTTACCCCGCGAACTATCTAACTGGAGACTTGTTTCCTATAAGGACACTGCCATCCGCTTTCATTGAGGATAAGATACTCTCATCTCATCCATGGAACACAGCCACCTATCATCTCAAATTCAGACAAAATGATCACACCTACTGCACCCGGAACCAACCTCAAGCGTTCCTATGAAGAGAATGGCGTGGTCAACATCGCTGGAGTTCTAGAACCTGCCGAGGTCGACGCGATCCGCGATGCATTCATGGCACAGGTCGAAGGGAACAGAACCAGCCTCGCCCACGACGATCATGTCCCGGACGACGACATCCTAGCCCGCTATCCCCGCTTCATCCACCCGCATCGTCACCCTGAGTTGGAGGTCGGGCGGTTGGCTCTCAAGTATATGCTGGACCGTCGCATTCTCGACAAGGTCGAGGCAACGATTGGCCCCGTCAATGGTGCGCAATCTATGTTCTACTTCAAACCACCAAATGCTCGCGGTCAGGCACTGCACCAGGACAATCTATTTCTGCAGTCACACCCCGAAACATGTATAGCAGTTTGGATCGCAATAGATCCAGTCGACGAGGATAACGGTGGGCTGCAGGTGGTGCTAGGGTCCCATAAATATGAGCTAGTCTGCCCGGGTGACGCCGATTCGGAAACTTCGTTCAGCCGTCAGGCAATTCACCTGCCCAATGGAATGATCGCCGAGCAGACTTTGATGGCGCCTGGTGATGCTCTATTGTTCCATGGCAGCATGGTGCATGGATCAGGGCCGAATCGAACCGCCGACCGGTTTCGTCGGTCGTTGATCTTCCATTATGTGCCGCAGTCCAGTACCAAGATAGCGAAATTTTACCTGCCGTTAATCAGCCGTACTGGGAAGGAGATTTTCGTGTCCGAGTCTACTGAGGGCGGTGTCTGCGGCGAAGGCTTTGTACTCTCTGGTCCACATTGAGGCACTATTTGTATTTTCCATTGGAAGGAGAATTTGCTTTACTCGTTGAGTTTCAATTTCAATTCTACTTCAGAAAGCGTGTACAGGCCTGGTATATTCATACAAGACAGAGGATAATTTGTACTAAGGTCTGAAACCTAGGCCGGGAATTATGACATAGAAGCACTGGAAATATGCTCATACCTACCGCTCTAGTGGCCGCATTAGAGGGATATCTTTTTATCCGTTGGCCTCCAAATGAGTCTGCCAGTGAATTCTGCCAAACGATGGCTCTGTAAGCAGGCATTGATTTTGTGAAAATAGATAGAAAAACCACTTTGCCATGAATGTCTGCCACTTTCCCATCAAGAACTAGCGATTCAAAGTATAGTTGGCGAGCGTACAAACAGCTTTAGTCTGGCTAAAAAGGCTCATAAACTGCAGAATCTGATGGGTTTATAGCCAAGGCATACGGAAATTGAGGGGAATTAAACCAAAGTCAGTGCGAGTTTGGAATAACTCGGAACTTTTGAGCATCACCTCAACCCCTTGATCCCGCTCTCGGCTCCCTTCAAGCGGTTAACTCCATGTGCTCAGTCATTCCGATCTTGTCTTCCATCCCTTCGTTTTCGATCCGCTGCGCCAGTATACTGGTTTCAGTGGCTCGGTACTCGCTTTTAGTGGAGTTGCCGATGAACCAGGAACTGTCCGTGAAGAGTTTCTTCATTTCCTCTAGGGGCACCTGTTTCGTCTCTGGGAGGGTGGCCCAAAAGAAGACGGCATTGGTGAAATTGCAGACCTAGATATAGGGTGTCAACTGCCGGTCAAGATTTCCTAGAGTATGTATGTATATATCCTTAAAGGCAAAAGAGAGGCAATGATAGCGATTTGATGGATACTGACCACGAAAAGGATGTAGAATCTCCAACCGGACTTCACCATTCCCAAGGGTGTCACTTGACCGATCATTGTGCTACGAGAAAGAAATGAAGATAAGATATCATTCTTGCCATAAAGCGAGATTCAGATAGGATTGAAAGACATACTTAAAGGCGAATGATACCATGCAGCCCAAGGCTACACCCTTGGCTCGGGTTGGTGTATCGAAAATCTCGGCAGGGATTATCCAGGCTAATTAAGCGTCAGTAGCGAGTTCTGCGACTGAGTCAAAGAGTGACGGGATTGAAAAGGTAAGGTAGACATACACAGTGATCCCATACTGGCAAAACAGAAATTATAAACCCATGTCATGATAATGAAACCCCAATGTGCGCCCGTATTGTTCACCTCTGGGGGAAATTGAGCGAGGAGAACGGTGCTGATCACGTATGTGAGACACATAGCAAGATTACCACCCACTACGATTTTACGACGGCCAATTCTATCAACAAGCATCATGAGGAGGAATTCACCAATAAGGCCAATGATTGAGTTGATGGCTTGGTAGCGCAGGGTGTCCGTTCCATCAATACCAATTTGTTTCTAATTCGGAGTCAAGGTCAGCCGTTTGAAGAAAAAGGGGTTCCGGTGGTCGAGAAACTTACAAAGATGGTGACCGAGTAATATTGAATGGCGGAGACTCCCGTCATTTGCGTGGCCGCTTGCATAGCGCAAGCCAACAGGAGACGACGGAAATTTGATTTCTCGATTATCCACTGATAGAATGTGACCTGGCTGTGTTCTTTCTCAGCCGCAACCTGCGATTTAATCTGTTCAAACTCCGCAAGAACCCAAGGATCCGATGTGTTACCATTGGCATGTAGCCGTGCTAGGGTCCGCAGACCCCTTTCCTGGTGACCCTGGCTAATGAGCCAACGAGGCGATTCTGGGAAAAGAAAGATCAGACCGGACAGAAGAGCAGCTGGCACAATCTGAATACCCAAAGGTATGCGCCATTGGCGGTTGTCCGAAAAACTGACATAGGTGCCATAGCTGATCCAACTTCCGCAGACACCACCAATGCCGAGCATGAATTGTTGCAGTCCGGTCACCAGGCCTCGAATATTAGGGTGTACCAATTCTGCTTGATAAATTGGAATGATCATGGTGAGGACACCGATACTATGGGTTGTTAGTTATTAGTTACCAAAGCCAGGTCCAGGTCACAAGTCGGGGAATGAGTCCGGCAAAGGGAACTCACGAAACACCCGCGATAAAACGGCCTCCTATGATGTAACCATAGTTCCGCGCACCGGTCTGCAGCCCACCCCCGAGGCAGAAGATCACACCTCCAGCCAAGATAGTTGCTCGGCGGCCAAAGTAATCCGAGCACGGGTACGCTAACCCGGCGCCGACAAAAGCACCGGCCGTGAGCAGCGACGCGACCAGGCCAATCCCAGTGGTTGTCGGGCTGAAGTAGTTCAGGAAAGAATTGCTAGATACCACTACTCGAGAGGGCCAGAGCTTCGTCAGTTCCTGCGAACAGATGAGGGGACAGATTTCGCGTTGGCTCGCTTACCCTCAGCCACAATGGTTAGATCATATCCATAAAGAAATGATCCAAGCGCAGCAAATGTGCCCACCAGAAACTGGTATACCTTAGGAGGAAAGGCCATATTCTTTGCTAGTGAGTTCAATTGATTTTGAGTATAGGTAAAGAATGGAGACCGGTGTCTGCCCACAATGTTCGAGGGACATCCCCGGCTTTTTAGCTATGCAGATCTCCACGCGGGGAGCTCGGCTCGTTCTTGGCGCGAGAGCGACCAACTTTGCAGGAGCACGATGTTTAATAACTTGCGGGATGCGATTTGCATTGATCGGGGCAAGGTCCATCAGCACGCGACGCGGGGAATCTGGGTTTACTCTTGTCGACGATCGTCAAAGACTAAGAAGCGGGTCGTGCGCGATCCACAGATTCCCCAATTGGAGACATCCCGGTGGCTTCTGAACGCCAGCGGAAAACGAGCCAATCACAGGGAAAAGATTCCGCAGTCACTTGTGGTCTGGAGTTCAGCATGACACAGTATAATCAAGTATACGGGACACTCGACTCATTTCTCGGGATAATAGAAAGCGAGATGGGGATGAGACAAGAGACTCGAGGAGATGGCCCTCTGCAACTCTGGCTCTCTTTTTCCTTTCCCTCTAGAAAGAATCCAAACTGCACCTGGGCCACGTGCCATCAGAAATGGCCGATATCATTGCATTGCGCTTTGAGCAGCATTCTTCGGGACTGGGCCTACAATGCTCTTTGCCTCGCATCTCATGGACCTTATCCGCTGTCAATGAATCCACCCGTGACTGGACACAATCCCAGTATGAGATTTCCGTGTACGGTGAAACTAGGCCACTTGCAAACTTCGTTGTCCAAAGCGGCGAGTCAAGTCTAGTCCCATGGCCGAGTACGCCGTTGAAGTCGCGAGAACAAGCTCAGGTGAAAGTTCGAGTATGTGGGAGCTGGGTGGATATAAAAACCAGGCGCGCACACTCGGATTGGTCTGCCTGGTCCTCCTGGGCAACGGTTGAATGCAGCCTTCTTAGTTCTCAGGATTGGACTGCAGTGCCTATCTCTAGCCCACTCTTTCGAATGAGCCACAAAGATGAGCCACTAAGGCCCTTGTGCTTTCGAAAGGAATTTGCCCTGCCTGCCACGTTTGGCTCTTTGCGTCGGGCTAGGCTGTACATCACGGCTTTCGGGGTCTACCGGGCGTATCTCAATGGCTCCAGGATCGGAGACCATGAAATGGCGCCCGGGTGGACAAGCTACCGCCATCGTCTTGCATATCAAGTCTTTGACGTCGACCCCTTGATCATTACAAATGGCGATAACGTGTTAGGCGTCGAGGTTGCCGAGGGGTGGTTTGCGGGCCGGCTGGGCTTTGGTGGTGGCAAGAGGTACATATATGGAGATCAAATAGCCACTATGGCTCAGTTGGAGGTAGAAGAGCTCTCTGGTGGACGATTCCAAGTTGCATCGGACATCAGCTGGAAGTGCCACCCGAGTCCCATCGTGAGTAGCGAAATCTACAACGGTGAAATTTATGATGCGCGAGCGGAAGTCAGAGGTTGGCACCAACATGGACCTCATTATGTTGACGCCGACTGGGGCAAAGTATCTGTTCTGGACTTTCCTGATGCGCGATTATACGCCCCAAACGCCCCTCCAGCACGAATCACGGAGACGTTGGCGCCTCGGAAGATATTCACCACTCCATCTGGCCGGACGATTCTCGACTTTGGTCAGAATCTGGTTGGAAAGCTTCTCATACATTCGATGACGCTGCCAGCAAACGCAAAAGTGACATTCACCCACGCCGAGGTCATGGGCGATGATAGAGAACTGGGAACTCGACCCCTTCGCGGTGCACAATGTGTCGACACGGTCATCTCATCCGGACAGCCGTTGATTGATTGGTCGCCGAAATTCACATTCCATGGCTTTCGATTCGTGCACGTCGATGGATGGGACCCTCTAACGGTACAGTCCTGGCAAAGCAACATTCAGGCACTTGTCATTCACACTGACTTCAAGCGGACGGGGAGGTTTGAGTGTTCAAACCTGGCCATCAATCAATTGCATCATAATGCCTGCTGGAGTATGCGTGGGAACTTTTTGTCCATCCCCACGGATTGCCCCCAACGGGACGAACGCCTAGGATGGACAGGAGACATCCAAGTGTTCGGTCCATCCGCGACATTTCTGTATGACTGCATTGGCATGATTTCGGAGTGGATGGAAGATGTCGCCTGCGAACAATCAGATCACCATGGCATTCCCCCTCTGGTGGTCCCCAATGTCCTGGACCACGTGTGGCCATCCATTCCCCAGGCTCTGTGGGGTGATGTAGTGGTAATTATTCCCTGGACCCTATATCTTTCATCCGGTGATCGCGATATTTTACGGCGACAATATCCAAGCATGACGTCGTGGCTGAACCAGGGAGTCCGTCGAGGCAAGGACGGACTGTGGGATCCCGAGATATGGCAACTTGGCGACTGGCTCGACCCCCAGGCGCCGCCCGACGAGCCTGGTGATTGCCGAACAAACGGCACGCTGGTGGCAGACGCATACCTCGTGCATGTCACATTTCTCATGGCTGAGATTGCCGCAGTCCTCGAGAGGGACACAGAAAGTATAAATTATAACTGCGAAGCTCAGCGTCTCCGTGCCCTTTTCCAAAGCAAATATATAACGTCATCCGGCCTCATAGTCGGGGATTCCCAGACAGCTTATTCCCTAGCTATAGTCTTCGGGCTTTTATCGACCCAGCACCAACTGGACGTGGCTAAGTTTCAGCTCGCCACGCGTGTACGCATGGCAAAGTTCCGCGTGGCAACCGGGTTCGCTGGTACGCCGGCAATTTTACGGGCTCTCACTGAGACTGATAATCTCTCTCTGGCATACCGAATGCTCCTCGAAGAGCGCTGCCCATCGTGGTTATACCCTATCACTATGGGGGCCACCACCGTCTGGGAACGCTGGGACAGTATGCTTCCAAACGGAGTTATCAATCCCGGCGAAATGACCTCATTCAATCATTATGCCTTAGGTTCCGTAGTCAATTGGCTCCATGAGACCGTGGGCGGCATGCGGCCGCTCCAGCCTGGTTGGAAGACTGTGTTGGTGAGTCCACAGCCGGGAGGCTCTTTAACACATGCTACAGTTTCGTACGAAAGTGTCTTTGGCCACTGGAACTGCCAGTGGAAATTGGTTCACAGAGCAGATCGAGATGGAGCGACGACGTTCTGTTTGGATCTAATTGTCCCACCAAACTGCCAAGCACTGGTAAAATTCCGGGCCGCTCAAGACGGATCGAGCAACCTGGAGGAAAAAGTGGGATCTGGAAAGCATCAATGGCGGATTCCTTTCTGTCCTTGGCCATGGCCACCCCGGGCGACTGCTCCATTCATAACAAACCCCGGGCAGAATGTCACTTAGACTTGTATCTTGTGTATGGGTCACGAATCCTATCACACTAATTCCGTTATTATGCAATATGATGAATCAATTCATTGGGGAGTGACTTTGTCCGGCCTCAAACTCATCCGGCTAGTCTGGCATCGTGCCGAGGCAATACGGCATATTCTTGCCAAAGGATGTCACTATTCTTGCAAAAACCAATCCACTCGGCAATTTGCAGTTTTAAGACTAGTCCCAGCCATTAGCTAGTTGATTTGACTTTTTTCTTCAACTCCAACTCACCAATATCCCGGTTAGTAGGCCCAATCGAGTGTAAGGGATGAGATTTGATGTCTGCCTCTTCGGTGGATCTTTCACCGAATATTTCCATCATTATAGAGACAGTGAGCCTATTTTCTATTTCCGATCAACGCTCCATGACTATCCCAGCCCCAGGAGACTTTAGGTCCCATGGCAACATGGAAACTGCGGGGAACGCGCTCGGTGTCGCATGTGTATAAAGGTCCGACCCCTCGACCTGTGTCTTGAGCTTACTAGGCCAGGCCAAAAGCAATCATATTTACCCAAAAAGTGCTAGCCTAAAGTCTTAACGTAATGATCCTTTCTTCCCTTTTATTCTTCGCTGCCAGCGCGGTGGCGTTGATACTCGACGTCGCCTCGTCTGGAGGCAATCAGTCAAGTTCCCTCCTGTACGGGGTTTTATACGAGGTAAGCCGAGGATTCTTCTTTAGATTCCTTTGCACAAAGGTGGAAAGGATACTGACTAGTAGCAGGATATTTATCACTCCGGCGATGGCGGCCTCTACGGGGAGATGCTCCGGAACCGAGCTTTCCAAGGGTCGTCGTCCGGTGGAGCTGCCAGTTTAGCTCGTAACACGGATTATTGGCATCCGTTTGGAGGTGCTACAATTGCCATTGACACATCTTCTCCCATCATTTCGTCCAGTCTGCCCTACCAGATGCGAATGGACGTCCCAGCGGGAACCAAGGGGACTGTAGGATTCTATAATGAAGGCTTCTGGGGCTTCGACGTGGATGCCACCAAGCGTTACGTCGCTAGTCTCTACATGCGGGGCAATTATTCAGGCACTGTCAACTGCTACTTCCAGAGCAACACGACCGGGCAGAACCTCGGATTGACTAGTATGAGTATCGATCAAACGTCGTCTGCGGGATGGGTACAGAGCCACTCCGCGACATTCCAGCCGAGCCAGTCTGGTTCCAATGGCAACAATACGTTTTATTTCACGTTTGATGGGTCGAAGCTCGCTGGGCAAAGCGTATATTTCAATCTTCTGAGCTTGTTTAAGCAGACGTTCAATAACCGGTTCAACGGTGTGCGCGAGGACTTGGCTGACTCGTTATTCAACATGAACGCGAAATATATCCGACTACCTGGTGGGAATAACATGGAGGGCAACAATTCTCCTTATGAATGGAAATGGAATAGAACCATCGGTTCTCTTACAGATCGTCCGGGCCGCCCAGGTAGCTGGGGCGATATTAATACCGATGGATTTGGCCTTCTAGAGATGATGCAGATGGCACAAGATCTGGGTCTTGAGGTGATTCTAGGCATCTGGGCTGGACTCTATCTGGACGGCGAGGTCATATCAGAAGCCAACTTACAGCCATATAAGGTTTCCGTCATGAATGAGTTGGAGTTTCTACTAGTAAGCTGACCCCTAATTATACTCAGTTCATTTTTCGATGCATGTTTGTCCAATTTCATGAATGCGAGACAAGTGCTAATGGTACAAGGGAGATAAATCAACCACATACGGGGCTCAACGAGCTGCTCTGGGATTTCCCTCCCCTTTTCCCATCAAATGGATTGAGATTGGCAATGAAGATTATCTTAACGGAGGAACAGATTCCTACTATGCATACAGATTTATGACCTTCTATAATGCCATCCACGCAGTATATCCATCCATCAATCTTGTCTCGACCATCAACCCAAACCCAGTCACATCCAAGGGCAGCTCGCTAGACCTTCATATCTATGGCAACGAGAACTACTTTGTTTCTCTTTTCGACACATTTGACCAAGCTAGCCGCAAATACCCCGTCTTCGTCAATGAGTACGCAGCAACCAATACTGGCTCGAACAACAATGGGCAGGTGGGTGCCCAGACTCTGGGCATGTCCTGTGCGGAAGCCATCTTCCTCTTAGGCTGCGAAAGGAACTCGGACGTCATCGTCGGCTCTGCCTATGGTGCCTTGATCAAGAACTACAATGAAGCGCCCAATACAGTGGCCGTGATAAAACACACTGCAAACGAGGTCCTCTACACCATCAGCTACTACGTCCAGAAGCTTTTCGCGGAGCATATGGGTACAAGGACTCTCCCCGTTACCGCCACGAATGGAGGATTTGGCCCCGTTTACTGGTCCGCAACAGCAAACAGTTCTTCCACTATCCTCAAGCTCATTAATTATGATGGAAAGACCGGTTCGTCCAACGCTTTGCAGGTCAACATCAAAGGTTCGTCGAAAACCTCTGCAACTCTGATCACCTTGACTGCCCCAAGTTCCAAGAGTGTCAACAATTTGCCGTCACTGGGAGGCGAAAGCAGTACTATCACCACCACAACCTTGTCAGGGTCTGCTGGCAGCTTCTCCGTCAGCTTTAGCAATCCTTATGAGATTGCTATCCTGATCGTCTAAAGCAGCCTGCGTGAACGATCGTAGATTGAGACACGACCATCTTTCGGAGTAATCGAAGTAAACCACTTCTCTTGCAGTCACGGTTTGGAGAAAAGAGGGCAGGGCTTGCCTTGTTGGCCACACTTGGCTGCAGATTGAAAATCCACATGGCTGCAGATCGAAAATCCAAGATGACTGCCGTTCACTTACTCGGATAGCTTATTTTATGCACGACCAGTCTGTATCCGTCCTCTTCTGGGTGGAATAAAAACTTGCCAGACAGAATTGAATATCTATCATTAGTTGAAATCCATTCAAGCGATTAAGACCCTTTTTATTAGCTTCGAATCTGCGCCATGAGAACATTCCGATTTAGGTATAATTTCATTCTTAAAACGCCCTAGCTAGCCACAAATGCGGGCAATCGACCTTTTTCAGAGAAAATATGTGCTTGTGTGGAGATAATCTTCATTTCGCAGGTCGTGTGTGGATCGATGGCCTTGTTCTCAAGTGGCAACGCATACTCGAGGAGAAATCGCACCATCCAACGATCGAGACGATGAGTATTGTGGTGATGAGAGAGGAGCAAGCAGTTGTTCTGGAAATCCATCAATCGATTGATCTTGGGCAGATTGTCAGCAAGAAGAGAACGAGGACGAGCACAAGAAGACCGTTCCGATTTCTCGAGGAGAGGGAAGTAGATTTACCATGGGTCTGACAATGGGCCAGTACTCTTCCAACTCGAGAAGCGCCTCAAAATTCGCTTCAAGGCAGAGACGTGATCGCGGAAGTTCGTTTTCTTCTCCAAAAAGCAGAGTATAAAGAAGAACCGAAGAGGAAACGATCGCCATGTGGCCAACGGTTAGATACACGGCTTCGCATCCCGATTGTCGTCTCCCACGGGCAAGCCACGTGCTATAGCTGAGAGCATGATGTTTACATCGAGCTGCAAACTGCTGGGAGCGCATACTCATCACGGATCGTGTATCGACAAACTGATAGAAAAGTAAGGTGGCGTAGTGGTGAAAGCCAAGATGGAGGCCCATGAAGATGCCCCCAGTGCCCCGCTTGCTGTGTTCTATGAGGTTCGACTCCGTCAATTGTACATCGTGGGGTAGTCTGTCTTGCCAGTCGTCCAACAGCCGTGCAAGATGATCTACGTCCTGCTCGATTCGATCTGGATGCAGCCCCTCGCCATTGGCGGCGCGCCAGTTGAGTTCCTGGATAGGGCTGAACACTTCGATGAGCGTGGCCATGTGTGCCCATAGACCGGGGCTCTTACAAGGCTCGTTCGGGTCGATTAATGGCTCACTTGGATCCATGTCGGCAAACAGTTCCTCATCCATGGGTGACCGAGCCGGTCGAGGCCAGTCCTTCATCTGGCTGGGAAAGCCCAGGCTCGAAGAGCACCAATTGTCCGCTGCGAAAAGCGCCCACCAGATTCGGATCCGAAGCTCGTAAGAGACTGCGTTGTCGTCGCCTTGTGTCGTATGTGGTTCCATTAATTGCATCATTGCAATTGCTGTTCCTAGCGTCTCGTTCGAGATGAGTATTCACATATCCAGGGTTTGCCGAGACACACACGCACACACACACACTCATGTATGAAATGAATCGGCAACTCACGAAAGAATAGAAACTCTGACGATGGGCTTGCATGTGCCACGCATAGATTTGCGACCAGGATACAGGTTTGAATATTTTCCAGGCACACGCGCTCAAGATCGATCTGAAGTAGCCTTTTGGACTCCGCAGTGAGCAGTGGCTCGAGTGATCGTAAATCTGGTTGATTGGAGACGTGAGCCCCCATTGCGCAGATGGCCAGGATTAAAGCCTTGCTGGCTCGCCGGTCGCGAATGTCCCTCCACAAAGTCGCTGCGTGAAAAATGCTATGGGGTCGGCCGTGGATCTTGGACAAATATTCATGAACTAGCACCGCAACGGACCCATCGTCGGAGAGGAAATTATCTAGTCTTGTTGTCCGAGTCTGGGATTCTGTCGATGACCGGGTGACAGGATGACTGGCTTCAAGCGGTGTCCGCACTAGTCGCTTGGCCTGAGAATGTGAACATGCAAGATGATGGTGCAGACAGCGATTACAGGATGGGATAGAATCACTGCCCTTGCCACGGATACACTTGCGCTTGGCAGCTCGACATTGCTGACAGGATCTCATGGCCTCTTGTGGGGAGAATGCAGGGTGAAGATTAAAAAGAGTGGAACTTGCGTACTCGCCTCCAAGTGGGATCCTAAACCGCGAGGGCGGGGTAATAGCTAGTGAGACAATCTTTAAACCCGAATCTTATAGCATGTGTAAGGCTTTTGTGTTACTGTGGATTTGTGTGGGTCACAATCCAGTAATATAGATGCAGGTCTAAGCCTAATGCATAAGTAGTGCGTATCGGGATGACAGAACAATAACATCAAAATACAGGTGCTCCAACACTCCCACTCAGCCTTACTACTATATTAGACCTTCTACTAGAGTAATACGTCAGGCTTCTTCCGGTCACTTTTACTTCAGATACTTGAGAAGGATGAGAGTTCGAAATCAGTATTCATGGATATTTGCCGTCAATGTTGTAAGTTACAAGGAAGGGAAAAGCCATATCTTGAATGGCATCAGGTTGAACTGGAAGCTTATTTCTAAAAGCTTGTGGTTGACTGCGCCGCCCGCCGAAAGATATTGATATTTGTTGACGCTCTTGACGAGTGTAATGACAAGGACTAGCATTGTCTTATCAGTTTCTTTTATAGTCTTTGTGGTTAAATAGAAGAGAGGTCGAACAGACCGGGAGTTTGCGTCATATGTCGTCCATATCCGGACCCAAATCAAGGCAGACTTTCAAATCTAACTTGACGCTGGAGGGCCATGATGGGGAGGTCGGATCAGTGGTGTTCTCTCACGACAGCAGCCGCGTCGCGTCCGGGTCGGAGGACAAGACGATCAAGATCTGGAATGCGCAGACCGGCGCCTACCTGCAGACCCTCGGTTTTGCCTCTGTTGCGAGGAATCTTTCTTTCGACACCACTGGATCTTCTCTTCACACTGATTTTGGAATTATCGCCCTTCGCGACTCGGCGACACCTGCCCTTACCACTTCGACAGAGTTTCTCTCTTCAGAATCCCAATCACTCCCGGCCACTCAACAGTCGCAAACCCCTGAGGATCAAGGCTACGGTATCAGTTCCGATCGGTCCTGGGTCACACGACATGCACAGAACTGGCTATGGCTGCCTCCCATGTACCGCCCAAAGTATTCAGCTGTAGGACAGTCTGGGTTAGCCTTGGTGCTTGGCTGCAAGTCCGGACGCGTCCTAATCTTGATTCGCAGCTGAGGATTACAACTGAACGCCTATGGTCAACAGCCAAGATAATAAGTAAACTAAGCAATCTTACTCAGACCTAGTCTTGCCACGCACATTGTTTTCTAATGGACGGTCATGTTAATCACCTAATCTTCGGTCTAGGCCTAGGAAGGTAACAATCCGTCACATTCGCAGCTGGGGCTTGTGGGGCGGCTGGCATGTTGAGCGACGGTTGTAATTTTTATACAACATCATTGCTATCTTTATATTTGTTGATTTTTGTACCTCTCCGCTGCCAAGAATTCCGCTCAGATCAACCTTTTCGCAGCTCACGACATTATCATAATACGTAAAGCCTAATAAAGACAACTTGAAATGTTAAATCATGCAATATTGCTTTCCCTACTCATCTCTCATGTCTTGGTGGGAGATCTTGGCGTCAAAGTAGTTGACAGCAGAGTTCCCAGCAGTACATGACATCCTGTAATTTAACAGCTGAACAAATCATTTCCTTTGTTTTAAAAGAGCCGTGATAGAAAAGGTCAAAACATCGGTTGTTTCCACTCTCTTCATACAGCAAACAATCTGTGGATCAGGTGTGGTGTTGCTCGAATGTGCAGTTACCTGTCGGGCGTTTCATCACATAGGGCATGGGGGGTTAAAATCTTAGAGACCGAGCGTTTCATTGGGGGTAATTGTGGTCCAATGATATTATGCCGTAGCTCAGCTGGGGAGCGGTCGGTGCGGCGGCTGAGGGAGACGAAGGTTACCTTGTAGCTCTCTGATTGTTTTTTTTTTCGCTGGCTCTTGTAGCTAGACTTCTTCGTGTGGTCATTTAGTCGTGCTGAGGGGGGGGGATGCCCGATTCAAAATAAGAGACGGGAGTTTAACTAGTTTGGCGATCTTGTCACATTAATGATTGTTCAGGAGGGAACAGAGAATAGAACTTTTTGCAGGGCCAGGAAATGAGCCGAGGGATGTCTTACTGCCAGAACTTCCTCCACCATCCTAAGTCCCTTAAAGGCACTATCGGCGACGCCATACACTATTACCCAGAACACAAAGTTGAGTCTAAGAATCGGGTTCTCCCTAAACCAGTTTATGGGTCTTCGAGTATTAGACTATTTATCTGGAATCGGAAGAGAATTAGGGACCTTACAGATATCTGTTGTCTTTATAACGCTTTCCTTTTAGGAATTAAGGATTAATCGTCACCTAACGTTTTAGCTCGCCATCTTTCAAGCTCCACTTCATGTTAAAAGTAAGGTGCTATCAATTTCCATGTTCGAATAGTTCTAATTTGGAAATGAAGACGAAAAGATCCTGCAGATGATATTATCATAATTCGACGGTTACTACCGTTGTACCGATCTATGTGCATTTTCTCAGGTTAATCGCCGCTTTTATGCGATCTTCAGTAAGGAACTTGACCAGCATCTACGCCATATCATTCGCACGGTAAAGATGGAGTGGCCTTCCAAGGAGGATGGCCAGGAGAGACTAGAGATCACAGCATTTGAATGGTCTGCAGAAAATGGGAAAGAAGATTGCGTGAGGAGGTTGCTTAGAGCAAAAATGCCCGTCCGAAGCGACGAATGTCACCATCACCCAATAAGTTCTGCGCTTCATTATGGACACGGAAACGTCATAAAAGCTTTCATTGACTATGGAGAGGATATTGGCAACATAGCGGGTTGGTACAGCGTCCAGGATCATTTTACACTTGCCATATGCTCTGGGCATGAATCTGTTGTTAGACTGATGGTCGATAGGGGAGTTAGGTTGGAATTCAAAGATTCCTCAGAGCATCAGCCATTGTCCTATGCAACAGAAAAAGGTCATGTGTCCATAGTAAAATTGCTCCTTGATCATGGGTGTAATCCACTCACGCCCAACTATACTTCTTGGAATCACAGTCCGAGCTCCGCCTGGACGGTAGCTGCAAGTTCGAGCTGGGAAATTCTCCAGATGTTCATCGAGAACTTGAATGGCATAGAGCCCGTATTTCCAGGCTCTGTTCCTGGTGTATCTGATGGTAAAAAGGTTGATGATGATGTCGAACCAGCTGTCTGGCCCTTGGGAGTAGCGCTAGCGCATGATCCAATTGACATTGAACTCGTCAAATTTCTTTATGATCACAGCCCTACGTTCAAAGCGCCATTCTCTTCATACTCTTGACATGTCTTCTATGACATAATACGCGACGGTTATTATTTTGATGTTAGTCGCGTTATTGGAGAATATCCACAACAGCTTGACTTTCTGCTTGAGAGTCTCGATCTGGACGCTGTTATCGATGGGAAGCACCTACGGCCAATTGCATGCCTCATGCATGGTGCGGCAAAGGGAGGGAATGAAAGCAAGATGAAAATTATGCTCGATGTAGACTGGACCTCGAAGGAACCAAGGGTCGAGCCAGCACAGTGGCAAGGCCATCTTAAAAGCTGTCTCATATCTGCTGTTAAAGCTGGCCAAATCAATATTGCAAAGATTTTCTTTGAATATGGCGTTAGAGCAGATTCTTATCTCGTGGCCAAGGGAGAAGGTGCCAGGATGGGGTGAATGGAGAAAGCTGGGTGGTATCGGCGGGTTATCAGGGGAGGACGGAGCGGACAGAGATTATCAGGCATTACCTAGGGCCATAAGCGGAGAGGATTCCAGGGAAGAATAGGAAAAGGATTATCATGGCCATCTGGCCCTATTTCAGAAGAAGTCTCTCTTTATCATTTAGGTCCACACCTATCAATATCATCATCTTTCTCTCCGCACTCTTCGTACCAGGCATGAGTGGTCAAGAGAGGCAATCAATCTCGCCATGCATACTGCTATTGTGAACTTGCTCAGTGCATTCATTGTCGGCGGAGTAATCGGTATAGCAATTGGTCTAGCGGTTGTCGATGCTTTTGGTCTTCTTCTTGGTCCAATTCCAAGGCTGGGATCTTATTACTAGTATGAAAGTTTGAACCATTGAGCTTCGGGATAAGCACTAGTTTGTTGTCTGCCAATCGCATGTCCGACAAGTACTAGAGTAGTAGTACTATGGACAGTGACAGCTTGAATGAACCAAGATCGAGCCGCAGTAAGCCCTGGAGATAACCATAGAATTGGCATCCATGGATTAATGATGATACCGTGACCTATTGTTAGTGCTATTATGCGGGGTAACTAGCTTTTTAAGCCGAACAGCTTTCCCGCTGAGATATAAACCTCACCTCAAGCTAGCAGCTGCCGATATCATTAGACCTCGGAGTACTGCCGTATTCATGAGTTCTTCATAAGATATCCCAGGCTATGCGCAGAGAACGAAGTCCATCGCATCCTACACGATAAGGTATCTGGAATGTTCTTGGGACTCAGATGTTTCACGCAGGGTCACCGAGTTATGCTGGAAACAAACTAGCGCGGTCGGATGGGACTGGATAAAACCTGCCCAACCACGGAGCTAGTCACGCTAGTGCCGAAAACGGTGCAGGTGGGGAGGGTTCGGTTGGAGGAAGAGAAAGATTCAATTTTTGGCATTCCCATGTGTCTCAAACTCTGGGGTTGCCACTGGCACTGTGGCACTTCTTTTGCCGGTTTTACTTGGGTATGCGATTGGGATGACAGCTGCAAGGGGGGGGGGTGAGCAGTGCCGGGGTGATGGGAATTCGGGATTGGATTGGAATGTATGTACCCCGGTAGAAATAAACAAGGGAAGAGTGTTGGGCTTATCAGCACTATCGGTACTGCAGACCTTAGCAATAACAAGCTGAACAAAAGTACGTTGAAGTGGATCTGCTCGGGTGCTAGGGTGTAGGGTGCAGTGACTAAGGTCCCCGGGGTGTTCTGTACGCTGTGCTCGGCAGGGTCTCGTGAGACCCAAAACATGTACGGGAGTCACGGCAGGGAGGGGGTGTCGATCAAAATAAGAAGCTGTAGGGGAGGTGGAAGAGTAAACAATCAATCCGGGGAGAGAAGAGGTCAGAGTAATGATACTGAGATCATGTGGTATGGTATGCCCAGCTCCTTCCTCCCCCGGTTACCCAGTCACCCTGCGTACTAACTACAGTGCTAGCTTGGCACCTTCCCTTAGGGTGGTATTTGGGCCCTTTGTTTCCTTGTTTCCATGTTTTCTTTTTTCTTTTTCTTCTTCTCTTCTCTTCACCTCTCTCTCTCTCTCTCTCTCTCTCTATCCTCCACATCTCACTTCCTGTATTCCTTTCCCAAACATCCTCATACACATTAATCAATCATGCGCTCCTCCATTGTCCTCGTCTCTGCCTTCGCGGCCGCGGCTCTTGGCCAAAACTCCACTTCTTACACCTTCCCCGCAGGGTTCAACATTGGCCTGGTCAAGCCCGATGAGCTGAGTGAGTCAATCGCGTTCCCAATTTGTATGAGCTGCGCTAACAATTTCTCTTCTAGACTCCTGGTGCACCGGTCAGCGCAATGTCTGCCCCGATATCTGCCAGAGCGGAACCAAGCAAAACACTTGCGACCCGGTATGCGATGTTTCTCTCCGAGCATTGATCACTAATCAATCATAACTGACCGTTTCGCAGAAAACCCTTGTGTACAACTGTGTGTGCTCCGACGGATCAACTCCCGATGTCACTCCATACATCCAAACCGTCCCCTTCTACGTCTGCCAGGCCAATTTCGCGCAGTGTATTGAGGCTCACCCCAACGATGCCGATGGCCAGAAGACCTGCAAGGAGGCTGCTCACTGCGGTAGCAAGAACGCCAGTTCCATCAGTACTACCACTACCGCTTCATCTTCCGCTACCACCACTCTCGCCATGACCACTTCTACCGACTCGAACTCGGACTCCAGCCAGACCTCGTCCTCCGTGGCTGCGGCCGCCACCACCAGCAATGCGGCCATTGCCATGGGTGAGGGCTCTTACTCGACCGGTGTCTTGGCCGGTGCCATGTTCCTGGCTATCCGCATGTTCCTGTGAGGAAAAAGCTTTCATCTGTCCTGGTGTCTTTCGGTTCTGGTCCGAGACCGTATTTTGGGAGTCATCCGCGTTCAATTGTCCTATTCTCTTATTTCAGCGCGATCACGACTTCGGCATTGTTTTGGTTTCCTCTTCTTTTTTTTTATTGAATGTCTGATTCCCCGTTCTTCTCGGGTTTGGTGGATGTCCTTCTATCCGCTTTTTATGCCCGTCCATGCTTGTCTTAGCTTAGCGTTAGCATAATGGACCTCGGTGCCTAGTAATAATTTCAACCGTGCTTTGAGATGTTGAACTTTCAACTCAGAATCTCTCGGTATTTTCACCGTTCTTATCGCCTAGGTTTATCAGCTTAGGTACCCTAGACAGACTGCATAGACAGTATGGCTCCCCAGTAGCTGACCCATGACAACCTGGCTCAGCACCAGGAAACTATGCATGGAATTCCAATCCAATTGACTAATATTAAGCGTAAGTTAAACCTAGTGCTCGTCAGTGTAGCCTGTGTTGTGCAACGAGTATACTCAGAGTCCACTATGTGATGCATATTGGTGTTCTGATGTTCTGCGGCAGCGGTGTTCCCTTCGCCAAGACTTTTTTGGCACACACTGAAATTTCTCAACTTATCGATTAGACTCCACCATCAAAGAACACTCTCTCCCTCCTCTCCCCCCTCCCTCCTCCAACCACATACACACCATGCCCGCTCCGACTACTACCCTCCTCATTGAGGGTTCGTTCTCCGAGCTCGCTGAGGAGTTCGCCAACTACATCGATTCCCTCCGCAAAGAGGGCAGCCTCCAGTCCGAGATCGCCCCGCTCCTCCAGCCGATCCGCGAGCAGGAACAATCCGAAGGCGAGCCCGACCAGAAGCAGTACGATGAGGTCCTCAAGAAGATTGTCGGTGCTGCGACCGCTCTGAACGGTGCCCCCGAGAAGGGTGAGTGGGAAACCCCCGGACAATTGTGGTGGCCAGACCAGGAGAAAAGACCATCCGTCGAATATCATCAGGCCGCGCTGTTGCAAAATTCTGGGAACATGAAGAAATGGAGAAAAAAAGAAATGCTGACATGTCTGGAATTACGCAGAGATCACTCCCTCCTACAACTTGCTCGTTCACCTCGTGCAGCAGTCTTCCGACCCTGACATGTTCCTCCCTCGCATCTGCACCTATCTCGCTAAGCCCTTCACCACTTCTCCCCAATTCGGCCCTACTCTGGCCATCAACATCCTCACCACCATCTTCAACACCCTCTCCGCAAACGACTCCAGCCGCTACCACGTCCTCCTGGCCATCGTTGCCGTCATCCGCCAATCTGGATCCGGATACGCTTTCGAGGCCCTGAAGCCCCAGCTGGTCGACCAGCTGCCCACATGGTTGTCCGCCTGGGAGCTGGACGCCGAGGAGGCGCAGAAGTTGCACCTGGCCGTTGCCGATGCTTCCACCGCCGCCGGTGACGACGACCTCGCTCAGTCGCACGTTGTCCAGGCTCTGCAGACCATCCCCGCTGCCGAGTCCACCAAGCCCGCCGCCCGCGACCTGGGTGTGCGCGCTCTCGCCTCTGCCCTGCGTCGCCCCACCGTCTTCGACTTCACCCCTCTGACTGGCTCCGACGCCGTCCAGGCCCTCCGCTCCAGCGACAGCACTCTCTTCGAGCTGCTTGAGATTTTCACCTCCGACACCCTCGACGCCTACGAGGAGTTCGTCGGTGCCAACCCGCTCGCCTCGATCTCTGGCGGTGTCCTCGCCGATGCCTCCGATGCCCTGCAGACCAAGATGCGTCTGCTCACCCTGACTTCTCTGGCCTCCTCTACCCCTTCGCGTTCGCTCCCCTACGCTACCATCGCCTCCGCTCTCCGTGTCCCCGCCTCCGACGTCGAGATGTGGGTCATCGATACCATTCGCGCCGGTCTGGTCGAGGGTAAGCTCTCGCAGCTGCGCTCCGAGTTCCTCGTTCACCGCGCTACTTACCGTGTCTTCGGTGAGAAGCAGTGGTCCGAGGTACAGGGTCGTCTGATGGTCTGGCGCCGCTCTCTCGAGGGTGTCCTCACTGTGATCCGCTCCGAGCGTGAGCGTTTCGTCCGTGAGGGTATCCAGGCTGCCGCTGACCAGGAGGCTGCCGCTGCTGCCGGTAAGAACGGTGACAAGGGCCGAGGCTTTGTTGACCGGCGGCGCAACCCCCAGCAGGCTTCTCAACCCCGTGAGGTTGAAGGCACTGCTGAGTAAAGAAAGAATACAAATAAAACTTCTGGGTTGCTTTATCACTTTTTTTTGCGGCAAAATCCTGCATTTGGATTAGGTGTTCTATGAGGCTGGAGTGTTGAAGTGAAGTGGACCAAAAAAAAGACATTTTGCAAAAAATTCTTCCAGTTGATAATAGATGGCAGAGAAGAGAGGAGAGAGAATCTTCTTCTTTTTTTGGAAACAAAACCCCCCCTCCCAACCCCTACCACCCCCGTCTCTCTCTCTGTCTTCTTCTTCTCCTCCTCATGCATTTATTATTTTCTTATTTTTTCCTTATTTTGTCTTTTTTGTCGAGGCCAGTTGGACGGAATGTATCTACTGGCCGCCCGTTGATATTGGGATCCCCACGAGTCATGTCATGTCTGTTTTTTACTTGAATGTTTTATGTTTTCCCGGTGGGACAACTTTGTTTTATTTCCTGACCTCTTATGATCAAGAATAACAATATTTCTAGACTTCATTAATACCGCGTAGTCACAGCCACTTGAATCATTTGGTAGAAGGAATGCCCCTCATCTCAGGGGCCGATCTAGTCGGTACGGGGGTGACAAACCCCCCCTAATTACAGCAAAAAGGACAACTCTATTGATCTAGATTAAGACAGACAAATCCCCTTTATAAACAAACAACCCATCTCTCAACCCCAACAAAGCCCAATTTACCTTACCGAGCATGCAAGCCCCGCGCCTCAATTCCAGCCTTAACACTCTCATAAACCTCATCCACAGACCCCGTAGCCTTAACAGTAACAACCTTATCCTCCTTCCGGAAAGCCTCAACAACAGGCATACTAGTCTCAACGAAAGTACGGAACCGCTTCCGAATAGAAGCCGCATTATCATCATCCCGTCCACTCGTCTCCCCGCGCTTCAAAAGTCGGCTTTCCATAACATCCTCAGGACAATCAAGGAAAAGCACCAACTCAGACGGACAAACACTCGCTTCAAAGAACTCCGCCTGATCAAGTTTACGCGGGAACCCATCGATCAAGAATCGAGCCTTGCTGCCCGCGGGAGGAGGGTTGGAGACCAACGACTCGGCCATCGCGTCGGAGAGTAGGTTCACGGTTACTTCCATGGGGACGATTTTGCCTTCCGTGATGTATTCTTTTATCATTGCGCCGCGGGAGGATCCTTCGCGGACTTGCTCGGCGCGGAGGAGGTCGCCTGCCGACAGGTGGACGAAGGAGTAGTTCTTGACTAGGTTTGCGGATTGGGTGCCCTTTCCGCTGCCGGGGCCGCCGAGGAAGAAGACGACTGTTACTTCGTCGGTGGAGAAGCGGGGGGGTTATGTCGGTTGGTGCCATTGTGGTGGAATTGGCTGTTGTGGTTTTGTTTGTGGAGGGTGGTTGTGGAGGAAGGCCGGGGGTGGAGGGGGGAGAAGGGAAGTGTGGTGCGGTGCGGTGCGGTGTGGATTGGAGGGGTTGCGGCGCTGGCGTGGGCGGGATCAACGCAGGAGGCTTAGCCTAGTTTGACGGGCGCGATTGGCTCACACCGGTGCGGGAGTTGACGAGTAAAATGTAAGAGCCGGAGCCTAGGAGGAAAATGGCGATGATTGGGATGACGGGGAAATTGGAGCGGCTTTGTTGGGGTGCGGAGGAGGATGGGCGAGGTGTTGATGGAGATGATGATGATGATGATGCTGGCTTGTTGGTTGAATTGAAGCGGTGGGGCTGTGCGTTGGAGGCGAGTTGTGGTTTGGAGAGGAGGGATCGGGTGGTGAGTCGGCCACTGGCAAGGGCGATTGAACGAGTGGAAGAGAAGAGAGACATTGGGATTGAGAGAGAGAGCTGATTGCAGTGATTTGGAGGGTTGGTGAAGGTGAAGAAAAAGGAGACTGCCGGAACGGGCTAGCTTGTCTGGATGTGGTAGAGTGGTATACCTACACTCCGGAGCTGGCAGAGAGGATTGTGGATGATATGCAAAGTATTTGAGCCAATCAACTTTTTAGTGGTATACTATTTGACTTGAGTGCTAGTAGCCCTGGCACTGGCACTGCTGGTAAGGGTTCGTGAAGATAGATAGATGGTGGTACAATTTGCTACATATATATCCAGATAGAACCGAAATATGTTGCTCTCCAATCTCAATGAGAGTGATTCTTTCAAGTCGGTCCCAATCGAATAGTACATCAGATAATTTTGTCTTCTCGTACTTTGAATATTTGCCCAGGCGACTTTCTGTCCAATAAAGACTCGGACACCTGCTCCAAGTTGAAGTTATGGCAAAGTTGGAGTCGCCGTGGCTCAGACCGCAAGGCGCCAAGCAGGGCAGGTAAGAGCCGGCCAATCAGCGCCCGGGATGACCATCAACCCCGGCATACAGGTTTGAAGGAAGGGGACAAGGCATCAGCTGAGCCATAATAAGGCATCAAATTATATGCAGGTCAGATTTAGCAGCGTCAACCCAGCCATACAGCTTTCAAAATAACACGCCGACAGGCCACATAGCCTAATTATACGCAGATAAGACTCAGCCAACCAGCAACTAGATTGACTATGACAGGATCAGGTGATGCTAAGCTGAGCCATGATCAGGCCGAGCGCGGTAAGAGCTGATAAGTGTGGCGTCGAGACTGCACAGCACTCACTAGCCAACCCAAGCCCATGCTAATAAATTTGCGCTGGAGGAGGACGGCAAAACTTTCGGCGATGACTGAATAAATCAGTAGTACAAAACGATATTATAGGAGGGAAATTTAGCATCTCTTTCATACAAAAGGTTAGTAGGAGAGTGGAAATTCTAATTATTTGCTTGCATGCAGTAACGGTATCCATATCAAAATGATTTCTATTCCAAGGTATTCATATAGAGATGCAAAGAAATGCAAAGAAAAAAGATATTACAAAGAAAATAACCACTCTGCCTGTGTTACTACAAGCTCATTCCAATCCAATCCCACCTAAGCCTGCGACTTATTAAGGATGATCTCCGCCAGCGCGATCAAAGACCCACTAGACAAGAGCTCCAAAACCTGAACATTGGCATTGGCCTCACGAGCAATCCAGTTGCGAATCTCAATCGCAACAAGCGAGTCCAGACCCAGCGAGGCAACAGTAATAGAAGGATCCATATCCTCCAACGAAATAACAAGGACCTGCGCCAACTTAGCAGCCAGAGCCTCGTAACAAATCTGCAACGCCTCCTCCTTGGACTCCGCATTGGCAAGCTGAGTGTTCAACGGGACGGAGGGTCCATTTCCTGCACCAGCGCCACTACCGTGTCGCGCCTTGGCCTCCTCGAACAGAATGCTGAACTTGGCGTCCTGCGCCCAGAAGTGGTCCAGCGTGCTGCCGAGCTCGAGACCTGTAATGCAGTGACCGCCGCAGGATTTCGTAAGATCTCCTGTGATGGCGGCCGCGAAAAGGGCTAACACTTCGGCCTCGTCCATTCCGTCTGTGCCAATGTTCTTGAGAACCTCCTGCTGGCGCTTGCTGTCGACTTCGGCCAGGTAGCCGACATCTCGGACGGCGGTGAGGTCGATGGATGTACCAGGCAGGCCTTGCGAGCGGCGGTATTCCATGAATGCGTCTAGGAAGACGTTTGCTGCGGCGTACGCGGCTTGACCTCTGTTACCGATTGTACCTGCCACGGAGGAGAGGGCCACGAAGAAGTCCAGCGGTGAGTCGGAGAGGACGTCGTGGAGGTTCCAGGCACCTTCGACCTTACTCTCGGCGACTGCGTTGAAGTCTTCCAGAGTCATCTTTTCGAAGAGGATATCCTGGGTGAAAGTGTTAGTATTGGACATCTTTATAGAGGGTGGGCGTGTTGGAATGGATTCTTACCCGAAGAACCATGGCACCGTGAACAACACCGCGTACTGGAGGAAGGCCTCTCATATCTTCCTTGACAAGCTTCTCGACGGAGCCCCGGCTGCTCACATCACACGCCTTGACGGAAATGTGGGTGCCGTCAACGGCCAGCTCATCCATCAGCTCTTGCACCTTGTCATTGACAGATGCGCTTCGCGACACAAGCACGATGTTTCTGGCGCCCTTTGAAGACATCCACTTGGCCATACTTCGGCCAAGACCGCCAGTACCACCAATGAGGATATAGGAAGCATCGGCCTTCAGAACATGACCGGTCTTCGATGTAACAGCCTGAAAGGAAGAAAAGGTTAGTGACTGCGATCATCTTGATTCATCGTGGAATTGACTTACCTTGACCTGGTCCTCAGGGTGAGGAACAACAACAATCTTACCCATAGCCTTACCAGTCTGCAACGTGCGGAAAGCAGTCTCAAGTTCCGAGATGCGGTACGCAGTAACGGGCGAAATAGGCTTCACGGAACCCTTACCCATAAGTTGAGTGACATTGTCAAGAAGACGTCTCATCAACTTAGGCTTGCGGGCCGCAACCTTGGTAAGATCCACCGAGGCAAACGAGACGTTGTATTCAAACGGCAGCATGTCGAGACGAGTGTTCTTCGTGATATCGGCCTTACCGATCTCAATAAAGCGACCAAATGGTGCCAGGCACTCCCAGGTCTCACGGAGAAGATCACCCGCCAGCGAGTTGACCACGACATCGACACCCTCGCCGTTGGTGGCTCTCTTGATACCGCGAGCAAAGGAAGTATCACGACTGTAGAGGATATGATCTTCCGGAATTCCGTACTGCGTCATGAGGAACTGCTTCTTTTCCACGCTGCCGACAGTAACGAAGATCTCGGCTCCAATCATCTGTGCCAGCATGATGGCCGACTGTCCGACACCACCAGCACCGGCATGAATGAGAACCCGTTCATCTTCTTGCAATCTGCCCAGATCGAAGAGCGCGTAGTACGCAGTAGCGAAGACAACTGGTACGGTCGCGGCAACTTCGAAGGTCATGTTGTCTGGGATGGGAGCTGCACTCGTAGCGGGGCAACGGGCGTAGGTTGAGTATGCACCCAGTGGCAGAGCCATGACCCGCTGGCCGACCTGAAGGCTTGTCACGTTCTTGCCGATGGATGTGACGATACCACTGCACTCGATACCGATGTAAGGCTGAGCCAATTGGCCCATAGTGACGACGATATCCTTGAAGTTGAGACCGGTGGCCTTGACCTCGATCTCAATGTCGTTGTCAGGAAGTTCGGGAACAATATCCTCTGTGAAGTAGAGAGTATCGAGAGCACCGAGGTTACCGATCTGGAGCTTGAATCGTCGACCGGGCTGTTGGAATGGTTGGGAAGTGATGGTCATCTCATGAGTCTCGTTGTGAACGAAGGCGTTGGTGGCAGTGTCATCCATGGCACGGGGGACCAGGAGTTCAGAGCCATTGGCCTTGAACTCGAAGTCATCGACGGGCTTGGCTCCGTTCGTGGGCCAGAGAGCATCAATGGCAGCCAGGATGGGAGCTGTGGGCTTCTCCAGATTTTCGGTCTCGAGTCCGAGGGTGGCAACCTTGGCCAGAGTCTCAGAGCGAATACTGCGGATCAAACCGACAATCATCTGAGCATCTGGGTTATCCAGGCGGTAGACCCAGAGAAGGTGGGAAGCACTCAATAGTGCCTTCTGGATCTTCTCGAAAACATCCGCGGTCAAGTCACGCAGAGTCTTGTTTCCAGTCTGAAGGACGATGACATGCTTCTCGGTAGCATCAATATCTTCCAGCGAGGTGGATATCGGGTGCCACTTGGACTTGTCCTTGAAAATGGCCTCCTTAAGCTTGTCGACATTGCCATCTGGCTTTCCGAACTGGGTGATCACAAGATCGGTTTGATGCAGAATACCGTTTCCATTCATGGTGACTGCGTCATCAGGGGTGAGAGGAGTGAGAGGGCCATTCGAGACGCCGTTTGGCATGAGATGGCCATTCACTGCTCCATTAGCGGTCACGGCGTGGCCCTTAGCCTCGCCATTGACTGGGCTCTCCAAGCTAGCCAGGGTCTGCCACTCAAACTTGTAGCACAGATCACGAGTTTGGCTGTTGCCCAGTGAGCCGCCGTCCTTAAGAGGAGTCATGACCAAGCCCTCCATGTTGATCAAGAGCTCGTTGGAGTGGATAGGAGTCACCCACAGATCGAACTTGGTGGGCTCGGGGGATGGCTGACTGGGACCTCCAATACACCAAGCCTTGGTATATTCTCCAGGAGTGGAGGGGATCTCACTGCTGATAGTCAAGCTCTTGATCAGAGTGGGCATGTAGAGAGTATCAAGCTCCATGCGACCCTTTCCAAGAATGGGCCAGACAAGGTGCAGCAAAGCGTCCAGGAACGTCGGGTGAATTGTCAGAGGAACCTCGTAATTCTTAGGCATTCCGCTCTTGGTGTCCCTAACGTACAAGTCTGCACAGCAGTGGCGAGGGTCGGAGAAGCAGTTCTCCAGTCCTTGGAAAGGAGCACCATAGCCTGCGCCGACATCTGCGAGGACTTGGTACAAGTTCTGAATGTCGATCTTGTATGTGGCCGACTCCCTGACCTTGTCGATTTGGGAACGGAAGAACTTCTCTTCGGACTCGGCGACATTGGAGACGGAGGTCTGCTGCTTCTTGTTGGCGCGGACCCGGACAAGACCAGAGCAGTGCTCAGTCCAGCCGCGCTTTTCAGACCACGAAAAGATGCGGAACTGATCCCAGATATCCGAGTGGCCGCGAGTACCTTCGGCAAATGGTTGAAGAGTGATGGAAGTCTCGGCATAGGAATCATCTGTCAGGACAAGTGCAGATCCAACGGAAACCTCTCGGAACTCGAACTGGGAAAATGGAATCTCCTTCTGCACGGCGCGTCGGCGTGCAGCTTCAATAGCCATAGCAAGCTTTTAATCTGTTAGTACATTTCCTTTTTCAAATTCGAATGATGAAAGGAAAACTTACATAACCAGCCATTGGGTACACAATCATGCCCTGCATTTTGTGGTCGCGAAGCCAGGAAATATCATCAAGACGAACGATGTTGCGCCATGTTGGCTCCAGGTCATTCGAGTACATAGCCTGAGCACCAAGAACATCGTTGCGGACACCATCTCGCTTGACATGCTTGTCCGCGATACGGGATTCGTGCCAGTAACGGGTAGAATGCTGCCACGGGTACCGAGGAAGATCTCTCAGGAACGATCTGTTATTAGCATTGCTGGAAGGGAAGTTGAGATCGGTGATTTTGAGAGATGCTCCGCGCACGTAAGCTGCGCCAGCGGCATCCATGACGGTCTCGCTAGGGTCAGCATTACGGACCACAGTCGGGGCGTAGCCAATCTTGGAGGCCGCCGGACCCAGGCTCTTCTGGATATCAAGGATAGGACCCTTCAGAGCAGAATGGGGACCAACCTCAATGAGGAGGTTTGGTCGGGTCTCTTCATCATCACACATCTTGCTCAGGGCATCGGAGAACAAGACGGAGGATGTCAAGTTTTGAATCCAGTAGGCTGGGCCCAAGTCAGAAGGCTGGGCGATCTCACCAGTCACGGAAGAGAAGAAGGTCGCGGTGGAAGTAGTTGCTGGCTGAATGGACTCGATGGCGGCCAGATAGGCTTCAGCGACATTCTTCATGTGGTCTGAATGGTAGGCCACATCGATCTTGAGGCGTCGGTTGAACAATGCCTGTTCTTGCAGGATGGGCTCCAGCTCGTCAATAGCAGAAACGTCTCCGGAAACCGTCACACTGGAAGGACTGTTTACGCAGGCAATAGTGGCGTAGCTTCCGAGGGTTTTCAGCATCGGCTTGACAGCCTCGGGTCCAGCGCCAATGGCAATCATGGTACCCTTCAGCAGAGGGAATGACTTCTTCAGGAGCTGGGTCATTTGACCACGGCGGTATGAAAGGGCCATCGCAGCCTCGAGGTCATAGATACCAGCAGCGTACGCAGCACCGATCTCACCAGAGCTGTGTCCGACAACCGAGGAGGGGAGAATGCCCCAAGACCGAAGCAGATCAGTCAACGCAACCTGGAGTGCTGTGCAAGCCGGCTGGCTCAGGTGAGGAGAGTTGATCTGAGACTCCGAAGCATCCTTCTCAAGCTCCTCCAGAAGAGAGAATTCCGCACCAAGTTTGCGCAGGCACTCGTCGGCCTGCACAATGGCAGACTTGAAAACCGGGTAGTCGGCCATAAGCGGGATACCCATTTGGGCCCATTGGGCTCCTTGTCCAGTGAAGACGAATGCGATGGTAGGCGCGCCCAGCACTCGAGCTGGGTTGACCTTCAACTGAGCCAAGCGAATACCAAGCTCATCAAGTGATGTCGCCGACACGGCAAGGCGGTATGAAAGCTGCGACAGTTTGCTTCCGAGAGTGTAGGCAAAGTTTCCGAAAAGAGAGTTTTCAAACACCTCCGGTCTTTGTTCGAAATAAACGCCGAAATCATGAATTCTAGTCTTGAGCGAGTCTTTATCGTTTGCTGAAATGAGGAACAGGCGACGCTTGGGGTCTCCATCAGCTTCCGCGTCGTCGGCTGCTTGTGTTGGCGCAGGAGGCTTCTGCATCACGACGTGGGCATTGGCACCTCCAAAGCCATAATTAGAGACACTGATATATTTCTTGCCTCGAGGCCATGGTCGTGTGGAATTCACGACCTTCATGTTCCATTCGTTGAGAGGGATATTAGGGTTCGGCTTCTTGAAGTCGGCATTCGGAAGCAACAATCCATTATCCAGGATCATAGCAGCTTTAATGATTGATGCAATACCGCTTGCACCTTCCAGATGGCCAATGTTGGACTTGACGGATCCAATATAGAGGGGGTTTCTGGCTGTCCGGTTTTGGCCCAGGGCTGCGTGGACGGCAGCGGCTTCAATGGGATCTCCGGCCTTTGTACCAGTGCCGTGCATTTCTGCAAAGCCACACTCGTCGGGGTTCAAATTGGCCTCAGAGTAGACACGACGGATCAAGTTCTCCTGTGCCTTTTCATTCGGCAATGTGATACCCTTTGTCCTTCCATCTTGGTTGACGCCCGTATGAGCAATTACAGCCCGAATGGGGTCCTTATCGCGGATTGCGGCCGAGAGGGGCTTGAGGAGAACGACACCAGCACCCTCACCACGCGCGAAGCCGGATTTCGCTCTCTCTTCGAATGCGTATGTTTTTCCTTCGTCGTTGAACAATCTATAATTGGGAGAGAAAAACAACAGGTTAGTAATTGCGCCGAAAGATTGAAAGCGGGGAGGCGGGGGAAGCTTGAGCGGGAGTACTAACTGTGACATGGACATAGAAACGAAATAATCAGGGAGAATGTTCAATCTGCAACCTCCGACAAGAGCCTCTTTCGATTCACCACTGCGCAAGCTCTGTACAGCATAGTGGAGAGCCACGAGTGAGGAGGAACAGGCTGTGTCGATGGTCAAACTCGGACCCGACAAATCGAAGCAATAGGAGATCCTGTTCGATTGGAGGGATGCCGCATTGCCGGTGGCCTGGTATACGGGTGTAGTTTCAATATCGCGCAAGTTGCGCAGCTCGTAATCAGAGAAGTTGCCACCGACGAAAACACCGACATTACGGCCGGCAAGGGATTCTTTGGGAATGCCAGCACTCTCCAAAGCTTCGTACGAGGTTTCTAAAAGCAATCGCTGCTGGGGGTCCATGGAAATGGCCTCCTGAACGGTGACATTGAAGAAGGGGGCGTCAAATCGGGAGACATCCTCGTCGAGAAAGTACCCGCCGATGGGGTTTGTAGTTCCCGACTTGGATGGGTTAGGATGATGGTAGGCACCGGAGTCGAAGCGGTCTTTAGGGATGGGACACCATCCACTGCGACCGCGTGTGCAAAGCTCCCATAAGTCGCCGGGGGAGGAGACCTGACCGGAGAGACGACAGGCGTAACCGATGATCGCGATGGGCTCGGGAGTCTCATTCACCCCATTCACGCCGTCGGGCTGTGACCCGTTCTCGGCACTATTCATGGTATATGAGATTCTCCTTTTTGGTGAAAAAAAGAAGGAGATAAGGAGGGGGGAGGAGAAGGAGAGGAGGGGGGTGGAGGAGGGGTTTAAAAGAAGGAAAGTATAGAATTTGTTGAAGTGGATTCGCCAGAATTGACGGGACTCACGATTAAATAGAATAAACCAAAGATTTTTGTCCAGAAGGACACTGACAGGAGCGATCCAGAGCTTCTCCAAAAAATTCAATGGAAACGATCTGCGCCCTCTTTTTTGCGCCGAGGCGATAAACGTATTGGGTGCGTAACTTCGGACTGCTGTACAAGCCCCTTGAGGTTAGACACAAATTCAGGTACGTTTCGACCCACGGCGCCCCATCGGCCATGCAACCCACAATCCACGCGAGCTTGAGGCACGGAGCTACTTGGATCGCCGATCACATGTGTTTCGGAGGGAATTGGCTGATTTATGAGCAGCCAGGGAGGACTATCTTTCTTCTCTTTCCTCCTCTATCATCTGTGCAACATTTCATTCATTCTCTCATCCGGTCTAGACTAGACAACCATGAAGTTTCTCTGCTTGCACGGTGCCATTGGCAATGTCGATGTGAGTCTTTCAACTTGGACTTGAACTCATTACGGGGCAAAGATGCTAACTATTCCCAAAGAACATCAGTATCCAGCTTTGTATGCAGCAAGAGAAAGCCCAATCGATACTCTAGAGAGGAGCACTCTAATCGCTAACCATGAATACTATACAGCTCCCCTTCAGAAAGACCTGGGACAAGATGAGTCTGCGTCCTTCCACTACATCAACGCGCCCGTCAAGATCACACCACCAGCAGGTATGAGACTTTTGCGCTCTCTTGTATCCAGAACCAAGCTCACCAAGATACAGGATTTGAGGAGTACTTTGGTGTCGGCCCTCACTATCGCTGGGCAGACGATGGCGGTGCTGCCGAAGATTCTTTGATCAGTCGCGTTCGCCAAATCCCCGTGGGACAAAATCCAGAAGATGTGATGCGTGACCTTGTGGGTGATCGCGCGGTTATCTGGCTCAACTACAAGAATGTCATGGATTATCTCTACCAAACCCTGGAGGAGCACCCAGACATTGGAGGTATTATCGGATACAGCGAGGGTGCCTCTATGGCCGCGACCTTCATCCTGGATGAGCAACGGCGATTCGAGGAGGAAGGCCGTGAGCGCCGCATCAAGTGCGCCATGTTCTTTACTGGTTGGCCACCCATGTCGCCGGAAAGGGGGGGTCCTCCTGGCGGACGAGGTTGAAGATCTGGTTGACGTCCCCACCCTTCATGTTGTTGGCGCGAACGGTATGTACTCCCAACTATTGGCTCCCGGTCCCCTTCCTTTTTCTCCCTTTTTTTTTTTTTTTTTTTTTTTTTTGGCTCGGCAATACTGATTGCTAGGTAGATCCCTTCCGCCATGGTGCATATGCACTTTACAATGTTTGCGACCCAGACACGGCCACCTTTTTCGATACGGGGAAGGGACACACTATCCCCCGCTCAGGGTTGGTGATCAATGAATTGGCCAATGCGGTTCGTGATCTTGTTGAGAAGACTCACGAAGAGGAGTGAAAATGAGATTCCTCATTCTGAGTTGTGATTACGTCGATCGGCGAATCCCCTTGCGCTCTGTTATTATAGAAGTTCTCTATCATTTGTGATTGGTTTATGTGATCTGTGATCACCAGGGGTGTACATAGGCGTACGGGATCTTTATTACAGGGGAATTACATAGTTGTCATTATCGTTTTCAGTATTATTGATCACATTAATTTTTTAATTTGCTTCTTCCTACTCCGTACAGAGCCTTGGAATATGATGGTTCAATCGCAAGATGCTGTCATACAATAGGCGAATGGCGTACGTAGCCTCTAGCCTCAGCGGGTTTGTACGACATGCTCATTCAAGTTTTGCTATAATTTTTAAGACCTCCTTGATACTCTCTGTCCGGTGTACCTGCGACACACTGCAACAAACTTACGGTCCGAAATGTTTCATCCTCCCCTATTTCCATTTTCCCGTTTTCCCACACTTCACATGTGGTGGACGATCTCGATCGACCAGCAGGCTCGATAAGCTGAGAACTGCCCCACAAGCATTGGCACCAAACCCTGTTTCCTAGTGGGAGCCACTCGTCTTCAGGCTGGTGGAGCCTGTCGATCCTAATCTCCAGATCTAGCTCGGCCTGTCGCACACCACGGCTAATATAATCATCAGCCATTTCTCGATAGTATCCGGTATATCCCTGGAGAATACCACCACATGTGACCAGTCGGTGCGCTGGCGTTTCGGTCCATGGTCATATTAAGGTGAAATAACACAAGCCGACTAGCGATCAGAAAGGAAACAGCCTCAACCTGAACCAGAGTTGGAGCCAGATTCAAAGGAACCACCAGAAGGTAAAACCAGCACCAAACCAAAGTCAGACACGGCAAACCCCCGACAATCATCCCACATCCTCCACTCGTCCGCGCCCGCGACCCAATCAATTGTGCCCGTCATGCGATTCCAGAACCTCGTGTTGGCTTTCGGCGTCCTGGTCCACACCCAGCCCACGCCACCAGAACAGTGCGCCACTGGAGTGCACGCCATCCTTATCCGCGGCCAGGGACCAGGCGATCACTTGAATGTGATGGTGACTATCCAGAATCTGGTGTTGCAGCTTATTCCCGGCTCGACTAGCATCGCCTTGCCCTATAAACACGGCGCAGACGATCACCGCGTCGCTGCTGGCAACGGGGCATATCTAATGCAGGAATATATCCGAGAATACATCGCCGACTGCCCAAATTCGAAGATCTTCCTGCATGGGTACTCATTGGTAAGTTCTCCTTCCATGGTCGGACACATCCCGCTTCAGATCAGCTTTTCCATTCATTCCTTCTCGAACCATGTTCTCCTGCTAGAAGGTTTATGCGGCTACTATCGCTCCCCCCCGTACACTAGCAATCAAATCCCCGAAGAACGGCCATGCAACCACTGTATCCCGGCTGGATTCCTCTCACCGGTGGCGATATGAAATCCAGCTGAAACGTGAACTCTTCACAGGGAGGAATTGTCCTGATGGACGGTCTATGTGGAACCAGTTCGTCCTGGCTCTTCCCTGTGCCAGCCTTGGAGCCAAAGTATAACAAAAGTGGTAAGCTCCGTCGTATCAAACCCGATCTAGCCAAATTTTGTCCGGTCTGGCGGGAGAACCCTAAATCTGCTTGGAACACTAGTAATTGCCGCTGTTTGTTACGGCGAGGAGACATTTCTTCCGCAACAGCCCTGGAACATCGGGACCTGCACCAATGGGACGGGGTAAGCGATCTATTTCGTTCGAGTCCGAGTCACTTCTACGTCTATTGTTTGCCGTCAGGCATCTTACACTGGCGGATATCCCGAATGGAATCCCGATGCTAAACTCAATAGTTGTACCCACGCATTCACCCCGAGTGGTGCGATCCTTACAAGGATTCGCTGCGAAGCTACTGCGACGTGGGCGACGTGGAGTGCTGTCTTAGCAATCCACCCGGTGACAACCTCGCGCATTTCTTGTATATTGTCAAATACAATATGGATGTCATACACTTCATTCAGCGCCGACTGAATGAAACGTGTTCTCAATAATTAATTTTCTTTTTTTTTTCGAGCCTTACTGAATATTATTTCATATTCTACCTCTCACATTTTTCCATGTCTCTTATATCCCGTTCCAATATTTTCCAATTTTGAATATACTATTACCATTATTATTCGTATTTTTCTCCTTTTTCTCCACGGCCCTCTCTCAACAATTGACAAATCTTGCCAACGCGGAATGTGGATATCTCATCGCTCGATCCAATTCGCAATGTGACGCAATTGAGAAAAACCCTATGGGGATTATCTCAGCCACGTTGCCACTCCTCCCCACCATTAGCACCAATCATAAAGCGGATAGGATAGGCTTTAGCTTAGCTCACCCCAAGTGGAGCTCAGACCCTGGCCTCAAAGTTTAGTTGAACTGCTTACTCAAATGGAGTGCGAAAGAGTGGAGTAGAATGATAGGCTTATATTCGTCCAAGGGGCAACACTAATTTTTCGCACGGCAAGGGAGCCAATTCCCGTCGGCTATGATTCGCGATGCGTTTGCCCTGAGCGCCAATCTTCTCTATCTTCTAATTAGATTGGCGGCAATCAATAGGGGCATTTTTCGGCATTGCTCGGGGTGACTACCATGGCCCCGTCAGTGTATCCAATCAATACTCGCCAATATGAAGAAGGTACGGAGTACTCCGTGTGGAGTGCTCTCCCCTAATTTTTATTCCCGATTGCCTCTGCGATCGAAAATCAAGTGGGGAGGAGTCTCGTAATGTTGGATTTTCATTTAACTTGATTTTCACCTTCCTCGTATCGTAAGGTCGATACCTTCGAAGGAAAGTCAATCACGAAACTAGTGACTGGATTTTTTTTTTCCAGGAGGGGATCTTCGAAGTGGTCCGTCAAATTTTGGGCGCTATTGATTGTTAGAGGTGCCACAAGGTACGGAGGACTTGTAGTTTAGACTGGGTATCAGAGTATCAAAAACTTGTTCGGGCGCAAGACTGAAAATTGGGCTCAACCCCGTTAAATCAGATTAAGAGACCCGGGGGTTGACAGCTACAGTTGCCCAGGTTTTACCCCAGCCTTGAATTTGAGACCATCTTGTAGCCGTGGGTAAAACCCCGGAACGCATAGCCTAATGAGGATTGACTTCCAAGCTTAGTACAGTGAAGAGCCTCAACTGCCGAAATTTAGACTCCTCTTTGAAACCTCAATTCTCAAGCGTCTCAAATTCAAACCCTACCATTTCCAAGTTTGCTGAAAATTCTCCCTTTGGTTCTTGAATTTCAGCTCTTTCATATAATCAGGAACTGGCTTCGTTCTAATTCAAGGCTCCGCTCCTCGGCACCTGAAACAAATTCGACACAACCGTTCGAGATAATCACCCCGCCTCAAAAATGAGTCTTTAGATGCATGCAGAAACGCATGCAAATTGATTTTCGGAAGACTTCCCGAGAACTCTCCCAGAAAATACCCCCCTCCCCGCAAATTCATCCTCTGTAACCAGGGTTGCTTCTTGCATATCCCAAAACATGGACCCATTGACAACGGTTGATCTACCTCGGCACCAACGCTCGTCCTGTTAAACCTTAAAGACGGTCGCTTCATGCCGGATCTTCTCTGCCCGCAGGGCTTGGTGGTGTCACCGGTCGGGCTCTTGCAATTGTGGAACAAGCACTCTGTCCCGTCAAAGCGTGCCTTTGGGAAGATCGCTGGCGCCCCTGCAGGAACAGAAACGATCGAGAAACAAACAGGTGGCGCTCTCTTTTAGTGGAAACAACTGTAGTTCTGAATAATTCGACCTATCTTTTGCGGCAGTTACATGTAGATGAACAAATTTGAAGAATTCAGAGCGCTCGGCTCCCTCAATCGACCATTCATAGGGCGCATACTCCAGAGCGGAGTTCCAGACCCTCCATCTTCATGCCCACCGAGCGAAATTTTACGAACGGTCTCAGCCAAGCATTCTTCCTGGATCAATCACGTCCTCCTGCAACGGACCGTGTCGTAGAACCAGGACTAGGAGCAGTCGCGAATAGATAACGAGGTTCATCTAGTCAAATGTCGACATGTGAATATCGCTCTGTCTAAAATATCCATCTGATCAGAACGTTGCTGGTGCGTTATCCTCGCAAGATGGTTGGTAATCCTAAGCGAGTCACTGAAGCTCTAGATCCCGGCCTTTTATCTCGATCTTGGGTCCCGTCCGGGTCGGGTGAATCACCTGTGACCTGACGTCTAGCCTTACGGAGCCAATACCTGATATGTACTTACCCGTATTCTTATCTTTTAATCTAGCATGTGATAGTGGACATCCAAGTATCAGAGCTTCAATATCCTGCTGTCCGAGCTCGTTCCTATGGTTTTGTAGATATCAACTTAGATTGACAGATATGAGGATTATGCCCGCTGGTGAAACCTAACTACTAGTTAACTGCAATCCATTCAATCAGAACATTCCATCCCCCAATTAGAGACTTTTCAGTAATCCGGGCAACACAACCGTCTCAGTAAAGTTCCAAAGTTTCGACGAATCCTGGACATGAAAGGCAGCGCCTGTATACCATGTACTTCGATAACCCTGCAAAGCATAAAGATCATTATAAAATCCAGTAGCAATGCGACTCGGAGAGGCAGTTAGTTCAAAGGGAACATGACTCTTAAAACGCAAGAAATTGGCCGCTCCCGAAAAGTTACCCGTGAACCCGTTATTCTGCAATTTCTGGATATACGAAAGTATCTCCCCCTGCACATAAGAGTCTGGCAAAATTTTCTGACTGCCATACTTGACGTCAAAAACGCCATTGACGGCGGTGGCGGATACAGAGTAGACTGCTGGCATCTGGGGGATGTTGAAGGAGGTATTGGCTGATGCGGAGCTGGAGGTGAAGTTCAATGGAAGTCCTGTACTTCGTACTAGGGAGGTGTAGTACCCCACGCTTCTGAATTCGTTAAAGATTTTTGCTTCGGTGTGATCGGGATTGAAGGGGAGTAGGTTATTGAGAGTTTGGGGGATTGTAATGAGTATTTTCTTTGCTTGTATTGTTCGGATTCCGTTTGGTGTGTTGACATCTATTTCAACTCCTTTTGCATCTCTTTGTCGGGCAGACGCTACAGTACTTCTGAAAAGTACATCTGGTCCAAGGATCCTTGAAGCCTGGTCGTATATTTGATGATTGTTATTGCTGGTAGGAAGCAAGGCCCCATTTGCCATTGTGTTTAGGACATCGAACCCGAGTATCTTGAAAACATATAATGTTGGTTGATCAAGAATATTGCCAAGGCCTTGATTGAACTGTGCTATCGAGAATGTCGCATTTCCGACTTCGGGGTACTTTGCAACGAATTGTCCGAATGGTAGCAGTAGATCTTCTGGGACAGGGTTGGGGAGATTGTACCCAGTTTCCAGGCCAGGGTATTGTGCAAGTTTCTGGGCGTAGGCTGCCAGCCCTGCCGATGGATCCGGAGGAGTGAAATTGACTGTCTGAGCAGTATCGGGATCCAAATATGTAGTGATGGGCTGGAATATCTGTGAAAGATTTTGTAGAGCGCTGGATATATTCAGTCGTGCGAAATATTGTCGCACGACGGGCAGATCGTGGAATAGAACAACTCCATAATCCACAACCTGTTTGGTCGTTGGATCGACGTATGTTTCGGTGTGGCCTCCCAAGATACTTTCTCTTTCTACCACGACGACTGATTTCCCTTGATCACGAAGTCTAATCGCGGCGTAGGTGCCCGAGGAGCCGCCGCCGATAATGACAACATCCCTGACAAGCGGCTTGCTAGCACAACTCCCGGGGAAGAAATGAACAGTCCGAGACTGAAAATAACTAGACTTTTGGACGACAGCCAAATCATGATTTAATACTAGGCGCGGGAGATCGGAGATGGAAAGAAAAGTTGCTCTTGCTTACATTGCCGGGAGAAGACAAGGTGGTATGCGCGGGTTTTAAGTATGCAGAGCCCACATTCCTTGGGTTTGCCCAGAGTTACTTGGCAATGGGCTTTGCCAGTCTGGCTGAAAACATTGACCAGTCCCTTACTACCGCTATATTTATCTAGAATGTTGTCCCCTTACAATATTTCCCCGCCAAGATGAGATTTGGCCGACTTTGAACAGACATCTAATGATCCAGTGAAGCAAAAACCTTTATGATTCTAGATATTTTCTTTAAAAAAAAAGCCAGCCAGATTGAAGATTAGCTGAGCAAACCAGTTTAGTTATATGAATAGATACCGAGCAAATCTATAGTTACACAATAAAGCTTCCATGACTCTAGACCTGGACATTTTATAGTTTGACCTTTGACAAATTGTACTGCATGTACGTACCCCCGGAACGGTTTAATCATCCACGAAAGGCAGAAGTTCGGGTGGCTTGTCTAAGTCTTTTTAAATTTTCACTTGTTTACAAATAAAATTTAGGTTCACAGTCATGGCCCTTGAAGGCTATGTGGATCAGTTCGGGATCTATTTAAGTGTCAATGGTCGATTGTAGCTCAGGGATGCCGTGTCGCTGCCCGAAGAGGGAAGCTTATTCTGCATTCCAAGCCGGCAACGCCAGGGCGGCATCCAGTCCAATGCAGTATTAAGGTGTTCTCAAAGGTTGATAGAATTTTCATGGTACTACGTCAATTGCTATTGCTTTGTTACTCTCCGAGATTGTGACGGGAAGAAGTTTCCAGTTCAGAGCACCAAAGTTACACCTAATGTTGCGCGAATGTAAATTGCCGATATCGGCTGTCAAGGCCCGGATTTCGCCGACTTATCATCTACGACATTTGTAGGTAGGAAAGAGAATTTGTTTGCTAGGCTTTATGCCTTTCTGTTATTGATTCTCGAATAGAGTGGAGGTACTCGGTTTCCCGGCTTCAAGAGCCCCCGGATCCATAAGATATTGAAATTCCCCTAGAGGACCTTGAATTGGCCCATAACTGGAAAGAAGCGGCATGTTAGATTTGTGTTCTGCGATAAAAGCCGACGACGGTGCCCCGAATTGTGGATACGTACTTGCTGCGTGAGCCAGCTCCGCCTGGGTGTGTGCCTGCACATGGATGCTGATGTCCAAGAGCGCTCGGAATAGGTGGTCCTTGTTGGTGGTGTAGTATGACTTGTCATGAATGCTCGCGCCCTCGGGAACCCTGAACGACATCCGGTGGTTAGCATTGTCCATTCCAGGGGATCTGCAGGATCGCCGCCTCAAAATGCGGGGGAGAGGTAACATACCACGTGATGAAGACGAGCTTGTGTCGCTGACCATCGCCAGAGGGAGAATCGTACTTGAAGTCGACAACGGCATATCGAGGAGTGTCATCCTTGAAGTTGGCAAGGAGCTCTGAGTATTCCTTGTATTTGCCGGATGTGTTGACGGTGATCTTCTTGTCGTGTGCGGAAGCTTCATAAATGACGTAATCAAGGTTGTCGGTCTCTTTGACCTCATCAAAGACGGTCTCGCACTCGGGCGAGATGGTTGCGAATCCCCTTGTCATGGTTGGAAGTGTTGATTGGGGAAATATTGGGAGAAGTTGAGAGTGGAAGTGGGGGAGAGAAAGGGGTGAAGGAGAAGAAAGAAGAGAGAGTCTGCTGATCAAAGTTACCTCCTTCCAACTTGCGGGGAAGCTGTCCGATTAGTCATGCATTGCATGACAATGGAGTTGCAGTTACCGTCCAATAGATGGCCTGGGTGCCTGATTGCACAATTAGCTGGATTGGAGAAAACTTGTCCTGTTCCTGGTGGGGTTTTCGCTGGATCTATGCCCTGTTAGAGCAGCCTATACATCGATAACTCCGGGGATTCAGACTTTGGGTGAATGGACGACAGGATGGAGAGAGGAAAAATTGAGAGTTTCAAGTAGATAGAATATTAAATGTGAACAAAAGGACCAATTTTGGACAAGAATTAACTTTTCTACTTGCCTGGAGCGATCAGTTGCTGCATTTCATTCACTGGAAGACAATGACTGTATATTACTTGTATTCAGATTACAGAATCTTGTATATACTTTTGGACCCAGGGCCGATTCGAAACAGGATATCATTTGGACGGCCTTGCGTCTTCAAGAAGCCAGTAAATATTAATTTGTATTCAAAGAGGAAATTAATTCCATTAAATACCTCATCTCATCTTCCTATCTCACGCTATGAGTTGAAGTCATGAAAATGCAGTCTACTGCAGTCACTGCGAAGTCACTGTACGGGTATTAATACGGTCATCTGAATACCAGAACGTGACCCACCCGGTCTATAGGAGGCACTAGGTAACCATTTCACTCTCTTCACTCTCTCCTTCATGCACATCACTTTTCAAATCTTTATCTTCTCATCAGTTTGACCCCCAAACGTCCTTTCTGCTTGGGATGAGCGATTTTTTGAAGCATTGCACCGACATCACCATCAACCCAAATGCACTCGCTGTCTGAACATCCATGGAGAAGATGAGCGCATCCCGCCGTGTGCCCAGCCTTGGGCACAAGCAGGCGGCGAAGTGGAATCAAACCCTCATGAAGGAGTTCCAGAATGAACTCGAAAGAAACCCCACCGCCGACCTCATGACCATGTTCCATGAGCCATATCTTATTGATCATCGACGGGTCGTGAAACGTGGACTATCTTCTGCCGCGAAATACAATCTAGACGTTATGGAAGAGCTTGCCCTCGATGTCAAACTTGATCCCGAAGTGAATTTGCTTCGCGAGTTTCCGAGATACTATCATCGCAAAATAGGCTTGATCACGGGCCCCCGACCCCTCCCCCGTCCGCCGAAGAGAGTCCAGATACCCACGAAGATTGGCGCACTTGTCTAAATTGGGCCCAGAGTGCCAAGATCATTTTTCCCTTGTCTGCGCAGGTCCATGATGCAGTCGCGAAGTTTATGGAAGTGCCCACGGAAGACGAGGATGGGGAAGCTTCCAGCGATGGTGGCGAAGATTACTCTAGCGATGAGGAGGAAGAGCAGTCCGGCGACGAGGAAGAAGAACACTCCAGCGACCAGAGCTCGATATGCTCACCCGAAGGTAGCGAGGCTTCTACCGAGGCTTCCACCGAACCTACTCCAGCCGAAGGTTCTCCTGAACCGATCGAACTTCCCTGCAGAGAGAACAACAAGGCACTTGCCGTGGCCCTCAAAAGGCTCCTCTGGGACTCACCGAAGATATGGGAGTTTCCGGGTCGGGGTGTGGTGGTCCAGTGCTGTGAAGGAGTTGTGGCGAAGGTCATGGACGGCAGTGAAGAAGATACGACAGAGTACACAAGCATGGAATTTGTTGCCGAGCGAGCCCCTGGAATTCCTGCTCCAAGAAACCATGGATTTATCATCCTTGGACGCTACAGCGTTCTCTTCATGACGCATATTCCAGGAACCACCTTAGAGAAAGTGTGGCCCAGCCTCTACCATGAGGACAAGCTATCGATTCAGAGGCAGCTGGAAAAAATATTTCTTGAGTTGCGAGCCCTTTCTTCGGATCAACAAAAGGTTGGAGGAGTGTGCGGAGAAGGTGCCAAAGAAGACAAGCTCAATCCCTTTGGTCTATTCCCAGATCTTACCACACCCAAGCAATTCAGCGACTTGCAATTCCAGGGCCCTGCCAAATGCAACAAGGCATTCATCGACCTTCTTCAATCATTCCTCGAAAAGGATCACTCTGTGAAGAAAGGACTGGTTTTCTCGCATGGCGATCTCCGGCCTGCCAATATCATGGTCAAGAAGGAGTCAGGCGCCGACCATTATGAGATTACAGGACTCATAGACTGGGAAGAAAGCGGCTTTTACCCAACATATTACGAATCCGTCCATCTTACACGCAACTTCACTGGGGGAAGCGGAGAACAAGACGACTGGTACTCCTACGTGCCGAAGATGATTTCCCCGCGAAAATTTCCCGTCCGCTGGCTTGTTGATCGAATGTGGGACAGGATTTACAACAAGTGGTAGAGGTACCGATGGGAAAGATTCAGATTCAAACTATTGTTTCCAGGGTTGGACTTTCCATTTCAGGGATGACGAAGCTGTACAAGGAGAAGAATGCGCAATTAATGTACGGTTCGGGGCCTTGTTCTCAGCCTAGCTCGTCTATTCAAGTAGTACAAAGCTGGAATAATAGTACATAACCTTCAAGAGTAAATATGTATTCTTCACAATGCTTTAGGGTTGCCTAATAAAGTTCGCAAATAATTGAGACCGAGGGTTGCACGTATACTACGCAGATCCTGTAGATCAATGGCCACCCAGAATGCATTATTACTCCAAGGCTCCAGGGCTTAAATTACCGCGTATTATGTTGACTTGGATTAGGATTTCTCAAACTAGGTGCTGGTGAGCCTAAGGATCAGCTAAAAAAGTAGCGTCTGTGGTATTGAGGAAGCAATCTTCTGTAACCGTAGGCATACTTGAAAATATCATTTGGAATGTCTTGAGGATCATTGTGTTAGGGCTAGACAGTACTTGTGGTGCCTGACATGAGTCCCTCCAATTTCAGTTCATTCAGCGTCCGTGTGGTTTATGGGTTTGTTTAATTCTATAAAATAACATTGAACGTAGATGAGATCGTCGAGGTCAAAGTCTAGAAATCGCAAGAAACACGTACAGTACCAGTTTTAATCTGGTCATCCACGACGTAGGAAACTTGTAAAAATCCTTGGCTACTTGGGTAGGTGAATGATTGGTAAATGGTTAGGTGAATGGTTCAGTGAATGGTCGCCTATTACTTGTGAATCGAGGATGCATCAACTAGATGAACGAATGTAGCTTCAAACATTTCATCTCAAGCAACCATCTACTCGATCCAATGTTCTTGTTGCTACATCTTAACACATATTCCAATAGCAATCTTACGATCCATCGATATTGAGGCTAATCCAACCCCCCAACGCTCTAAGAAATCAACCCCAAAAAGTCCGCCAGCAAGCCCAGCAAAAAGTCCGACAAGAAGCCCTCGAACAAATCCGCGAAAAAGTCCACCAAGAAGGGTGCGACTAAGGATTCCGGCAGCAAATCTGCTGCAGAGGAAGCGGCGAAAGGCGAAGTTACTGACTCCAAAATTCCGTTATGCTTGGATTTCTACAACGCAGGGCACGGGCCAAAGCACTGGGCTGTGTTTGTCGAGGCGGAGGAGAATAACCAGGTTTGTTAGTTATTGTTATTGTTGTTGCCTTACCTGTATGGCATCAACTCAGGCATCCACCTGCACCTACTAGCTTTCGTCTCTTCTCCCTCTTCTACATTCTCCTCAAACTATGACTTTCGTCGAACCGCTACTATTTTCTTCCACACGAAAGTCTGAGCCTCCTCAAAAATGATATAGGTTTGGGTGCTACTATAATAGCCAAACGGAAATTCTGGCAAACTAACCACCATCATTCTAGATGTTTCCACGGGGCAGCTTTCTCAAAGCCAAGAAAGATTTGAGAAATATTTTTTCCCACTATAACATTCACTGATTCCAATTCAGCTTCACAGGCTGCCTGTCCCGGTAGCCGAATTCAATGCCACAATATATCATACTAGGTAAGACATAGACGACCGAGGTGAATCAACCCTTGGAAAAAATCGATGTATTTCAAGCTAATCGTGATGGCTAAACCATGGTAGGACATCTCTATATCGGTAGCTCCTGCCGGAGGAGTCTCTGCCTGGAAATTCCCGGGCTGCATTTATAGGAAGGAGCGACCCTCAAAACTTGAATGTGATGCCACTGCGGTTGAACTTCTCTTCAACTTCTGTCGATAAATATAAACAAACGTTGGAGACCTTCCTGTCATCCTAACTACCTTCAGGGCTGCATCGCCCAACCTTGAAACCCCAGAGCAAGAAACACTTCGCCAAAAGTCCCATCAGGAGAGGGAAAGCCGCCTCAAATAAATCTGCGTCCATCCAACGAAGCTGGAAAAAAGCCCTCCGAAGAAGCATGCGGAGATGCGGAGGCAGAAGGAAAAACGGTTCTCTACGTGAATAAGTATGAGGCAGGAAGAGGCCCAAAGTATTGGTCAAGCTGTTTCTGATGACCCCAAATCTGGAGATACGGTACATCTTACACCTGGTTCAAGAGGCCGTCCAAGGAGCATTCAGCAGCAAGCCCGCATCAAAAACCGAAAGCCAATCAAGGGCGCCCACCGATCTTTAGCTTCCCCTATATGTGAATATTTACAAAGAGCACTCGGAGTACCCTTAAGCATTGGGCCTTCTTTTTCGAAACAAAGCACACGATGAAGCGACACATTCATTCTCCACGCCACAGAGAACAACGACGATAAAAGTTTCAAAATTCGGCATTTTCGAAAACAAGGCAATCAATGGCAACATTTTGAAACGATTGCTCGAGCGAATCGCGATCTGCAAAGCTCCCAGGCCCGAGGTCAGCCTAATTGATGAGTTTGCAGAGGATACTTACAAGGAGACCGAAGAAAGAGAATGGAACTGCCAGGATTACAAGTTTGTTCTGGTCCTCACCACTCGCTCGAAGGAGAATGGAATCATCGACCCAAAAGAGCTGCCATACCAGACCCGGAAGAAAAACTTGAACCTAATCAGGAAGAAGGAACGGGTCTGAAATCTGCAATCTCACACCTAATGCAAACAAAGAAGAACAATATGAAAAAAAAAGAACGATGAGATGAAAACTGGGCGCGGCTCATACTCCCGGAAATGGCGAATGAACAATGACGCTGGATTCTTCGCGTTCATGAGGTATCTCGATGAAAAAGGGACTGTCTGACATGACCAATGGACCATACATGCACGAAAAAATGGCCTCATCGAGGAAAGGAGGCAGTATATGGTTCAGATCGTCGCACAATGATGAAATACCATGATCGACGCGGAAGAAAAATTGTGGCCGGAATCATGACCAAGAGGGAATGAGTTCGCGAACCTATTCAACCTTATTGGTGAACGTGGTATTGCAAAGCATATTACGCCATTAAATATATCATCCCATCAAAATGACTTTGTTCCCTCCAGATGGATACGACTGGTACTGGACATGGATGCCAGGCAACATGGAACTCAGAGTCCTGCTAATAGAATTCATACAGCAATTGAAGGAGTTGGTATAGGTCATTATCGACGAGACCACAGTTGGCCAGTGCAGCCAAGTCCTTACCACCAGGTTATTTCCCTGCCCTTCATGCTTCTGAGTTTAAAGAATAGTATTCGTACCATAGAATAAATTTACACATCTTTACCTCATTGTACATCCGACTTTATTGAATCCCCAGTGCCTCAGGCATTAAAATTTTCCGTGGGTGCTGTGTTGTAGATACCTAAGGTTCCAAACCGACTAGGGACTCTGTACAGAAGTACGTGATTTCTTATTGCGTAATGGTAAACAGCCCTGGGGGTGTCATGCATGCGACAGGGCTGACTGGTTGGGGGCCAGGCACAGCAACTAGTCAAGTAACTTGCAACCCCTCACGGGGCCACAAAATAAATTGAAATAGAGCCCAGTACTCCGTACAAGGCAAAGGAAGGAAGGAAGGAAGGAATCCAAAAAGGAGATTATGATCAGACAAAATCCACCATGATTGACAGGGTTCATTTCTTGGCAACTCCTGAGTGCTTGCATATCTATTTATTGCCACGGGCAGGAACTACATACTCCACACACCTGTACATACATATATGGATCCAATATCTAGGTGGTGGCTGACGGTGTTTAAGTTCCATACTGAATTGTGCATTATCTGCATGAGTACGGGGTTGTGGGTTGACTCGTTTTACTCTACGTTTTCTGCTACGAGTACGAGACAATACGAGTACTCTTGATGATACATCCACGGAGATCAAACGGAGACCCAGACCCAGGCCCCGGGCACTGTTAGGGCTGTCTTGGCATGATAAGCAATTCGCCACGGTGTTGGTTTCGAACCGGCATAGATCGACATCAGGGGGCGACGGGCGGGGCCGGACGCTGTGCTCGAGTTGGAGAAGGTGATTCGATTCTGGGCCCTGGGGTTATAGACTAGACTAGTTTATTAGTTAGTCTGGGTTCGGTGTTTGAGAAGAGGCACTATCTACGAGATTTGATTGTTATTTGTGAGTCAGGAGGATGATATTAGACTGTATGTACATTAACTGGAATGGCTTGTTCAAGTTCGGAAATAAACCTTGAAGAGGGTGTGAGTAGTATTACACAAGAAATGAACAAGGAAAAAAGGGGGAATCAACGAATAAAAAACCAGAAAAGAAAGAGTTGAAACATCGATGGGGTTCAAAGGAGTTTCTTCAGCTTGAATCCACTGCCAGGTTCGAGGTAGAAGTCGAGTTTGAGATCCTCTGGCATGGTTCAAATTTCCTTTTCAATTTTCACGTTTCAGATTTGCAAGAGGCCCCGCGTAGGTTGAGAGAAAACAGAATGAAGACAAAATGTACACCCTATACTTTCAAAAATCAAGAATCCAAGAAAAAAAGAAAACGCCAGATGGGGTATGAGATGCGTGGAACGATCATAACCTGATTGTATGTATGTATGTACCCCCCTTCCTTATCAGCCGGGGTTTGGTATGGGAAGCGATTGTTTCCGATAATTTTCGTTCAAATCCACAGCTTGTGGATGGTGGTTGGTTGGTGTTGTATATAAAATTTCTTTCCGTTTCTTGATCTCTTTCTGGTTCCAGCCTACTTCACCGGGAAAAGGGCAGGAAAGAGAAGAAAGACCCAAAATCCAAAAAGAAATTGTAAATGCGAAGGCGAAGCCAGATGCGACCGCTTGTAATCATGCGTGACGAGAAAAAATGGACAAGAAAATTAAACAGTCATCCGAAACGGGTGAGTGAGTTGGCAGAGACGCGAGGGATGCGGATTTAGTCGTGAGTTTGCGATCGCAGATGAATCTCTTCAACGGGAAGTCCCTCTTCTGAAGGGACGTGGTGGTATGAGCGACGTCTGCGCTTTTGGATGAGACGCCATGAACCAAAAAGAATACCGCCGATGGAGCAGCCGAGCAAGATGAAGATCAGCATGCCACCGACGGCACGAATAACTTCATAGGCACGGTAAACAGCCTTAGCGACTTCCTTAGCGTCGGCGTAACTTTGGTGTGGCGCGGAGTCCGAGTCCGAGTCCGAGTCCGATCCCATGTCCATATCCATTGGAGAGTCGGCCTCGTCAGCGCTAGTCTCTTTCTCTTTATCTGCGACGACCTCCTTGTCGGCACTGGCTTTTTCACTGGTATCTTCCTTGCCCGTGCCCTCCTTGACCTGGTTGATGATCGAAGGGTCGTCTGGAGAAGGACCAGCGGCTGTTCCCTTGAAACCGACAGATTCCCAGTTGCTTGGGATCTCGCTGCGCTGGACACGAGATTTGCTCATAGACTTGCCCTCGGCGTCGACAGCCTCGGCGGTGATCCAGTCCATGTATCCATCGACGATATACATGGTCTCGAAGTCGGACTTCCTGGCGTGGCCGATGAGCACGCTTTCACCGCGGTCGTAGGCCTTGGCGTAGAAGTTCCATCCAGCGACATCGGTGGCACCGTTCCAGCTAACGTGGATGATGGTGGTAGTATCATCGTCATTGGTACCGTAGACGGAGGCAACGACGTCAGGAGGGTTGGTCGGGCGACCGATGAATTCGGACTTGTAGGCGCGGTAGGTCGAGTAGCGGGTTGACGCAAAGCGGGCGGTCATCAAGGTGTCGCCGTTGGGAGCGTGCTCGCTCTGGTAGCCTCGCTCACTCCAACCAGCGAAGATGTTGCCATTGGGGAGGGTCTCGGCGCTGCCGCGGAGACGGGTCAGGCTGCTGTCAGGGCGGTTGATGCGGTTGATGACACGGGCGGTCATGGCTACGGTATCCATTTCGATGAAGAGTACTGAGGACACGTTCTCGTCGTTACCCCGCTCATCGGAACCGTTGTTCAGCATCGAGATCACATGGTGGGTGCCGTTGGAAGAGACGAATTTCACATCGTGCTGCTTGGAGAAGGTGAAGTCGATATCGAAGTCACCCGTAGGGCCACTGGTCAAGCGCCACATGATCTCGCCGGTCTCGCCAGAGATACCGTAGATGGTGTTGGTAAAGCGCAAGGAGATAATGAAGTCGCCGGCCTCATTCTTGTCGACAGCATTGATATGCACATAATCCCAGCCCGGCTTATCCCACGGGGCGTCCCACGAGTGAAACATGTTCGACTCGGTAAGGGCAATAGCATCTTTGCTGTTCCACTGGGACAGAACCTCGCTAGTTTCCATGTCCAACTCAACGAACCCACCCGTAACCACCCAGCTCTCCTCCGTCGGGCGTCCGAACTGGGCCAGGTTGACCAATTGCGAGAGGTATGTGCAGGCGACAGCAGACTTACCCCCGGGCAAGATGTTGAATTCGTGCATGTTGAAGTCGTGCAGGTCTGCAGGCTGGAAGACCTGGCGTATTTGCTTGTAGTTCTTGTCCAAGACAACTCCGCTTCCCTTGCTTCCTCCCTCCTCCTCCAGTTGCCAGTTCAAGATGAATGATAGCTCGACCTCATCGTCGATGTTGGTAACGGGTCGGAAGTCGAACACATTTTCATTATTGTATTGAAGCGAGCCGGCCCAGACTAGCTTTCCATCGCCATCGTAGATATACGGTCCAACTTGATATTGTTGGTATTTTTGGGTGGGATCGTCGGGCGAGATCTGACCGTACGGCGCGACAAACCAGTATCCGGGAGCCACTCTCTCGCGGTCAAGGTAGTCAACTTCCCACTTCAAGGCGCGAACCTCGGGGAGCTATAGGAATTGCAAAACCACCATTAGCATTTCGTTCAGGGCCAAGCCGCGGGGGAAATTAAAGAGAAAAGGGGGGATGGGAGGGGAGCAACCAACCGTCACGAAGGACATCAAGTCCGCATCTTTGCGCTGTGCGTCAACATTATGCAGCGAACATAGTAATAATACTGCGGAGAACAACATGATGAAAGAGTGGCTAGGGAAGCACGCGATCTTCCCCCAGTCGAAGCAGGCAACAAGAAAAAAAAACAACGGAGAAAGACGAAAGCAGGGATGGGAAAAGAGAAGGAGAAGAGAGGGGACGGCTACAAGATAGCCCAGGAACGAAGCATTCGGGCGTCCCGACTTTCAAACGAGTGGAGAGAACTAAAGAAAGAAAGAGGCAGGAGAAGACTCCACGGCAGTCATTTCCATTTTTTTTCTCGGCCTTCCAGCCGCCGGCTGGCCTCAGGGGATGGCGTGGAATCTGACGATCCAAGCGAAGGCTCTTGGCACTTGTTTCGGACGGTGGAGACGCGGTCAAGCAACGACGCTGAGTGGTGCACCGCGCAGCTCAGGTCGAGGTCTTGGGAGCGAGGCGGACGTTGATTCCACTCGTATCCGTAGCCCAGTCGGGGTTCCACAAGTGACCATCCTCATCACGGTCGAAGCGCTGCTTCGTTCGGTCTTGATTGCCCAGTCTAGCGAGGACCAGCCACTGGGCAAAACCCCGAGCGTAACACCACTAGCACGGGCATTCGCGTTCATGCGTGTTCATTCGGCAATTGGCAGATGCAATACGCAAGGCAGAGCAAAGACTCGTCACACGCCTCACAGGGCTAAGCCGGTAGACCCGATTTAATGGGGGAAGGACACGAGGCCGGAAGGATGTGAGTGGCGGACAAACCCCACGGCCCAAGGGGGAGTCTTGGCACTTTATGCGGGTTACGTACATACAACACAGTGTACATACACACAGTATGGAGTACTTGTACATATGGAGAATGGAGTATCAATTAAATGATAAGATTCTTTCAGGAGAACTCCACTGCGGCAGAATGACGATCTTGGTCTCCCATTCCGATTATATTCCCACTCTTACGCTTCGCTTGACAGTGTTTACTCTACCGACTGGGAATCTCTCCGCTTTCTAGCGTCGGCATTGGCCATGTTAAAACGGTAAAAGGCTAGTCCGGTGGAGCACCACACGGCAATGCAATTTCGACCAAAGCAACCTTGGAGCTAAGAGTTTCTGCCATGAGGCTATCACAGTTAAGCATATGTTTAAGGAAATGGTGTGATTTGGGGGTTTGATGAGGGGACTGGGGTAGAAGCAGTAAAGAAAAGAAAGAGAAGCCTTGATCCACGCCATGGGCAGTTTCCATAAAAATTGTTCCATTAAGGTTGACTGCCTCCACAATTACTTCCGCGGTGGCTCAGGAGTAATAAACACAGGCGATAAACCTTAGAACAATCGACGGGTCCCAAATGAAGAAAAAAAGGAGAACCCACACACTACCAATTGACAAAACAAAAACAAAACTCAACCAGCGTGTTTACTTGAACTCGTCCTCCTACTTCGAAATGGGAACAAAATCACTGTATAAAAAGATTAAAAATAGATAAAATAAAAACAGAGCCCCAGGACGCGTACCACCACCAACACCCCCCTCCCCAATCCCGACTTAAGAAGACGCGTAGTCCATAATAGGCGGCTCCGCAATCGTATGTGGCGTATACAACGCCAACTCCAACACAGCAACAACCAACAACGCCTCCGTCCCCAATAAATCCGACAAATCCAATTCCGGCGCCACCATCTGCCCACAAACACCATCACGATCGATCCGATCCAAATCCGCGGGCCCATCATGCGCAATGGCATCCAGAGCCAACACCCACGCAAGAGGATTATACAACACCCCCTCATGCGTATAAAACCCACCACCGACCCGACCCGCACAAACAGTTTGAAGATGCGCAGTCGTGACGCCGACGCCACGTACGTCGCTGAGTAAAGCCGATGCAAACGGGCCGGATTGTGGCTGGACGATCTCGTCGACGGTCGAGTAGATGATTGTTGTAGGGACGTAGGCTGAGTCGCCGTCGTTGGCGCGTAGGGTACGTATGAACGAGGTGTTATAGCCCTGTTGCCAGAGGGATGGGGTGCAGACTAGTAGTGAAAGGGCTGGACAGACTAGGGTGCGAATTACGGTGCCGTGGAAGTCTGGACTTATGGCGATGAAATCTGACACCTTTGATCGGGTTGATGGCCAGAATTTGAGTGCCCATTGTGTGTTTAGGCCGCCTTGGGACCAGGTGAGGATTGGAATCGGTTGGTTGGACTTGGTCGAGATGTAGTTTATTGCGTAGGCGACGAATTCGGCGTTGACTTGGGCGTCGGAGAGAGATGCTGATGGGAGGTTTAGCCAGACTGGGTCTACTGCGTGTGAGGTTCCTAGTTTGCCGAAGTTGAAGGTGAAGGTTGTCCCTGCCGGGATTGCGGTTCCTGGGACTAGGATTATGGGGGTTTTGTTGTTTTGTCCGTATTCGAATGATTGGGGGATGTGGATGGCGGAGCGGAGGGTCTCTTCACTCAATGAGTATGACGCATCCCCGGGTGCTTTGGTTGGGTATATCTTTTCGATGGGTCGTGGATTTTTGTTTTCAAGGGAGTTGATCTCGCTATCCGTGTATCCGTTTAACAGGTTTAAATATGTCGGGTGGTATCAGGCCTGCTTTTGTGATGCCGTGAGCCGCATCCTCGATACTGGGTGCTCCATTGGATAACTGTCTTTGAAGAGCTGATAACGCTGACTCGACAGAGGATGGGGCAGTCGTAGAGTATGTCTGCTGAAGGAGTGCCGCAATGTCTGATATGATTGCATTGTTCTCGTTGTTAGATGCGGCATTGAAGAGGGTGGTGAGTAGGGGTGTTGTTGTTGTTGTTGTTGTTGTCTTGGAGGTAGTTGCGGGTTGGCCGATAGCCGTCGTAGCCCCCGCAATCACCAACAAGCCCACCTGCAGTCCAAGAAGATGACTCCCCTTCATAGTGAGCAATCATTCGCTATTCTATGCACTCACACTTACCCTATTTGACCTGCTATACAGCCAACTTCACACTTCTCCTTACTATCCAAACTGCACGCCATCTGAGCGAGAGCCTCTGCGATTAAATATCCCATCCCGACAGGCCAAGACTGTTCCGAGTCAGAAGTACCAGTTTGTGTCGGCTCTATGCCCTAGCATCTCCTCAATTTTCGGATTCAAGGAAGATCGCCAGAACTATCACTTCCCAGCGCCATAATGCCATTGCTGTGTTCTGGCATTGGCCCCGCGCTCCCAGAAAAACGAAGATCACGAGAACAGAGCGTCTTCAAGACAGGGAAACTCTTCCAGGCAGTCCTTAGTCGACTCTACTGAAATCCTACAGTCGGATTCCACCTATGGGAGAAGAGCATCGACAGACCATTTTCGCTGCCCTGACTCGCTCTCCCCGCAGATCACCTCACCCCGTGGGGTAAGACACGAGGAATAGTAGAATCATCCTCGGCCCGGCAATCATCTCGTGTCTGGGTGAATGCATTGACAAGGCGACATACATCAAGATCAAGGATGACGAGGTGTGTTCAAAAACCCTGAGTGCCATGCGCCCTCTCCCATCCCGCTGTCAACGACGAGGACAGGACAGTGCTTCTTGTGTCCACCACGTTCACATCGAATCCAACCCTCCACCCCCCGTCCGTGCTTATCCGGGACACACGACCAGACCGCCGGTCGGATCGAATCAGGTCGTGAAAGAACACTACGGTCCATTGATTACTCCATATGAGATATTCAGATGCAACTTGCCTGCGGAGGGTTTCCTACCCACCCCTGTCGGCGCGAGTACCGGGCTTATCCGTGACGATCGGTTTCATCCTCGTGGCGGCGACTTTGGAGTCGATGAGAAGACATGGCAGGGCGGGTCGCGACATACTTGGCCATGCCATGCCATGCCATGGCGCGTGCCACAGCAACATCGGGTATCAAGGCGGAGTTGGAGTTGGGCTGGCCGAGAGCTCTGCCGTTGTGATGTGGGTACTCGTTCATTGGCAAAAAAGAGTTTCGATGGCCTCGGCTTTGAGGCTACTACGATGAAGAGCTACGGGTACAGTACGACTCCGAGGGCGATGATTCAGACTGTGATGATGCCATGTTTAGACGGGGTTGATGTCATGTTGTTGTGGAGCATTCTTGAAGAAAGTCAAATGCACCGGTTGACGGTTCCTAGCCCTGTCTGTCTCCTGTGCTATTGCTTTCAAGGGATAGGATACGGAGACCTTCTTGGCAGGGTCCCAGGCACCGAGATTGCTACAAAGACGGAGGACTACTCCGTATGGTGTACTCATGAGGGATCAAGTTGGCTTGGATTGAAGCTTGGTGGTTGTGGTTACATGCGTATGTATCGACATCAGATCCTAAAAGGGGAACACGGCCGGAGCGGAGGGATGTTTCAGAGATGGGGGATGATATCTACTAGGTGAGGTATCAAGGGGATACTACTTGGTAGACAATAAATGACAGTAACTCTGTGTAGTAAGTAGTAACTACGTGCTGTTTGTCCTGGGGTCTCATACAGTTTTGTAGTTGGGGGGGTTCCACATGAGTGTAACCGTCCCGACCAGTTGGGGCCGACTACCACCGTTGCACTCAAGGGGGTCATTGAGTATGCGCATACCACGTACTGTATCTCGGTATACTTGGTATACTCGGTATACAGAGTTGAGGTATTATGGTCATAGAAGAGAGAGGAGAAGAAGAAAAAGCAATAATATCCAGCCTGGATTAAAAGAGGGGTATTACTTAGGCAGTGAATAAAATAGAAGATCTGATAAAGACAGTACTACTCCATTGATGGATGGTACCCCATGATCCCGCGTAATAACAATACCAGGTACTCCAATAATTGCCACCCCGCTACCATCTGTACCATCTGTACCATCGTAATACCCATACAGCAAGGGCTTGCCCACATCAAGTTCAAGTTGCACTCTGGTGACACTCCAAGAATGGGCCAATGTTGATCCATGCTTCAGTCCCTTCTTTTACGGTGGGGATCTGGTCTGTCTCTTTCTCTGCGACTCTTTCTCTACGACTCTCCTCTACGCTCCCACTCTTCCGATCCACCTACGCTACTCCGTGGGAGTGTCACCTTGTTCCCTATAACTTTCCATCCCGCGAATATCCTCTTGATGATCCCCATCTCGACCTTGACCTGCCCTACTCTCACGCCCATGATTCCCACCCACCTCCCTTCTTGCAGTCCCATACTGCTGTGAACTCAATCACCACTTCCGACCACCATTCTTCCGCTTGGCGAATATCTTAATCCCACCTCCCTCGCTCCCTTCGGTCCGAGAGCTCCTTTCGCCTCTCGACTTGCCTCTCGACTCGCCTCAGCCTCAACCTTGCTCACCCTCAACCAGCATACACACACACACACACACACACACACACACACACACACACACACACACACACACCCTTCCCCTCCTCACAACCATGGCGGCTCCGCTGGTCAAAGTCTTGCATCGCTTGCAAGAGCTCTTCCAGAATGTGGTGTCAGCTCTCGAGACAATGATATTCTTCCCCTCCCTCTTCCGCGGCTTTTCGCATCGCCGCAAGAAGCCCTTCCTGGGCGCCCACTGGCGTCGCCGCACACTCGACGATTTCGCCATTGAGGTCGAGAATCTCTTCACAACCCCCCCTCTCCACCGATAAGATGATCGACATGTCCGAGAAGATCCGCGGCCAGTTTCGCGATTGCCTTCAAAACAGCCCATACTGCATGCTACCCTCATACACCCACGCATTGCCCACCGGTTCGGAAAAGGGAACATACCTAGCCTTAGACGTGGGAGGATCAACATTTCGAGTCGCGTTGATTGAATTGTCCGGACCCGACCAGGAGATGCGCATTGTCAAGGTCAACTCTTCATACATTGATAATACTGTAAAATTGTTGGAAGGAACCAAGTTCTTTGACTGGATGGCCAATCAAATCGACACCGTACTGAAAGAAGTTGGCGCTGATTATGGACGTGGTGAGGCGCCTTTGCCCATTGGATTGTCCTGGTCATTCCCGATCGATCAAACCTCCGTCCGCAGCGGCAAGGTCATTCAAATGGGCAAGGGATTCCGTTGCTCCGATGGAACAGAGGGCATGGATCTGGGACAATTATTGACGGACTCTTGCCGCAAGCGCGATTTGAATGTTGAAATGGCCGCCATTGTGAACGATAGCTCCGCGGCTCTCCTCTCACGCGCCTACGTCGACCCCAAGACTCGCATGTCACTGATCCTAGGCACCGGTACCAACATGGCGATCCATTTCCCCGTTCACGAGATCGGCAAGAACAAATTCGGTACTCGCCCAGACGGGTGGTTCGACTATGCGAAGCACGTTATCATTAATACCGAAATGAGCATGTTTGGAGGCGGCGTCCTTCCCATGAGCCGTTGGGATGATGTCCTCAATCGCACTCACCTGCGTCCCGACTATCAACCCTTGGAATACATGATCACTGGTCGTTATCTCGGAGAAATCGTGCGCCTGATCATCGCGGAGGCCGTCGAGACCGCAGCTCTATTCGGCGGCGAACTCCCCCACTCCATGCGCGAGCCCTATTCCTTCGACACCAGCATTGTCGCATTCATCGAAGAAGATTCCTCCGTCTCCATGGCCGCTTCTGCCGCTCTCCTCCAAAAGCAACACACTTTCCCCAGCTACCCATCCGTCGACGACCTCCGCTTCGTCCGACGCGTCTGTCAAAATGTCTCCCGTCGCTCAGCTGGATACCTCGCAACCGCCATCCACAGCATGTGGTGTCTCAGCAACGAAGTCGAGTTCCCAAACAACACAAAGCCCGACCCTCTTGCCAAGGAATCTCCCGAAATTACCGTTGTCGAGAGCGACGACTCCGACAAGAAAATGACCATCGCTTGTGACGGCACTGTCATTAACAAGTACCCCGGATTCCGCGACACCTGCCAGAACTACCTCGACCAACTTGCCCACCAAAGCCACCCGTCCTCCACCTCCCCGATCCGTCTCGAGGCCGCGCATGAGAGCGCTATCCTCGGTGCTGCGGTCGCGGTGGCTGTTGCCGTTGCTGAGTCGGATGTGCAGAGGTAGATGCGATGCGATGCGCTGCGCTCCCATACGATATGGGTCATCGATCTTCCCAAAACAAATTCGATTAACTCGATTCGATGCCAAAAGAACGATGTTCGATCGACTTGAATTTACACGATGCATGAATCCTGCTTAGAAAACTTACCTACACCCCTTTCCTTCTTCTCTGTCACTTTTCTTCTTTTTCTTCTTCCCCTCATCGGTCATGGTGTTGAGCCACATTTTTATTTTCCCACTTGTCTTCCATTGTCGTTCTGGGTGGGTTCTTGCATGATTTCTTATTTTCATGGGCGGCGGTGGGGTTGGGATGGGTCATGTCGATGGACAACCTCAGACTCGCCGGCCACCTGGTAGAAAGAAACCCTATCTAGCTGGCTGGCAGGCTTCCTGGGGATGAAATGAGGAGTATCCGTATTTACTCGTTACTTCCCCTCCTACCCCACGGGATAATTCCCTTCTTGTCTTGTCCAGTTCCTTCTACCCCGCCTGTCCTACAATTACTATTAGCATTTGCGAGGTGTTCTTTCTTTAATGTTCTGCATGGGTCTATGGTTTCTATTGAGTTGAGTTTCCATCACGTTTTCTCTTTTTTATTTTCAGTTCTATCCTCTCTTCATTTATTCTTGGATGGCGGTGTTCGGCTTTTTCTACTAGTATCTTTTGGATGGCCCCGCTCCTGGCTGTGGTCTTTTCGATCCTAAGGTCCAGGCTCGGGTTTCGGGTTGGTCTCTCGTTCCATAGGGACTCGGAGACGAGGCATTTAATGTCTAGGAACTTATTACTCTACTACCTAGTGTCTCTCGGAATTTCTTTTTGGTTAATGTCGTAGATATACCCTGTGAAGCAACATTTCGGGTGGTATATTTTTCAGAAGCTACTAGTAGTAGCGACTAACTAGTTGCCAGTACTGGGGCAGCTCGCAAGCATCCGAGTCATGAAGGATGATCATCCCATAATATAAACCCACAGTCTGAGGAAATAGTCCAGGGCGTCCACCCCAAGCAACAGCAGAACTTCGGCTTCACGTAAAAACCTGAACACCCTTCGGTATAGTCGAAAATATCAAATCCATATATACTCCCGGAGCCGAGCCCCACTGGAGGTATACTTCAGCCCCAAAACCTTGGAACCCGTCTAATTCCCAGATATAGCAAGAGAGCGAACTTGAACGAGCCAGATACTACCTAGAACCATGCCATCTCATACTAACTAGGAGCAGTCATCATAACTACAACAATCCATAGCCGAAGTGTCGCAAAAATAGCTAGATGTATCACAGTACGAGTATGAACTGGAGAAGTCCCACCCAGTGGACGCCGGAGCACTATCAAAGTAGCATGAGTTCCAGTTCCAGTCTGTTGATGCAGGAGTAACCCACCGACTTCTAGTCCGAGTCGAGCGACTTTTCTTGACAATGGGGGTAGGTTTTGGTTTTGGTTTGGATGCTTTTCTTTCGCGCTTTGCGAGGGCCTTGGCTTCCTTGCATAGTTTGGCAGTGGCGGGTACTTTCGTCGGACGACGCTTCGACAAAGCAACAAGAAGTCTCGAATAGATAGCTTTCAATCGAGAGCGAAGTTTGTCCCGGTTTCTTTGATCGTGTGGCTGGGTGGTCGGGTTGGCCCCTTCACTGACAGTGGCACCGGCATGTTTGTCTGGACTTTCTGTCTCTGTTTCCACTTTTGGAGTAATATAGTCATGATCAACTTGAACCTGAGGCGAGGGGTCTTCAAGTTGAAAACGTTCTGGTGATTCTCGTCGAATCTTTTTCGGATACAGGAGTGGCGAGGCATATTTTGAGGAGAAGTGCGTACAAGTCGTTCTGAAGCATAATCTGTCGGCTGCTGATAGATATCCGAAGATTATGTCCACTAGTTCCGGTGGGAGTTCGTAGAGTGTAGCACTCGTCGGCCTGGGTGGGTGGGTGTTTGAACTTGGAGACATCGTTTGGGTTTAGTATTTTGGTTCGCAAGACTGTCAGTGGACTCCAGGGCTTGAAGCCTTTTTAATAGGTTCAACCTTCAATGCCCACCGTGACCTGGGCAGGTGTTGAGAGTTGGAGCTGACTTCGAGAGAGATATATATAGTAGTGGGTAGTTTATCTGCGGAATGAGATATTTGTAGAAGCTGAAGTCGCTCGCAGTGAAAATGCACTAGTAGTACACCGGTAGTGGTGACGACAATTTCCATCGGCCTTCTTTTGGGCCCCGGGCTTTTCTTTTAGTCGCGGAACAGAAGGTTATATGGAAATGGTGCTGCCGAGACCTATTTGGGAAATATATTATGATAGAGCCTCTCATCATTAGTGCATAATGTTTTTTACTTTATCTTATGTTTTTTTTTTGATTTGAAGAGATGAAAAGTGCGTCTACTGCCGCATATCTCGTCAAATTTCTTTTCAATATGTTTTGGGGGATGAAGAAGAGGATGCACAAGGTGGTCGATGTATGCCAAGACGAGACTAACGAAATAGGAAGGTAAAGGAAAATGGCCTCGATGTCTGAGGCACAAACGCCTCATTAATAACGTAATTCCCAAACGGCCCGCGCACACCTCCTCAGATCGCATCCAGTCTTCTGTAATGTCAATGATGGGAGGCCTGAGGCTGCAAGTCTCTATCGGAAGAGTCTGATCTAATTCAGAGCGCACGCATGTATCGCCATTAAGATGTGCCCTTGACAACGACGGAGATTTCAGAGAGCGATTATAATCATCCATACAGGCATAGCGGATTGAAACGGTTTTTTCTTCAGGATTGTGGAGATCAATGGGCTGGTACGCATCAACTTTCTCCATGATGGGCGGCGATCTTTGGATAGTAGATACTGCCAGAGAGAAATATGAGCTTGAGGTGGGAGCTTGAAGAGGGTTTATTCAGCTCCCGCATCACCCACTCCTAGGTAGACCTGTGCATGGGATTAAATTTCTCATGGGACCCATGGGACATCTCGTATCTTGGTAGGCGTAATACGGGAAAATCAAGGAACCGCTCTTTTCGATTGGAATTTCCTCGGTATGGACTGGGTGACCTATCGTGTTGAAGATTTTCCCTCGAAACCATACGTCATAATTAAGTACTTCGAGCAAACTCCATCTTGGCAGTCACATTACAATATACACCTTTGATGATATTTCCAAAAGGATCTGGCCAAGAGCTTTCGTCCGATCCGAACCATCACCCTACTCATAATGTTTGCACTTCCACTGTCAACCCCAAGATTTCCTTTTCGAGGAGTACTACATTGCCTTGATGTCTTTGAGCGAGAACTCGAACGCTATGAGCGGGAAGGTGGTAATGGCAACCCATACATTATCTTTGTAATGGGGGATCGCGGTTTCCGTGACTTGGAAAACTCCCAGGAAAAACTCCTCATCAAATCTATTGTAGAGTATGATGCTACATCACACACTGCATTATTTAGGATGGAGACCGCCATTCATGCTACTGCGGCGGCAGCGTTTTCCGACTCGATCCTATTATGGACGTCAAAGTTTCCAGACCATCAGCTCATACACACCTCAACAAGTTCTGTACGAGGGCCTTCGGGCAAGAACAAAAGACCAGATAGCGCCTGGAAACCGGCAATACTGCAACACGGTCGAGACACGAAGTGGCCATCTATGGCCCTTGAGGCCAAATGGAGTGAAAGACGCGCCAAACTCGAGCAAGATATGCGTTTTTGGATTGAGGGCTCGGAAGGACAAGTCAAGATTGCGCTGACAATCTCTGTATATACTCGGGGAAGGATAGTCATTGAGAAATGGGCCATGGATAACAACAAAACCATTTTTACGGAACAGAAGATGACTATCGTCCGATCCCCCGCGCCAAATTGTCCTCGGATCACCGGTCAACTGACTCTGCCTTTCGAGGATGTCTTTTTGAAGACCAAAAAATCCGGAGAGACCGATTTTGTTTTATCACACTCTCAGTTGGAGAGAATTGCGGCGGATATTTGGGCCGTGCAGTATACAGAGATTGGGCGACGGAGCTGAACGGTACGGTGATCCTACTATAGTGGACACTATTCTTACTACTACTTTATCCTTATCATATATCCTTATTGTATTATCCAGGGGCATTCAAGGTGGAAGACTTCTGAGCTATTAATATTAATATTATTACTACCTTACTCTAGTTCAAACATGTAGTAGCAGGCGGTCTGCGCGGGCCGTTTGGGAATTACGTTAACTAAGCTATATGAAAAGTCTTTCAATGGGAGGTTGCTGGTAATTTAGAATTCCCTATAAATAGAAGGGCCTAATCGAGAGAAGGGTACGGCCTACTACTGAAATCTCCATGCAGGTCTTTTCTCTGAAAATAGTCTGTCAAGCTCCTCCGCAGTTTTCCCCTTTGTCTCAGGAACTTCGAACCATATCCAAATGAAGCTCAGCAAGCAGAGGCCGAGCCATACAAAAGCCGCCTTCCCACCAAGATTTGCTGTTATACAAAATATACTTGTCAACGGATACTGCTTTGAATCCGAGTCATAAAAGATCTAGGCGAAATAAAATAACTCACCTTGATCGGTGTTGATGAGATAAGGTGTAGAAAAGCTCAAGGACCAGCTTACAACGGCGTTGGCCACCATGGCCAATCCCTGGGTATGCGATCTAAGCTCTAGAGAGCTTATTTCGGAACATATGCTCCAACAGACTGCACCGATTGTTGGAGCATGTACACCAATGGCAAAATTCATAGTATACGCCATGAAAAGTAGAGATGTGCGGGTTTGAAAACATCCCGCTACTCCGGTGCTCAGAAGAAGAGCGCTATTCAGAATTGTTCCGACGAGTAGGAGTATACGTCTTCCTGTTTATGGGGATTTTGTTAGCGATAGATTACTAGGATAATAAAACATTGAAATGAAAGGGGAAAGACCGGTATAAGACATAAGGATCCATAATAGCATATTGCCAAGTAAAGCAAGTCCAAAGCTAGCGACCGCCAGCTTGAATGTAAGCTGAATGTCCAGTCCGCATACTCCCAAGAAATACAACGATTGGGAATACAACGCTATCCAGCAAATTGTTGAACCAGAAACATTCCACAAGCAATACGTGTCCGTCGGAAATCGGTGCCCTTAAAGCAACTCGAATATCCGGGCGCATTGTGGGCAGAGCGTAGCTGACTCTCTTGTTCAATTGTGGCTTTGAGAAATTCAAGATATCCCTTCGTCACAGATGGAGGTCTTGCATATAGTCTTTGTATATTTGCCTCAGCTGCTGTGTATTTTCCTTTCCGGATGAGGTACCAGAGGCTTTCGGGAAGGATCAGAGCGAACAGGAGTATGGCGCAAGGAAAAGCCCATTGGGCGGCGAATGTAATTTTGTACGAATCTGGAGTGAGGATACCGATCCTGGTACTCCCAATCGCCATTGCAGCTAACTGTCCGCTGTTCATGAAGAAGTTGATTGCGGCGGTAAGGACAGGTCGTAAAGGCAAAGGAGAGATTTCGGAGGTATAAGTAGAAGCGAGTGCTAGAAAGAAGCCCAAGGCGAGTCCATTAATCTGATCGTTTTAGTTTGCTAATTCATCACCCAGAATTAAGCCAAAAGAAAAAAACAAGGTAGGAGAACAGAAAGAGAACCAGAAAGCTGGTCAACGAGAACGCTCACCATTTTTCCAGCCAAGAGCATCCCAGGGTGGGAAGCTGCATATTGTAGACCTATGCCGAGAATAGATAAGAGGCAGCCAACGATAAAGCCGGACTTCCGTCCAGTTCTGTCGGAGAACCAGCCACATAGTAGACTCCCTACAAGGCGTAATCAATAATTATAGTTGACCTCGCTTTCAAAGGCATGAAGCGATCCCTACCCAAGCTCATTCCAAGGAAGGTCATAGCAGACCATAAAGCGTTCCAAGTAGCCGGAATAAGAAACTCGCCATCATACTCGTATCCAAATACCATTTTGAAGCCAGGCATTTCCATTATGACCGCGTTAATAGCTATAAATTTAGTTATCTATAGTCAATCGGTTACGAAGAAGCTTCGCCTACCAATGTCAAAGCCCCAGAGAGCCGAGTTGACACAAGCACCCAGGCTAAACAGAACAACTCTGGGATTTTCTTTTGCTGACTGCCATGCTGACATAGTTTGAACTTTGATCGGCATAGTACCCGAGGATTTTATATCCGTCTCACGGGCCTCACATGACTTCTTTCTGATTGAACCAAAAGAATCCTTCATTTTGGATAGCAGTAGAGGCGTTTCGTTTGAAAAAGCAATTTAAAATAAAGCAATACGTAAATAGCGAATCTTGGAAGTGAATGATTTACACTATTTATCTAACGGGTTTCGGGGTAACATGCTTGTGCTACTCCCCAAACGTGAGACGATGAAAAATAGGTAGGGTGGGGAAATCGAGATTGGCGGGAGGATGCGCAACTCTCACGGAAAGACAGAACATGCTAACCTTGGAAGACTGACAGGCTAGATATTTCAAAATATATAGCCATTGAAATGGCGTCGAGCCTGCTATGAGTGGAGAATATTTCGACCAGGTAAGATGCAGTATTATTAAGTACCAGTATTTAGTATGTGTGCGTGAGAAAACTTTATAGGGTGTGCATTTAAGAACATTGGGTGGATGAAGGCTTCTTCATGTGATGCCGGACAAGATGGATTTTCAAAAAGAATGGGCGATTGTGGTGTGGTGAATGGGAAGGATTGTATGGGCGTCTAACAGAGACCTGTTATGAAACATTGGCATTCTGTGATTGGCGATAAGGTGATACTGTTGTCAATTCTTTCCTTGCCATCCCGATTGAACTAATTTTAGTTCGGAAAGGAACATCGTAGTGAAATAGCTACGCTAAGTGTAGTTAGTTAGAGTAATTCCCAGCGTCATTGTCAATTCTGGAACCGGACAGACAAGCGAGGCAGTGCTATCATCATCCACTTTCCGCCGAGACGTCCGCCCAGCGGACCAAGACCACCAAGGCCTCGGCGCCGAGTAGCAACCGATGATATTATCGCAATCTCATTCAATCAGATCTCCCCTTCAGAAAACGTGTTCTCCAGTAAAATATTATTGGCCCCGAAATTGCCATTTCATATTCCCTCATCGCCAAGTATCGAGCTCAGTCCGCCCTTGGCATCCTCTCGGCGGTAACAACTTCCTCTTACTCGTAGTGAATTCTTGTATGATGGCGAATTATTCGGACCAGTAGGTGCGGATTTCTCATTGCACCTTGCTTGTGATGGCATTGTCATAGGCCGAAATTCACACATTGGCAGGTTGGATTTCCACTCGGTGGACATTGAGCCAAGTGCCCATGGACCTTCGCTCTGGATAGTCTTGGCGATAGATACACTCTGACAGAATCCTATAAAAATCGCCAGCTGTCTACAAACTTTTTCTTCCGGTTCACTTCGACTTCGATCAATAAATTTCGATTTCTCATTGTCATTCCCTCCCGCTTGCGAGGCAACCGTAAACATGGCGCCGGCAGCTACCGCCAAGTACGATTGGATTCTCGCTCTTACCACAATCGCCTTCGTGTTCAGTGCCTTCGGAAATGGAGCAAACGATGTCGCCAACTCCTACGCGACGTCAATCGCGGCTCGAACCCTAAATATGGCTACAGCAGGTGTCCTGGCCATCATCACGGAGTTCATTGGCGCCGTGGCAATGGGCGCCAGAGTCACGGATACAATCAAGAATGGCATCATCGGAGTGGATAGGTTTGAAGGGAAGCCTGGTGGTCTCATGCTGGCAATGGGCTGCGCCGAGGTTGGCAGTGCATCATGGTTGATGTTTGCCACCATGGTTGGCTTCCCCGTATCAACGACCCAGACCATCGTCGGTGCTCTCATCGGTGTCGGTTTCGCATCTCAGGCTTCGATTAGCTGGGCTTGGGAAAAGGGAAGCGTATCTCAAGTGGCTGCATCATGGGGTATTGCTCCACTTATTGCTGCTGCATTCTCCGCGATAATCTTCGGAACACTTAAGTATGCGGTACTTGAGCGACGCGATTCGTTCAAGTGGGCGATGCGTCTCATTCCATTCTACCTGTCTATGACGGGTGCCATCTTGGCTCTTTTCATTGTCATCGAGGCCCCAACTGCACCCTCACTGGAGGAGTTCGGTGCCGGTAAGGCGGCTGGAATTATTCTTGGTGTCTTCTTTGGATGTCTTCTCGTCTCCTATGTTTTCTTCGTCCCATATTTCAATCGCCGCATTGTCAAGAATGACCCCCGAATCAGGTTCTACCATGTTCCTCTCGGACCTCTGCTTTTGAGAGAAGACCCCCCTCTCTATTTCCCGAGCAAGAGGGAATCGGCGGTCACCAACTATTACGAAGACGCATATGGTGAGGTGCTAGCAGGTCAGAAAGATATGGCCAAGGACCAAACAACTACAAATGCGGACTCCGTGCTTCCTTCGCCTGAGATTACACCAAAGCAGCACACCGAGCGACCGGATGATGACGAAGAGAAGAAATTGGATTCTACGTCTGCCCCGGCAGCCAAGCCACGCAAGAAGCACATTGAACCCAGAGAGAGGTTCATTGACCCGGTTAAGGACCTCTCTTGGACGGACCCCAAGAGATACTGGGGATATACCAAGTGGCTATTGTTGCAAGGAGTGACAAGGGACGTTGTCACCCACGACTCCCCTGAGCTACGCGCTATCCACGCCCGGGCGCATCGATACGATGATCGGGTCGAGCATTTATGGACATATTGCCAAGTTGTTTCAGCCATGATGATGTCCATTGCACATGGTTCGAATGATGTCGCAAACGCTGTTGGACCCTGGGCCGCCGTATACAGCACATACCACGCAGGTGTTGTTGAAACTGAAGCACCGACACCTGTCTGGTTCCTCGTCGTAGCCGGTTTACTCTTGGGTCTCGGATTCTGGTTTTATGGCTACAATATCGTCCGCGCGCTTGGAAACAAGATCACTCAGATGTCTCCGACTCGTGGGTTCAGCGTTGAACTTGGTGCCGCTATCACTGTACTATTGGCTTCGCGTCTTGGTCTGCCCGTCTCCACTACCCAATGCCTTACTGGTGCCGCTATGGGTGTCGCTCTGATGAATTATGATCTCGGGGCTGTTAATTGGAAACAGTTGGGTTTCATTTTTGGTGGCTGGGTCCTGACCCTTCCTTGTGCGGGACTTATTTCTGGGTTGATCTGCTTGATGGCTTTGAATACGCCTCATTTATAGGGTAACTCTCAGCGAAACAATTACCCGGGTGATGTGAGAATTCCCAATTTTAGATCCATTGTGTTAGTTAAATTCAATCTTCTGCAATGGTCAAAGTCATTTTCGAAGATTCAAGTTGCTACATGAGTTGGCCGTAATTGTGCTAGTCGAGTAACACAAGAGGAAGAGGAAGAGGAAGAAGAATAAGAATAAAAATTGGGGTTGTTACTCAACCTCTTATTCTCAGGAGACGGTGCTAACTTTAGACACTTGAACACTCTGATAGGCCGATTGTTCCCGCGGGATGATGACTAACCAAATATTTAGAAACCTCCAAAATTGACTACGGACACCACACTGAACTCGAAAGGCCCACTGTGCCTCGCGCCCTGTACGCCCTACATTAGTCTCAGTGCCAAACCATTGCTAGTTGCCTCAACCGAAATGTCCCATCCTCTCACACGAAAGAATTCCAAGGGGCTTGCCACGCTCTGCCGAACTTTCAGTCACCCACCTGATTGTACGATGTGGTCATTTCTATGCGTCAGTTACAATCAGATTTTCCCACTGAGACAGCGACCCATTAAATTTTCAAAGCCTTTTCGTAGCTTAAATGTCATTCAGCAGAAATTCAAAAATACTCATATGTCGATCTACGTGACAAGGGCGAAATTCGTCCAGATGATTTGTGGGGCTCATGGGTGCAAATAGGCTTCGGGGTGACCGGACCCAGCGATGAAGCCACTAAAGTATGGGATATGTAGCTTTCTTAGGCCTGCGCTTGATCCGCCTGAGATTTTGCTCTCATCCCACCACCGGTTTCCGAGTAACCAATGCCCCGAATGCTAGCGCGCAATCACCACGTCCGGACTGTTCATATCCTCGCTACCAGGAATGATGAGCTGGAGTTATTCACTCCCGAAGCCCACTCAATCTTCAGGTAACGAGGACTTTTCTAGAGTCCGTCAAGGTGAGAGTGTCCCTGTAGCTCACTGAGATTCAACGAATACCGAAGACTCACTGGATTACCAGGATCAAGATCACCGGATTTGACCCCACAGCTTCGAAATGGCTCTCCTAAAGCCCCTACCACCTACGGCCCCTTCGCCACCCAGAATGTGACTGCGTCTGGTTTGGAGGAGGAATCGTTTCCTGATTCTGTTTTCCATTCCACCTCCGCTTCTGACCTGTTTTCTTTTCCTGCAGATAAGCAAACGGTCAATTGGCCTGTATCAGCCTCTCTAGATCAGGATCTAGGCTTCTCTAATCCTGCTTACTTCCAAACGACGTTCCCAACTTCTCACGACGTCTTCTTGGAAGGGCCAACAAGCGTCACCGATTCTCTGGGGCTTCCCTCAGTCATTTCCCAAGAGCGAAAGAGACAAGATGAAGCGCAGGATATGAATTTTTGTGTCAGTCTTCCTCGACGAAGGAGTCGTTACAACATTCAGAAATACGGCGAGAAGACTGAAGCGAGACCAATTCCAATTCGCACGCAGGGGCCTAATCCTTTGCAACGTTGGCATGAATCTCCCCCCGAAGATGAACCAGCATCCATGTCTGCTATTATGCAAGCCGTTCAAATGTCCGAAGACTTCGATATTAGAGGGATTGCGGAATTACCAACGACAGCTACGACCTGTTCTTCCTTTCAAAACCATCGAAGACCGATTTCCACGGCTAGTTCCAACAGTGGCAATAGTGCATCATCTTGGCATTCTTCCGGCTCGAGGAGGTCAGTATCGGGGGCCCAAATTTCCTTAGCAACGCAGTCTCATGACGGTTCTATACGCATCGGTAAAAATCCCAAGTCCAAAAAGTCGAATGTCCCTTCTCATCGTCGCAATTTCTCCTGCACATTTTGCTGTGATAAATTTAAAACTAAGCATGATTGGTCACGACACGAAAAGACCCAACATTTGAATTTAGGGGGGATGGATGTGTGCCCCTAGTGGAGGCGCACCCTCTCTTCTCCAATAACTGGAAGAAGGCATTGCGCCTTCTGCTCTTGCTTGGATCCATCTTCTGAGCATTTGAGGCAGCATAACTATACGCAATGCTCCCGCACATTTCGACGAAAGGACCACCTTGTTCAGCATCTGCGGCTCGTTCATCGTCTTGAGATATTGCCTCTCATCGATACATGGAGAACACCCGAGTTAGTGGTTACTTCGCGCTGTGGCTTCTGTGACTGTCGCCTAGGCAATTGGAACCAACGAACCGAGCATTTAGCTGCACACTTCCGTGACAACCTCACAATGGATAAATGGAGAGGAGAACATGATTTTCCAGCAGTTATAGCCCAGATGGTTACCAATTCTCTCCCTCCGTATCTTATCGCATCGGAATCCAATACTGTGGTACCATTTTCGGCAACGAGTCCCAGCGTCAGAGATCATTTCACCCAAATATCGCGACGTGCGAATGGTTTTAACGATTGTGGGGCTCAATTAGCGTCTTCATTTGAACAGCTCCAGGCGACCGAGGAAAAACCACTAGGGACTTTCACAGAAATTCTAACTCAACACCTCGGTCGGTACGCACGTCAACAAATGAGTCGTGGAATTGTACCCACGGATGAAATGTTCCAGGACCAAGCAAGGCGCCTTCTCTATGACTCTGAAGACTCGTGGAATCAAACTATAGCAGACAATCCGGAGTGGATAGATTCGTTCAGAGAGAATTATAGTCCTCGCTTTGAGAGCTCAGAAAGTCCCGGAACTACAAGTATTGGAGATAGGACAGGCCTTCCCCGTTCTGGGATATGATCTGGAATAAGTGACCGAACAAGTTTAAACCCGGCTTGCGTGCTATATATACAACTGGGCATTGCTTTCAATCTTTTCCTCTGTTATTATCTCTTTGCTCCTCCGTAATCTCATCTGCCCAGGCATTATCCTCGTGACCGAACATAATATCTTTTATCCGGCTGCGTATTATGGAAACATGAGGGGCTTTCTCCTGGGGAATTGCGGTCTCGATGTCACCATAATGTGGACGACTGGCTGCATGAAACATGCTGTACCGACGAAAAAGGCGTCAACCAGGCCCCCACATTTGGATGCCTCGACAAGATCGATGACAGTAAAGCACTTCTCAACCACCTCCAATTTTTCGCACTCAGAGCTAGAGCCTGCCTTTTCACCCACCCTTTCCCTCGCAAGATCCAACACACTCCGACGTGTCACACCACCAAGAATAAGATGACCACTCAAGGGGGCAGTGACAAGCTGGAGTTCGCCTTGGGGAGCTCGCCAAATGACAAAGAAGTTAGCCGAGCCAGTCTCGCTGATGTACCCCTCCGGCTCAAACAGCCATAGAACCAGGTCACACCCGCGTCTTTTGGCTTCGCCTTGGACGAGCAATGAAGGGGCGTAGTTACCGCTTACCTTGGCGGATCCCGTCTCCCCCGGCCATGAACGGACTGCGTCCTTGCCACTGCAGAGTAGACGGAGGCCCTTAGGTGGTCCGGTAGGAGCTGGCCAATATGACACAAGCATAACCAACAACACCTCGCTAGGCACTTGGAATCCTAGACTTGCATCGGTTCCAATCAGAGTCGGACGTATACGCAGAAACTCGCCATGGCAGGACTTTGAAAGCCATTTCGAACATTCGACCTCACAAGGTTTCTTGATGAGCTTCAATAACCCATTGGGGTCGAATATGGAGAGACAGGTGCGGGTACGCAGTTATATTCTGACCGGAAGAGGCGAAGCTTCCTATCGACTTTCATCATTTCGAAGCATGATGTAGAATAATGCAGAAAACTGACTGTGGGTGAAACTGACATCGGTGCAAAGCGGTCTTTTTCCGAGTCTGCCCAGCCCTGTTGAGATGTTCAGCGGGCAACTACCATATAATCCGTGAATACTTTGTGTGCGAGAAGATCCACCGAATCAGCTCGAGAGACGACTTTGGGATCTGCTGCAAACTTAAATTTGAGACGAGAAGCATGGACGGGGCGGCAGGCAGGCCATGCATTCAAGTTGGTAGTGACCATTCGTTGAACTGCAGGGGGGACGAAGCATTGGCGTCTTCAAAAGCTCTAGTCATTTAGATCGACGTTTATAGGTAGAATATGAATATTGGATAGGCCAGAATACTAGTATAGATATACAATAGGAAGGATGCAAGCACCCGTGGTTTTACTAGTATAGTATTTACTATAACTATGAGCTAAAAGTAGTTAGTAGGCTTTCTATACTTGTGTTGGTCATATAGGGCGCAGAAAGTACGAACTCTGAGATTTCCCCTTTCCTGAAATTTCTTAACACCTTTCAACTTGTAGAAGGTGAAGCTGATTGGCTAATGCTTGTGATTCAGACTCATAGTTAAAGGTTATTTGGGCTGGATGTGAATATGATTCCTGATTAACAAGGCAGAGACGCATCAGAAGCTTAGTGACTGGTGATAAGAACTCCGATAAGCATGCAGGGCGTCTCCCTGCGAGGCGGGCCTCCGGGCGGGGGGGGGGGGGTTGGTGTCTCCGGTCCCGCGGGCTATCAAAGGTATTTGTCCCCGCTGGCTCGACCCACAGGGCGTAGGGTTGCTGGCGCCACACGCCCTCGCGCCCTAAGGCGTCAAGTCGTAATCCGGTCTGATCCATACGTTTTAGCCGTGGTATGCTGAGCGCATTATTCTTTCTCGCTGAAATGATAACTAATCTTCCCTTCTATGCAATTATAACTATCCTCATGGAATCCCATCGCTTGGTCAGAGAGTGTTTCCACCCTCAACACGCTCCGTATCGCATACGATGTCCACGATCACAAAGCTACAACCACGGGTCCATATAATCGGCCTTGGGAGCATCGGTACATTTTCAGCCCACTCTATTTCAGAAATTCCTTCGGGCCCAACTGTGACGCTCCTCCTGCACCGAAAGTCACTTCTGCAAGAATACTGCTTAGCGGACAGTCAAATACGATTCGAATCAAGAGATGGGAAGAAAATAAGCTCGCGGGGATACGGGATCGAGACCCTTTCTGATAGCCAGTGGCATAGTATTCCACCGGTCTTTCCAAATGAGGATCATTGGAAAGTGAATCGAGAACCAATCAGCAATCTAATTGTTTGCGTCAAGACAATACAGACCCTGTCAGCCATTCGATCACTTGCCAATCGTTTAAATCGAGAATCAAACATTCTTTTTCTTCAGAATGGGGCTGGTGTCATTGAAACTATCAATGATCAGTTATTTCCAGATCCACAATCTCGTCCGAACTATCTTATCGGCGTAACTTCTCACGGCGTGACACTCAACAAATCTTTTGATATCACGCATACTGGCTTCTCTGCAACCTCAATAGGTGCTGTTCCCGCGATTCAGACACGGACGTACCGAAAACACAATCAAGCTACCTACTCGATATACTTCCCAAATCGACAACACTGAACGCCAAATCATACTGTTACACTGATATCCTACAAATTCAACTTGAGAAACTTGCCGTGAATGCATTTTGCAATCCACTATGCGCTCTTAATGATTCGCCAAATGAGTTTCTATTTACGATGCCAGAAATGAGACAATCCATACTTCAAGAGGTTTCAAGGATTGTGTTATCTCTTCCAGAATTGAAAGGGGTCGCTGGTCTAGAGAAAAGATTTTCACCGGAGAGTCTAGAAGCCACCGTCAACATGATCATTACCAAGACAGCCAAAACCACCTGCTCTATGGTGTGGGATTTGAGGGCTAAGAGGAGAGACCGAGATCAACTTCATCAATGGTTCTTGGAGTCGAATGGGTCGGAAAGTTGGGGTGAAGACACCAGTGAATGACCAATTGGTAAGACAAATACTGGAAAGTGGCTCGGGTACTGCAGATTGAACAGATCAAATATAATCATGACAAAGATATTGTGATTGAACTTCTAGGAAGGACCGGAGCGTTCGCAGGAATTCTGCTTTTCTCTCAAGACAATGCACAGTGTCCAATAACTATTATCTAGAGCAAAGAAATGCTCTCTCGGGGTCATACCTTTTCGGGTCATATCGTTAATTCCGGGTATTTGCATAAAAGACAGAAAATAGTGTGAACTCATTTATATACTACTACTAGTATATGGTAGCTCGGACTGGGACAATCGTATTACTTAGGCTTCGATCCCTCGGGCATCAACATATTGCCTCTTTCCGAGTCCATTAAATTGTTTGCTACCTCGCGCCTTCTCGCAAATCACTACCACCTTCAGAGTTCCACCTAGATAACCGTCTCTGACTAATATTCACCGATTATAACGACCATGTCAATGAATGCAACATTTGTCGATAAGGGGGAAAAGGGCAGAATGATCCAAATCCGGCACTCGGCCAAAAATCGCCCAAACAAAACTGGATTGCCATTGGTTGGGACTTTCTGTCGCTTTATCATGACCTACTATCTATCTTCTCTCTCCTCGTAGTCTCGTTTTGGCCACTGCCTTGCTATTGAAGACGCTAGGTTATATGGGGAAAGTAGGGTTGCCGCTTTATGCCGCCATCGCACCCGTTTGAAATCATCCGCGCTAGCCCCATTTTTGGACTATAGTATAAACGGCATGGCGCGTATGCACGCTCCGCGAATAGCGAATGAAGATCAACTTTTACGAGCAGGGCGCATGGTTCCCCCTTCGGCCGCAGCGACGCGAAGTCAGCCGCACTTCGACCCCAAATTTCCTTTCTCTTCTTGCATCATTCGCGTATAAAGCTCTCAGGGAAATCGCGACCTACAAATGTCTTACCATGCCGCCGTGGCTGTCTGACTTGGTCTTGGACACCCAAATTCGTGTCGAGTTCGACTCTCAGGTGGTCTATCGCTTCACCTTCGAGTCAGCGAGAGTCTCCGGAAAGTATGTTAGACGTCAAGAAAGGAGACAAGCTTGGAAAGAAGACAGATTTCTCGGGGATGGCTCCTTTGGTGACGTCTATCTACACCAGTGTTCCTCTAGCGAAAATGAGACCCAACTTCAGGCTGTCAAGACGATTGACAAGGCCCGCATGGCCAAGCAGAAGATTGACATTTACAAAGAGATAGAAGCAATCGCGAAATTCTCTCAACAAAAAGTTCGTCCTCTAATCATTCCTACGTGGATCTTGCTGATCTTGAGTATATAGTATCATGGTTTGCCATTCGTGGAGTTTTTGGGATGGTATGAAAGCGAGAAATCGGTTTTTATTGCCATGGAGTATATTAAATTTGGAGACCTCCACTCTTGCTTGACAAAATCACTACCCGAAGAAGAGGCTAGAAAGATCGCATACCAGGTAGTCGACGGGCTGGTTTTCTTGCATGCTAATTCTTTTGTCCATCGAGACATTAAACCAAAGGTGAAGAGCAACGGAAATAGAAAGAGAGATCCCTTGAGATGAACTATCTAGCTGACACTTCTAGAACATCTTTGTGGTTCAAATGGGTCCCGAGTGGCTTGTAAAGATCGGCGATTTTGGCATGAGCAAGCGCATCAATGAGAATAGCAGCCTGCGCACCATACGGGGCACACAAGCCTTCTTGGCTCCTGAGATGCAGGGTATTCTACCCCCAGAGGAAGAAGAAGAAGCAAGCCTGAACTACCATTATACGGAGAGCGTCGACATGTGGGCGCTTGGTGTTACCATTTTCTATCTGCTATTCCGCGATTATCCATTTACCTTGAAGCAGCCGAGTAAGCTGCCTCGATACATTTGGGGCGCCAATTTCCCCTTCCCAATATCTCCGTCCCAAAAGCTCAGCCAAGAATGTTGCAGCTTCATAGAGGCGGTGATGGCACGGAATGCCCGGGAAAGGCTATCCGCGAGGAAGGCATTGGAGAGTGATTGGCTTATGCAATGCTATTCCAGCCCTGCTCCGAGTCCTTCTGCAAGTCCATCCCCGGAGACGACTGTTTTGAATATCCCAGCCAGAGAAAGTTCTCGCCACACGTCTTTCTCGATAGAAAGGCCAGATAGCTCCTCAACGTGGTTGGCACACGGAGCTGGAGGCGATATATACTTTGACTCGGAGGCGATAATCAACCCCGAGCCAGATAGGTCACCGGATTTTGACATTACTACTGGAATATCGAGAGTTACTGCTGCGCCGCCATCGGTTGACACTTCTCAGATTTCTCAAAGTCCGTCTTCTAGACATCAAGAGATAACCCCGACAGATGTCATCAGTTCAACCAACAATCCCATTACAGTCGTTCCTTCTTTACAAAACAAAATGAAAGAGGCATCTTTGGTTAAAAGGTTCTCGTGGGAGTCTCTGTCAATGGAAACTCTATCCGGAGAAAGCGACAACGATGAGACCCGCGCGAAGCTCCATGATCTTCAAGCACAAGGGATGAAGATGCTTAAAGAAAACAACTATGACCAGGCAGAAAACCTTCTGCAACAGGTTCTGAATGTACGGGAGCAGATATTTGGAACAAAACATGAAGCAACGCTGGAAGTATATCACACGCTTGGGGCACTCTGGTATAAGAGGATGCAGCACTCCACGGCGCACACGCTTTTTGCGCTTGCAGCACACGGGCGAAAGGAGACAATCGGACCAAAACATCCGGATACCCTGAGCTCATTTTACTGGCTTGGAGATACAAAGTCTGAGCTTGGATTATTCGAAGAGGCCGAGCTGGTTCTGAAACAGAACGCTGAGGACCGGGCCAGTACTATTGGATTCAACAACCCAAAAACCCTTCAAACAAATCACATGCTTGGGCTCTCTCTCTGGGCCCAACAAAAATGGAATGAGGCGATATCTGTCCTTGGACCAGTGGCAGAGAAAAGACGAGATACCTTGGGAGAGACTCATCCAGACACCGTGAGCTCTATTTTTTGGACCGGCTACTCCTTCTACAAGCTCGGACTGTACGAAAAGGCGCTGGTAGTCTTGGAAGAAGCAGCTGCCATTCAAAAGATAAGCCTGGGCTCTTCAAACGAGGAAACTGTTCGAACGATATCTGTTATTGGCCGCTCCCTCTACCACCTAGAGAGATGGGAGAAAGCAAGAGCCGTTTTACAAGAAGCGGCTTCATTGAACCAACTTCCGAAGCCAACTGGAACTACATTGCATGTTTTATACCTACTTGGTCGCTCTCTTTTATATTTGAAAAGGTACGAGGAGGCGAGCCGTGCACTCCAGGAGGCAGCAGAAGGGCAGAAAAGAGTTCTCGGACCAACGCACCCTGAAACATTATGGTCCTTGTACAGGCTTGGCCGATCATTTCAGTACTTGGACCGATTTGTGGAGGCCGAGGCCGCTTTCCAGCAAGCAGTGAAGGGTGGGGCTGAGACTTTTGGACAGGATCATCCTGAGACGTTGAGCTCTGTATACAGGCTTGGAGTTTCACAATACAAGTTGAAATTGTTTGACGAAGCCAAAGATTCATTGCAACAGGCAGTGAAGGGACAGCTAAAAACACTTGGACCCAACGATATGAACACTTTGGACTCCCAATTTTGGCTCGGCTGCTCACTTTATTCCCTGAAACTGTACGATCAAGCTGAAGCCACATACCGCGAGACCTTGGCACGGGAAATCGAGGTTTATGGACGCGCTCGTTCAAGTACTTTGGCTAGCATTGATTCACTTGTGTGGGCATACTATCGCGATGAGAGCTATCTCAAGGCGGAGAAGCTTGCTGAGCTATTGGTTGAACGTAGTATGGAAACAAACGGGCCCATGGATACAAGAACGCTGCAAGCAAAGAGGATTCTGGCTCTGACGCTTCAAGAGGAGGGACACATGGAACGTGCATCATTGTTACACAGTGAAGTCTTGCATTATAGATTCGAGGCTCTAGGAGCGCAGCACAAAGATACGTGCCAGAGCAGTTGGGAACTTGGGAAGTGTCATTCTGAAATGTCAGAAATTGAGCGAATGAGAGTGGACGAGCGAATGAGCGTCGACGAGCGAATGAGAGTGAACAATATACGGTACCTGTCAAGAGGGTATTACTCAACAGAAGCATTGAGAGAATCACCTGCAGAGGAAGGCAAGAACGAGAAGAGGAACTGGACCGATGCGTGGACGCGAGTGAAACGAAGGATGAGCAAGGCCGATGGAATATTTTAAGATTACCTCGCACATACGTTTCAAAACGCGTCTATGCATTTCCTACTTACCTCCAGTACAGAACTCTCGACTGTAGATAAGTGACAACTAGTATAGACATTCTAAACACCCGAAGTTGAGAATAACAAAGAAAGGAGCGCTGGAGTAATCGCCATTTGAGTATCAAAATGCATTCACAGCTCGCCTTGCTCAAAAGTCAACCCCAAGCGGGACCATGAATGGAATTACGGACAAATTGAATTCAGTCACAGCTATCTCTCTTAGTTTCTGGGCGCGAAATGGTCGAGAGAAATAAGAGATGACTTAAGAGTTAAATTTCAAGCAAATCAAAGGAAGGTATGGCGTGTTCCCGCTCACTTCCCGGGCCAAGGAGGCCCGAGAACGCATGCCGACCCCGGGGCATTACTGGGAAAGCCGAGCCCGGCGCGGCGTCTGGGCACTTTCTGCTTCGGGCTGCTAGATAACACCGGGGCCAAGCTTCTAAAGCTTACTACGGAGTATGACAAAAGATGAAAATGAGAGTGGGGCCAGGAAGAAGTCACACCGACTGAGTATGCAAATGAGTCCTTCTGGAAAGCCATGCCAAGAGCCAGGTCGAATGTTCATTTTCTGGGGACTACATAGATCGGGCGTTGGATGTAGTAAAGGAGCATGCGTATGGGATCGAAGGAACGGTTGCACAGAAAACTATCGATGAGGCTTTGAAAATATTGCTTCGAAAGTCTTGGACAGTCTTGGATTGTGCATTTCAGTTCTCCCCTCACGAACCAGGTCCCACTTATTGAACCCGGGGCTTTAGGCCTAAACTCAAATAAGTATCCGGGGCAAATATTTTTGAATATGATTAGTGGGTCGTTCTCAGATTCTGCCCGATACCATCACCTCCTTACATGGCTTGGAACTTGCTTACCTTGCGTCCTCTACGGGTTAAACAGATATCTGCCATGCTGCCAAGGGAGGTCCAAGATACCCACGTGTGATCCACGTGTAACAGCGAGTTTGCGAGTTTTGCGAGCTTTCGAGTATGTAGAAGGCAAGTGAATTCAGATCGATCGATATATAGAGCACTGTTCCGAGCTTATGCCGACTTGCCGCGGTGCAGGATCGTACGACGCAGGGGGAGTCAGGCAATGCAGAAAAAGCAAACGGTTATCGGGCGTTGCTGACTCGAATCCTGACAAGGATACCGTAGCATACAAACTGGGACTAGATCAGCGGTGTGTCAGTGGCGCGCCTCATCTTCTGACCCCCACTAAGTCTCCGGCTTTACCGAGGGAAGGCTTTCGCTATGTCATACTCCCTACGAACCCGGTCGAGCAAAAATTACCTCCAACCGCCCCCAATTGTCAGATGTGCATCACTAGCTGGTTGCCCCACGGCGTAAATGGCTCGTTATGCCCGATGACTGACTAGGCCACCCAAGAAGTGAAGGATTCCCCCAGTCTTGGCCTGTTGGGCAATTGGTGGAAGGGCCCGTCTCCCCGCTTCGACGCTTACGCTTCGAGCCTGTTAAGTGGGTCGGTTAGGGAGTCAGTCCTGCACAATAATGCCACTCTTCTCTCTCTACCCGTATGAACATTCATGTAGTTGATCTGCTGTATCAGACTACGGTGCCCTAGCTTTCTGAGATGGGGGCTTTCCGGCGCCCGATTTTATGATCTACCAACTCTCAAGCCATCAAGCCACCAAGCCACTGAACTCTCCGTACCAGGGCCATGTTGAGAGTAAGAAGTATGAAGTTTACCCCAAGCCGCCCGCTAGGATCCCGCCCCAAGGATCTTAGTCTCTTACGCCCGGTGTCTGTGCAGTCATTTCAAAGGTAGCCAAGGGGGCTGAGACCCGCCAAGGGTTGCTTTCGGCTTGGCCGGCTCTCAGCCCGAGCGAGTTCGATAACGTTATATGTGGGATGCAGGAGCCAATCTGTTTTCCCCACGGGGATTGCCTTCAGGAGATTTCTTTGATCCACAGGTGACTATTAGGCTGAGGACCTGGTTTACTTCTTTCACCTCCTCCTTTCACTATCTCTTTCCTCGTCTATACCATCAAAGCAAATAATTTACCATCAATATGAGCGAGAAAAAGCTCGCCGAAGAGCCCACCCAGGTGGCTCAGGTGGAGCATGCAAAGGAGAAACGGACATTGAGCGTGACCGATGCCACGACCCCGCGTATAGCTTCTGGTGTCAACATCATCGAGAACCCTTTGACGGTGAGACCCCAATACAAACAGCTCTGACAATACATACCAGGCAAAGAGAAAAGCTGACAATAATTCGCTCTTGCAAAGCGCGTTTCCAGAGAGCAAGCCGCGCTCGATGCCCGCAACTTTGCCGAGACGCATAATATGGCCGAACATGCCGACTTGTTCGCGCGAGCTGCCCAAGTTGCTCGCGAGCCCAAGAAGTTTGAGGCGCTCGACGATTTACACGCTGACGAGAAGACCGCGCTTGTATACGAAAGGGATCATAAATGGCACGGCCCCAAGATGCTCTGGTACTCTATCGGACTGTGCGCCATTGGTGCGGCTACTCAGGGATGGGATCAGACTGGAGCCAACGGAGCCAACCTGTCATTCCCCGAAGAGTTTGGCCTCACAGGGAAAGGTCGCGATGAGTGGATTGTGGGATTGATCAATTCTATTATTTTCTTGACGGCTGGTCTTATGTAAGTTGTATAGGTGCCAGAATTTGCTTTCGCATATTATCAAGTATATTCGGGAACTAATTATGTCGATAGTGGTGCATTCATTGTCGATCCAATGAATCACTACTTGGGTTGACGAGGAGAGATCTTCGTCACTGCTCTGTGTCTTGTCGCTACGCCGATTGGTTCTGGATTCGCGCGAAACTGGCACGAACTTTTCGTCTGTCGATTTATCATGGGTATCGGTATTGGAGCAAAGAACGCTACTGTCCCTATCTACTCGGCTGAAATGGCACCCGCTCGAATTCGTGGCGCCCTGGTTATGTTTTGGCAGCTCTGGGTCGTGGCAGGTATTTTATTTCAAACCACAAGTAAAGATCGCAATCGCTAATCTGCTACTTCTCTAGGTATCTTCCTTGGTTTCTGCGCGAACGTCATCGTCAAGGATACCGGTGACATTGCCTGGCGTCTTCAACTCGGCTCAGCCTTCATTCCGTCATTTGTTCTTGCCGTTGGAATCTTCTTCTGCCCCGAATCGCCCCGTTGGCTCATGAAGCATGGAAAGCACGACAAGGCATTCCAATCGATGCTGGCCCTCAGAGCCCACCCTATTATCGGTGCGAGAGATTTCTACTACTCCTACGTCATTTATGAGGAAGAGCTCAAAGAAGCTCGGGGAGCTGGTTACTTTGCTCGCATGTGGGACATTTTCGCTGTGCCGAGAATCAGACGCGCAAACTATGGTGCCTCGACTGTCATGATTGCCCAGCAGATGTGTGGTATCAATAGTAAGTTTTATCACTGCTTTTGGAGAGTCAAGCTCTAACAATGGGCAGTTATCTCTTTCTTCAGTTCTTCCATCTTCTCCAATGCTGGATATAACGACACTCAGGCTTTATATGCCTCACTTGGTTATGGCGCAGTCCAGGTCGTGTTCACCATTCCGACCCTGTTCCTTATTGATACCAAGGGTCGACGAACTTTGACCTTGATCGTGAGTTCTCCAAAATTCAAAACGAAACTTTAACAAATTACATGCTAATAATCCCAGACCTTCCCCCTGATGTGTATTTTCCTGTTGGCTGCCGGCCTCTCTATCTTGAACAAAGCAGGCTCGCCTTCGCTGCATGTCGCTCCAGTCGTCATGTGAGTATAGGAAGGGTAATATTCGGTAAACTCAGTAACTGACTTATGTGAACAGATTCGTCTACTTATTCACCATCGCCTATTCACTGGGAGAGGGACCGGTTGCGTTCCAATATTCAGCCGAGGTGTTCCCCACCATTCAACGTGAGCAAGGAATGGCCTGGGCCGTCTGTATCAACAACACCTTTGGTAAGAACAACAAGAATCAATATAGAGATAATATTAAGCTAACAATTCATAGCTGGTATCCTGGGGTTGACTTGGTTCCGTATGGAAACTGTCATGACCCAAACCGGTGCTTGTAAGTGGCAATGACCATATATATAGTAGCCCTACAAATATACTAACCAACCCTTTCCAATTAGTCGGTTTCTACGCCGGATTAAACCTAATCGCTTGGTTTATGATATTCTGCTTCGTGAGAGAGACAAAAGAACTCACATTGGAAGAATTAGACCGTGAGTCAATCCCCGCATGCAGACTTGACGCAACTCAGAAATATCATATCTAACACATATCACAGAGGTCTTCTCCGTTCCAACAAAAGATTTCATTCGTCACGAATTGACCGTGTGGCTTCCTTGGTTTATCAAGCGATATTTCTTCCGCAAGAATATCCCAAGCCCCCTCCAATCATCGCCACGGCCGACTCGGACGAGGTCAAGAATGTTACCGCATAATCGATCGGCCGAGGTCACGGGTGAGAGACGATAATCGGTCAATAATATCTGCTTGTGTTTTCGCTCAAGTGAATCTTAATGTTACTAGTTAAAGTGCTGCAGCAGTATTCAGCTCCTTAATGCCTCAATGCAACTCAATGCCATTACTAGTACTACCAATAAAAGTAAATTTTCATCCCAAACTATAGATAAAAATAGACAGATGGGGAGTTCCATTCGTATTGACGGCGTGCGAGTATGCATACATTAGTAGGCTCGTAAAAGCTGATTGCATCGTATAGTTAGTTAAAGGTTATACGGTCTTCCGCCGGGAGCAACCTCCATAGAACACATGCGGCAGTAAACGATGACCACTGATTGATTCTAAGGCTATTGACATAGCAAAGAGCAACAGACAAGGGTAAATACGAGAGTAAGGCAAAGTTTAGGAATAATGAACTCCAAGCCAAACGAACCAGTGTAGCATTTCCCCACAAATACGAAAGATCACCACGCGCTAGAGCCTCAAAATGTCATGCAGAGTTATTTTTAGCCCGCGATCCCGCAGCCACGAACTCTACTAGTCCAAGTCCATGAAGAATGCAGGAATATTAGAAACACAAAGCTTCTTGAATGGTAAGAGTACCAAGCATATTGCTAATTGCTTGGCTGACAAGAACGCTGATCAGGGACTGCCAGTGGCTTGCTATAATTGACAACACTCAGAATACGAAATTTGGCCCCGGGCGACACGTTTTCCCCGTAATCTCTAGTAATTATCCTGAGGTCGTGATGATCTTGCACACATTCTTCGTAGTGTGGAATACGAGACTTCGTGATGTGAGCAGATCGTAAATCATTCTATTCTTGAACTTGAAGCTGGCATATCGGGGGTGGTACCTTGGAGAGAAATCTGGAAATATCTATAAAAGCCCTTTATTTTCCACGGAAAAAGAAGATATCCAAGCAATCTAATCCAGTTCCTCTTCAACAAGCATTCCAGCGAATCTCAGCTTACAACTTGAAAGCAACCAACTGAAACTTATTCCTTCTTATAAATACACAGTTTATCCACTATGCTCTTCACTTCAATCCTCGCCGCTTCTCTGGCAACCTTGCCCGCAGTCAGTGCCTACCCCATCACAGGGGATACCGTCAACTGTCGCTCAGGCCCAGGAACCAACTACGACGTCGTGAAAAGCTACAAAAGCGGCGAAGATATCAAAATCGTCTGCCAAGCCTCCGGCACCGACGTCAAGGGCGACAGCCTCTGGGACAAAACCTCAGATAACTGCTACGTGACCGATTACTACGTCAAGACCGGTAGCACCAGCTACGTCGCCGACAAGTGCGACGCCAGTGGTGGCGGCGGTAATGGTGGTGGTAGTGGTGGTGGCAGCGGAGATGGCAGCTCAATCGTCAAGGCCGCAGAGAAAGAAAAAGGACTCCCCTACGTCTGGGGCGGCGGCAACTATAACGGACCAACAGGTGGAGGATTTGACTGCTCCGGTCTGACTCAGTATGCGCTTTACCAGTCGCTGCATAAGAAGATTCCGCGCACGGCGCAGACGCAGTACGATGCGACTAGTATTGGGAAGAGGTACCCGCGATCGCAGGCCAAGGAAGGCGATTTGCTTTTCTGGGCTGAGGGGGGTAATTGCAAGTCTGGGGTTTCGCATGTGGGTATTTATATTAAGAAGGATCTTATGATTAATGCGGCGCATACTGGGACTCCGGTGCGGGAACAGTCGATTTGGACTTCTTATGGTGGGGAGAGTATTTGTGATTATGTTATGAGGTATGTGTTCAAGATCTTCTTGTCTTTCTTCAGGTTTTATTCGACGTGCTAACTGGTGGTAGATTTTGGTAGATTCTCGTGAGAGGCAGGCGATGGGTATAGGGTCTCATAGGGAATCGATGTTTGCATTTTTGCGCTTCTGTTGTCGAGTTTGAGATTTCTTGGATAGATCAATGCTGTTCTTAACCGTACTCCCTGTTCCCTGTAGATGTAGGAATATCCATGCTATTGGGTAGAGACAAAGACATCGTATCGAGACGTCATCTAACCATCAGTAATAGGGGGCTGCCCTGGTCGGTATTGCTGAGCCCTTTTTGCGTTGGGTCCATCGAGCCGTCGTGGATCCTTCGCTTGTTTGTAACATGGACCATGCTGCAGTTCCTTCACATGCTGCCTGAAAGAATTGACTTTGAAAAAGATTTCTTGTCGGTAATTGATCAAATTTGGCTGTAAGCTTGCCAAGTAAGGAGGGGCCCAGTCATAGATGGGGCCATGCAAATATGTAATGGAGGCACCTCGTTGAAGGTGTCGGCCAGCCGACATTCACCATCTACTCTTTACATAAATCCTCAAGTAAACCCAGCATCCGTCGTTGCAGCTCAAGGAGCTCGGCTTTAGTTACTTTCCCAGAATCCAAACCATTAACTTCAGAGGGACGATCCGAATCTACGACAAGACTCTGCTTCAGGGCAAAGAAAGGAATATCCAAGCCTCGCAGTTCTGACATGAGTGCAGTAGCCATTTTCGCCGACACTTTGTAGACTTTTGCATCGTAGGTATCCAATTCTGCTTTGTCGTCTTGGGCTGTCTAAAAAAAGATATAAAATGTGAATTGTTAATGACGGATTTATGATTGGCAGATAGCCTCGGCAGGGAAATTGACAGGGAGCGGCGTACCGATATCTCTTTTTGATCGATGGGTGCTCCGATAGATCGTCTGCCAGCGACGAAGTCAGCAACAGCCAGATTTTGCGTGCTAATTTAACAGAGTGACGGACTGGTTAATACATACAATACTGCGTCGAGCTCTTTCTTCTTCTCCCCGGGATTGTTGCCTTAATACTAATGCCTCGCGGCTCTTCCACCACTGCCGTTCGTGGCTATGTTGGCTGTGGATGAGGCCGCGGATACGGAGCTGAGTTTCTTCATTTTGGCCGACTATTCGCATCACATGGCGAAGTGCGGCGGGCCAGGTAGTGATGCTTGATGCGTCTGTAGTTGAGGTGGATGGTTTGGGTGGATTGGAAGGTGGGCGTGGAGGGGCTTGGACTTCTTTTGGTCGTTGTGGCCTTTGCTGGGGTGTTTCTGATCGACTTGGAGGTGTTGATGTACTCTGGGATGATTGTTGCTGCGACGCTAGACCCGATAGTGTTTTGAGGACGGAGTCTAGGTCGGAGCTATTGTAGGGATACTCCATGGGTGGGAGGGGAAAGAAGAGAGGGATGATAAATAAGTTCTGTAGAAGATACCCTGTAGGTGTAGGTCTTCGGAGTACCTAAATGTATGGCAATAAGCCTGTAGAATAGCTCTGTGGAGTGATCCGAGTGGATGCTATATTGAAGTGGTCTGGGGCGTGAAGCTGTCCGAATGTCTTGGCGCATCTCCCGCTGAAAATTTACCTTTCCACCTGCCCATCGAATTTCACCGCCGACGTCCTTCCCACCCATCATTTCTTCTTGACATTCGACGCAGGGCCCTCGAGCCAGATCAACGCGCACTGACAAACCCTCCTCCATCGACTTATCTTCCATCCCAACAACCGCCCTTGTTAGGGGGCCGATTCACATTCACATCAGACCACCGCCGTCATGTCCCGATCCGCCGCGGACGCAACGCGGTTCACAGCAACAGGTCCCTACGCCAGTTCCAAGCCCGGCGGCGCACCATACGAACTGCCCAACTTCATGCAGAAAGACAATGCCTCGAGCGGCAAGCCTGCGGGCCAGACTCCGCAGCGCGGACCAGATGGGCAACCCGAGACGCCGAAGCAGAAGGTTGAACGGCTACGAGCGCAGGCTCGGGCTTCTCGGGTCGCGCAGTCGTCGTCAGGTTCGGATCGATTAATTGAATTTGGGCGGAAGTTCGCCAATAGGGCGCACAAGGGCATGGTTTACTCGCTCATTGTTGCTTCGGGTATGTGTGGTTGTCCTGTTCGATCTGTCAAGGGCGTGGGCGTGGACGCGTGAGGTGATGGATTGGTGGTTTTGCCTACCATGGCATGGCATGGCATGGTCAGCCGTGCTATCTCCGTGATCTACGTCTCTGATGCGATATATTGTGCATGATGGCATTTCAATGAATCCCGACTAATCTCGACGGCTATTCTAGGGTGTTTGCGGTGTCCTCACAGTCTACTCGATGGTCTCGCTGACCATGTATAACCGCCGCCAACGCACACTCTGGATCGAAAAGGAACTCGCCGTTCTGAGCGCCGCCCGTATCGCCCAAGCCAACGGCTCCGCCACCGAAGAACAGATCGACCTGATTAAGAAGGAGGATATTGCTGAGATCATCAAGCAGAAGCGCGCAGAGGAGAAGGCTCAGAAGCCATGGGCCAAGGCAAAGCGATTCCTCTTTGAGAAGATGAATATGGAAGATACTGCCGCGCAGGCCCCGTCATCAGCATCTTCCGATGTTGAGGCTTTGCAGCCGGGTGTTTGGGATGCCCTGCAGGCGAAGGAGGCTGCCGATGCCGCGGCTAAGAAGGCCAACGCTCCGATGGCGGGACAATTGGACGTGATGGCTGAGAACGCGGAGCAAGCTGCGAAGACAACAGCACGCAGTTGGACTAACCGGTTGACTTTTGGCTGGGTGCGGTAGGACTGAGGCGGTTCTGGAAGAAACCTGGGGTCGGGTTCGGGACGATGGAAACGAACACAATGAAAGGACAGAGTCCTGCCATCGTATCCTATATAATACACTCTCGTCGCGGATGTCGCTGTCGCTGTCCTTGCCGCTATCGCCATCGCCATCGTCATCGCCATCGCTGCCGTCCCGTCGGGCGACCTTACCTACCAATCCCAACCCCATCCGATTCCCACACCCATTCCACCGTCCTCCGAGTCCTTGAATAATCTTGCATGGCATGTTACGAGCTCCCTCGCAGCGTGCTTCCATCGTGACAGGGGGGTTCCGGCGTTGCATTTGTCCTTCAGTGCTGTTCTTTTGCTATTCTTTTCCTTTTCCCTTTCCCTTTCCTTTCCCTCTCTTCTCTTTCTCCCAAGGCTGTGTTCCTATCTGATTCAGGTGCTCTCCTCGACCGAAAAATCAAGGCAGAAAAACACCCGTGTATATTGTGTACAGTACATAGAAAAAACCTGCTCCTTCAAGTTCAAGTTCAAGTTCTCCACCTTCAGTGCAACACTGGCATGCATACAGTCACCAAGGCCACCAAGTCTCCACCACGTAACAAACGATAGGCTCTACGAGTAATATTCTTCCCCATTAGACATAGAAAATAAATATTGATAAAAACCCAAACCCAACGAACAGGGCAAAACAATCCTCCCCCAAGTCCCCACCGCTAATCCCAACAGGGGTGACCCGTTGCCGAGTTGGGCAAAACCCGGCGGAAGAGCGCTTTGCCCTCGCCATTTCCCTCGCCCAGTCCACGACCCCCCATGCGCCCCGGTGGAGTAGCAGGTCAATTGAAGATCCTGTGGAAACTCTGATCGCAGGAGCTGGAAGCTGTGACTTTAATTCTGGGTTATCGGTGGGTCCGGGGTGTTTGTGTCTGGGGTAAGTATACAATTTGATCTACAGGTGGGGGAGGGGCAGTGGGATGAGATGAGATGCACACTACGGCTAGTTGGGGGAGGCAAAAGCTGGAGATAGTAGGGGAAAGACCCTAAGCACTATTATTGATGGAGACTACTATAAGCTTGATGTAATAGATGCTCTACTTTTCACGGTCTATGGTAAATCTCTACACCCTTCTGCAAGATAGCACAGAATAAGAAACTTTTATATTCTCAAGAATTCAGCCCGAGCGGATAGAACAAAGGAAAAGTAAAAAATCAACAGAGAATACATTTCCACAACATCACAAAAACACACCGACACAGACACACCCACTTAGTGAGCCCCATTCGATTTAGACTTGAGAATCTCCCAACGAGCACGAACACCATCAGCCAAATCATTCAGCGTATCAACAGTCATCTCCCAGTTAATACAAGCATCAGTGATCGAAACCCCCCTTGAGCAAATGGCTAGGTCCCTCGGGGGGAACCTTCTGATTACCCTCATAGATATTCGACTCAATCATAACACCAATGATACCAGTCTCACCCTCACGCAACTGATCAGAAACCTCCTTCGCAACAAGCGGTTGATTAAGGTGATTCTTCTTCGAATTACCATGCGAGCAATCAACCATCAACACCTCACGCTGCTTCTTAGCCCGAAGAGCCTCACGGGCAATACGAATATTATCCCGATCATAGTTCGTACCCTTGTTACCACCGCGCAGGATGACGAATCCATGCTCATTACCAGCGGTCTTGGTAATAGCAGCCAGTCCCTGCTTAGTGACACCGAGGAAGCGATGCGGGTGCGCCGCGGCACCAATAGCATCAATAGCAACGGTGAGATTTCCATCCGTACCGTTCTTGAAGCCGATTGGGAAGGACAAGCCCGATGCGAGTTCGCGGTGGAGTTGGGACTCGGTTGTTCGGGCGCCGATGGCGCCGAGACTGATCAAGTCCGCCATGTACTGGGGGGAAATGGTGTCGAGCATTTCGGAAGCGATGGGGAGTCCCGTGCTAGTCAGGTCGACGTAGAGTTTGCGCGAGACGCGGAGACCCTTGTTGATGTTGTAGGACTCGTCGATGTCGGGGTCGTTGATGAGGCCCTTCCAGCCGACTGTTGTGCGGGGTTTCTCGAGGTAGGCGCGCATGATGATGCAGAGGTCCTTGGAGAGTTTGTTCGAGAGTTCCTTTAGGCGGCGGGCGTATTCGAGGGCTGTGTCCGGGTCGTGGATTGAGCAGGGGCCGACGACGACGAGGAGGCGGTCGTCGCGTTGCTCGATGATTTCGACGGCTTCATTGCGGCCTTGGCGGACGGCTTTGATGGCGCGGTCGGGCTGGTGGAATTGTTAGTTTTGGTGGTGTTGTGGTTTTGGGGTTTTGGTGGGGGATGAGGAAAAAATGACTCACGGCGGGGATCTCGGTTTGGAGGAACTGAGGCTGCAGAAGAGGGTCGTAACCGAGGACTAAGAGGGTTAGAATGGGGGGAATAGTATGAGGAATGCAATGGAATAAAATAAAATAAAATAGAGAAAGAATGCAGTGGGCGCAGTGCGAGTAATTCAGAGATACTTACCGCGAGTGTCCTCGTTCACTTCGGTGGTGTTGACGAGAGGCATTGCGCAGAGAGACTGTGCTGTAGCAGGGGAGAATAGTTAGGAGGAGAGGATAGTAGAAATAAAGTAGAAGCAGAAGGAGGAGTCATACCAGAGCAGCAGGGGAAATATAAATGTAGAAAGTAAGTGACGAGGCGAGGAAGAGAAAAGAAGAAAGTCAATTGTGGATTTGCGGGCAAAATAGCAAGTGGGGAACAGCCGTGGAGCAGGCACAGAGGGCAACAGCACTATATGTATATGTACGGAGTACAGTATACTGATACTAGCGACTACGGTAATACTATAGTAATACTAGTACTAGTGATATTATTATATTACTGTCAACTATCTGATAGATCGTCTGCAGCCCAACTAATAGTACATGTACTGTAGAGATTTGCCCTCTGCTCCCCTCGGAGATTCTCAGCCAATCACAATCCCCATAATTATATAGACCGATGCTGTGGCTAGACTATGCGAGGCAGTGACTCCAGCATGTGTCACCATTCTAGTTCCTCCCTGGGCCGTTCAGCTAAGCCGCTAAGCCAGTTCAGCTGAGATCAGATCCTGCAGCTGCATTGCATACGTACCGTACAGAGTACAGAGTACAAAGTACAACACAGAGCCTAGTGCAAATATACATAGTGGATGATTCTATACTGCTCAAAATAAAGGAGAATAGTATAGTAATATTCCCATAATATAATTGACCTGATATACTCTATCTACTCCATCTATACTACATACTCCGGTGTATACAATAGTAGTACCTCGTATACTTCTACTTCCACTTCCACTTCCACTTCCACGGCAACCGGCTCCACCTCCCATTCTCCCGCCTCTCCTACTTTCCTCCTCCACCACCTCCAACCTTCCCCTTCGCCCTCCCTCGCCCTTACTTCCCATGATCTCACCCATTCAGAGGATGGCGCATCCTCCCTGACTCTCCCTCTACCATCCATCATGTTTCGTACCCAATCTCTCAAGCGCTCCCGCGATGATGACGGCGACCTGCACCCCCTTGGGCCCAAGGTACGTACCAATCTACTCGTACTCTTTCGCGACTTCACGCGTCAAAGATCACCACCTCGATAACCCACCCCATCTGACCTGCAGAATCGCTGACTCATGCTGGTAGAAAATTCGCCCATGGCAAGGCCCTGCCTCCAATGCTTTCTCCCTCCCCGTCCCCGAATCTGCCGACATCGACCAAGCCCTACGATTTCGCGCTCCAACCCTAACCCCCATCGACTCATCGGACGAGGAAGATGTCCAGAATATCAACAGCCATGCATTGTACACTGGCACAGCAACAAAGGTCTTCCGCCCTAAACCTTCCAACCTCAACCTGGACCTGAACGCAAACCTAAACCAAGCCCCGGCAAAGATCCTCCTGTCCGGCGACGACCTCTCCCCATGGCAACAAGCCTACGCCCTGAACCACCACGAGAACCACAACCACAAACACCCATCTCCAATCCCCCACGCCCTCGTGAATCACTCCCTCGACATCAACGCCTCGGCCCTCACAGCCCCAGGCTTCGGCCACGATGACTTCGAACCAACCCCAGCACTCACCCCGGCAGTCGACACCCCCATGGAAATGGAAGACATAACCCCCTTCAACAAAGAGCCACCGATAATCCGACTTCCGAGCCCAGTCAGTGACACGGATATGGCAATGGGCGATACAATGTCCGACACGGAACTAGTTTATCCCGGTCCCTACCCAACCCGCGTGCCGACGCCAGGCCTCGACTACGGCAACGTCTCGCCGCACCCGGTAGCAGCACATCCCATGTCGCGGAGTACCTCCGATCAATCTACCACGCGCATGCCCACCCCGTGTCCTATTCCACATCGTCGTTCCGCGCTGGTCATGGGTTATCGTGCTGATTGCGATAAATGTCGGTGCAAAGTTCCTGGTCACTACAGCCATATCATTCAGCGGGCTTGATCGTGGTTTGTACGAGGTGGGAGGTTGAGCTGCCATGCGCTGGCCCGGGCCGGACTGGAGTGGGCTCGGCTGGGCTGTGTCGGTTCAACTGAACGACCGTTACGATTAACTCCTACTAGTTTATGTGTCTTGATTTCTTCTTGTCCTTTTTTGGCATTTTTCATATATTCCCCTAGGTTCTGCGATTCGCTTTTTGCTTTGCTTTGCTTATATTTATTCCTTTCTTGCGCTGTATAACATAGCCCTATATTTTGCTTTCTTACCTTTATATGCAGACTACAAATCATTGTCCGCGGCTGGCGCTTGGATATTATGAATACCTCAGACGGATGGAAGGGAGTTTTATATGTTCCTTTGCTCAGGATGGACTTACTATGACATAACTACTGGTTTCTTTCGTCCTTTCTTGCTTCGTTTTGCTTCTGCATTTTTGAATATGACCTACTAGTGTTGCATACTAGGAAGTTCCCATGTCTATCTGAGATATAACTTGAATTATAATAACCCAACATCATCATCACATCAATCGATAGACCAATTCCTACAAGTAAAAACTGCAGTACACAAATACCAAATATAGTATACCCCTCCCACCCAATCAATACCCGCGTCAATTCCGACACGGCATGTAACCCCACCCGAATACAAAATGCCACAAAGCTTCTAAGCTCTGCAGGACTTCGCCTGTCACGAGACTTTCTGCATCAGTTCAGCTTAGCGGTGCTGTTATGTTCGTCTCGGAAGCTCTTGTCTCCGAGTCGTCTTACTTAAGGTACGTTTGAGCGGGTTGGATTGCAATCGTTTCGTTGTTCGTTCGTGCTCTGTGTTATCGTCGTGGTTCTCTTTGTGGAGGATAGCTCTGGACTAGATCAATTGGATTTAGAAAACCCGGTTAGTTTGGAACTTTGGAAGTCGTTCCTATCTCCAGGGTCGAAATCAGGATGGCGTTCAATTTTATGAGATGTTGATTGTTTAAGTTGGTTCAAGGTTCGTGGAATTGTTAACTAACTACCAGGACCGTGCCAGTGACTTGATTAGTAATATTTTAGACGGCCGTGGATTACGTTACTGCTACTAAAGTTGAACTTGCAAAATTTGCGTTTGGAGAATATCTCTATATTCAAGTTCATTCTCAGTTTATTTCAAGGTTTATAAAACCTCACTCTTCCAATTATTTTGACTGTGGGAATGATTTGATAGAACACTGGCACCTTCAAGGATTGCATATACTACAATGATAGTTATGTGATATACCGTCTAGAATATGGTAGGGAGCTTCTGTTTCCTTGCGCTCTAATTCACTACCATGAAGGTGTTTGCTCTGGTTGTGCAGTGCGCGGCTCCTTTCGACCGGCTCTCCAGATCCCGCTCTTTCCTGTCATCCACTTTCACTCCATCCCCTCCAGCTTGAACGCGTCATTCCAGCATTCAACCAAGGTACGGTCCCTTCAAACTCCATTCTACGCAACCTTGCGTGCTTCCTATCCAAAATACTGTTTGTCCTTGTTGCGTTGTTCATTTAGAGGCGTGGAGGTCTTGTCAAAGAGAGAAAGGAATAGCTCATCTCAGTGGCGTCACAACAGCAGCAGGTCCAGTTTAAATACGGAGTATCTTGGCAAAGTCATCAAGTTGATTTCATTACATACTAATACTTGTATCATAGATGAAGAACACCGCTGCAGAGTCCGAAATATTTATTCGAATCGGAAAAAGGGAGTACCGGGTTGATGTGAACAAAATCCCGCACCTGGCCGAATTCATACATGCCCCACTGGCCGTTCAATCGGAGGATATGTCTACTTTTTCAACGGTACGGCGATATCGTGGAAGTCCGAGCTTCAAACCACGGTGTCGAAATCGTTGACCAGTGCAGAATTCGAAGAGCTGTCTCCTGAATGATCGGCGGAGATGGAGAATCAAAGGATTATCCCACAGAGGCAGCCCGGGTGCATCAAGGCCTTTTTGAAGCTCGAATACAACGGAATGCCCCTTTGGCGGACGAATACAGACCATGATCGCTCGTCAGTTTGTCCACTAGGGGAATTGAATTTCCAAGGGTTGTAAATAATATACCACAATACTACAAATCCAATTAACCCTCGAGGAGCTTTTTCGGTAGATTAAATGGAGAGCCTAATACTGCCTCAGTATTACTTTAAAGCAAGGCTAGGAGGAAGAAGCTTAGAACTTGCTTGTAAGTGTACTTGGCTATGTACTGGTTACTAGTGATAATTGACTGCACGTTGAGATGAAACGTTGATTGAGATATCGGCGTAGACCCCAAAATATTTGACCAGAACATTTGAATCAGTAACAAGTACTTAATCAATTGCCGTTATGGAGCCCAGTATTAGGGGCTTTTGCTTGGGGTCTAGATTCTATGCTTCCTCCTCCTCCGCCTTGCGTTTGACATACAATGACACCAACTCTCTTGAAGTCTCGAAGAGTCGACGACGAAGCTCTAATCCATCCCTGCCCAGCTTCCTCACGCTTAGATGCATCAAGAGAAGCTGTAAAGCCTGCCAGTCAATGCAAGCTTTTGCTTTTGGAATATCCTCAAGCTCAAAGAATATCTCTTCGTCCATCCTCTGGCGCCAGAAACCCTCAGATAGGAGCCAGCCCGATGCGGATATAATGTTTTGAAAATCGACAACATCGGAAGTGATGTGATCTTTCACTGGGCATATCTGGTCGGCAATGAGGAGGATGATATCCAAGGGTAGTTGGACGAGAGGGTGCGATGTCGGAATAGGAGAAGAGAATGTTTGAGCTTTCCTTGTAGCTGCGGCTCTTTTGGCAGAGCAGATAGTGAGCCCAATACTTGGGATGACCAACGGACTGCCTAAATAAGGAAAATGTTGCTCCGAGCCTGTCATCTTGAGTTTTATCTGTAGTTCTGTTTCAGCATGCACTGGTTTCTTCAGATCGATAAATTCCACGTTGATTTCCATTGACTTGGAGACCCGACCTAGGAGAATCCAGCAGTGAGCGTGTACCACGCAGCCAACGTAGGCTCATCCTGGTGCTGGGACAGTAGTATGCTGTCGATTTCGCATAGGTCAAATGCAATGAAGGTAGGATCGAGATCGGTGAGTCCTTGCTCCCACTTCCCGCCAGTGTGCTAGACACTGCAAGTATATAGCAATTAATGGGTTTCCTATGATGGGCTTTGGGTACCTACCCATCGTGCACAGGTCTAGTTGTGCTTGTCTGGTGGGAAATTTCCTGCAAATATTGAAGTAGATTTCAAATTACAGGATTATTTACCATCCATTCGGCCTTACTTGACAGTGTAGCAGCGCAGGAGGCTGAACGTGACCTGCCTACTGGGAAATCCTGTCCAGCCAACATATATGCCCCACGGTCACACCCTCGCGGTACTCGTACACACGGAAGGCTTGTTGTAGATCCAGGCACCAGACGGGGCAGTGCATCTCAGGTCGACAATACTAAGTGGGTACCACAACAGTGGGGCCTAAAGTCGTGCAATACTTCCATGCCGGGTTAGATTGCCAAGGATTTTATTCACACCTCTGATACTGTAATCTTCGCACACAAGAGAGGAATGCTAAAAGGACCACCTCCCCTGCACATTTTTGCTTGGCGTGTACGTTCCATAGAAAGTTTAGATACACTTCCACCACTTCTGATGTATCCCCAATGCTTAGTGTTGCCCTCTCTGTTGTCTAATCCAATATATCCTTGTTTGCCAAATTTTCTCTTCTATCTTTAAGTATTTCTCCTTGGCTAGCTAATAAAACATTTCTAAGAAATTATGGTATTATCTAAAATTTCTACAGTCTAATAAGACAGTAGCTATTAGAAGTAGGACTTATTGAACATGAACAATATAACTTAGCATCGGGGCTTATAGGTACATTTGATATCATCGGAGCGTAACCAGAATCTGTAAAGAAAATATATACTAATCTAGGGTTGGCAGTTACCATGGTCCAAGTAGGAAAAATGGGGGATGGTCCTTTTAGCAATCCTCACACAAGATAGACGTTTCCTATTTAGGTTTAGCAGATATCATGGTACCCACTTTCAACTGTGGAGGTCACATCTACTCCCGGCACCAGAGAACCATTCATACTTCTGTCCGTGTGGCCCCCAACTTGGAGGATCAATCCTCTTTGCAATTAGGCAAATGGCAAGGCTGTGTGCGGGATTTATACAGCAATTGCTATGCATAGCATTGTTTAAGACCCAAATTTTATGCGATTCAATGCAGTCCAACCACGGGCAATCCTCAGATAGGATCATTGATTCGCAGAAACCTTCCATTTTCGGTGGTTCTTGTTGATGGCAAGGCAGATCTGCTCAATATTTCGATAGGAAGTTTCTAGTTTGGCGAGAAAGCCTTGGACTTGCATAAACCTATAAATACCCAGTCTTTCCCGGCTAGAAATTGAAGTTTGTACAACCATTCCAGTTGCCAATATTCCACACTAAAAGCCAGACCCAAACCACCGCTGTTCGGTTCCCTCGATATTCTCCTCCATAAACCTCTTTTTTATTCAATATTACCTGAAAATGCGTGTCTCCGCCACAATCGGTGCTACACTCGCACTCTGCACTGCTACGCTCGCGTGGGATATCTCGTTCTACACCGACTCGAGTTGTGCTCAAGATAATGGCGACTATGTACGAATTCCCATAAACTACCTTCATACTCCCCTCGAAATTTCAACAAACTTTTTGCTCCAGGGCTAACATGGAGTCTCATGATTCAATACAGGTCACCTATAGTGGAAGTCAAGGCGGCAATTGCCAATGGCTGGGCGCTCAGCCCCCAAGCTGGGCTAAGTGTTCCAAATTTACGAATGGTGGGGTTAATGGCCCTTTTGATTGCACCGGGGATGATTTCACGGACGCCAAATCATTTGCTATTGGCAGCGGCAATTTCTATCTAGCCGACGCTCGCTCTGCGAACAGCGGTAACTGTCAGACCGGATTTGGCAGTTCTCAAATCGGATGTCAGAGCATCCATGTTAGGGGTTTTACACCGAATTAATGAGCATTACGATAGATCATTTGCTTGTTTACTGAAGTCTGATGACTTCTACATCTATTGAATTGAACCACTGTCGTTACCGTTTGACTTCTGCTCGATGCTTTTCCATATTTCGCACCTGTAGTCAAAGAAAGTTCGCTCAGATTATATCCAAGAGGTATGCACATCTGTGTCTGCCTAAGGCACCAGGTTAGACCCCTCCTCTCTCGAATTCTGGAGACGAGAATGCTGGTAGAAAAGGGTCTCTATTTTTGAATATCCACCATACTGGTCCTCGCGGGCTTCTCCCAGAGGACAGTTTTCCCTAGGTGTGACACTAAATTCACCACAAATATGTCAGTGAAACAAAGTGCAGGCCATCCGTGTAATTTATCAGATTATTTGGAAAAAGCATTAGGCGACTTAGATGCCAGATAGGTTTTCGGATATCATATTTCTTACATTTTTCTAAAACAAGGGATTTTCGAGTCATCCTTCAGATGACTTAAGCAATGTAAGAACAAGTATTAGCTCTGCTCTTTTCGATTTTTATTTTTTGTACGATTTGAGATGATGCGGCTGAGTGCGGAGGAGGGTCAAAAAGATGGAATGCAATTTAGATGCGAAATGCTTCCGACGTTGAGAAACTTGATGTCCGTCTATCTGGGATGCTAGGTGGAGGAGCGGAGTCTAAATTCACCCCCCGAAGACTGAAGGTATGGGACACCGAGAGCTTGAATCTAAGGATGGGTTGACAAGACTATCTATATTTCATACTTTCAATGAGTTTAATTTCTATTCCCCCCCGCCGCTCTATAGCGGCAGCCGACTCAGTAGGGTTTCCCGTACCAGCGACCGCCTCTACCTGTAGACTTCCAAGGTTTGCATATAAAATGCAACCATACGACTAATAGGATAAGTCTTCGAGTGACGTTTTCGATAACCAAAAGATCCCGCCTTATACGTAGTACTGTAAGCAGTGTCGTGAAGCATGCCTGACATCGCGAACCTTAAATGAAACCCGTAACCGTACTCGGTTGGATAGCAGGAAGATTCGAAAACCAAATGAAAAATCGAATAAGATATGATTTGCCCAGATGTTTTCCCAGGCCATGGGACGAAGCATTCACTTAAAGTCAGTGACAACTGTCCAGCGTAACAGAGGAAGGTACGGTTGGGTGCCTGAGGCACTCTTAGTCTCAAACGGCGAAGTCGACTCTTCTTCACCTCACCTCGCTTCCTTCACTTCACACATCATTTTTCACTTGTCAAAAATATCCTCTGAGTCCTTTCTGGTTATTTGTTCTGCCTCACAAAAGATCTCAATCCTCCATATTCTAACCACAGCATGGAGGCCTTTGAGTATGGACTTGACTACATTCCTTCATGGTCATCAGCATGGCCCTCTTGCTTGTTATGCGGTATCATGATTCGATCTGCTCAACACTCCGGTCCTCTGAAATCATACCAGAAGGCCATTGGCAGGCAACTCAAGCGAGCTAGTGAACAAGATCAAATCCTGGTTCCAGCGAAGAACGTTGAGGAACATTACCTTGTCAACTACCCTTGGCTAGGTGGATGTACATTCCGAGCCAGTGAGTCTTCCGCCTAAAAAAAAACACCTTTAGCCCTCTGCGTTATTCGATTAGGTACTAACTACTCCTTCATGATAGTCACCAGCGATAGGAATGGATGCTTTCACCTAAGAGGCATCTGTATTGCAGACTGGAGCTGCAGCGAGCTCGTCGACTTCGCCGTTGTTCCTAAGGACTCCTCCAAGGCCCGAATCGGCCCACGGAGTGTAGGAATACCAGTTCTTCCAGGACCTCCCCGTCATGACCCAGCATTTTCCCGCTTTCGACTCCGGGGAATAAGGGATGCAAGACCCGAGCAGCAGCCATCTCCCGGAACTGGGTACCTGATCCACGCACATTGCTGGATACTTCTCGGTCGAGAGGCCTGTGAACCGATGCAAACAAAGCTCGAATGGCTGGATTTGAACAAACTCGTACAAACGGCGAGATTAATGCGGGCGGCAGATAAAGATTCTTGGACATTCAGGGCTGAGAGGAGTCCTGCAAATCCTCTGGTTATCCCCGTATTCGGACTATTGTTGCACTCGCAGAACGAGCGGTTAAACTTACAAGGAGAGCCAAATCATCTGCCGTTCAGTCAATCCAGGAAACAAATCCGAAACATCCAATGAATGGCGTACCCATGGATATCGCTCTTCTGATCGCTGAGGACATCTGCAGACCCGATTGCAATAGCTGGGAAGCTACAAATCTTAGGAACCTGCTATCTGTATTCGAATGGGCACTGCCGGAGAGCTTTTGGAGACGCCGAGTTAACGAAAACGTATTTTTCGAACTGAAGGAGCTCCGAAAATCCAATACTCCAGTTAATTGGCAGCTCCTACGACTCGAATTAATGCAACTTCATGGATACCCTTTGAATTATCGAAGTGGATTGAGAGTTCGAATTCAAGTTCTTGAAACTTTGAAAGAGCTGATGCCGGCCTATTCCAAAGACAAGGTGGAAGAGTCGAGCCCGAGTTCCAATCCCTGAGGATTCTCTCAAAATCTAGGGTCATCCAGATCGATGCTCGCTATGGTTGATAACAATCTGGAGGAACGAAGCCGAAATGTCGAACCCCGAGAGTACGTGTCGCCCACTGCCTTCAACCATCCGGACCGACGTTCGCTAGGGTTGATAGGGCCTGTGTTTGAGGGGACAATATGTGTGAATGAATTAATGAGACCTGTATCTGATACCCCCAATGGAATCAAATCTATTTTCCCACAAAATTTGTACTATGCGGCGCTCCGTAACCCCAATCACGCCCCACCACCACCCGCAACCGCAACACCAGCACCAAAGGTAGCGATATTCCCATTCGCCATGCGGTTGCGATTACCCTTGCGATTACCCATCTGGTTCCACTCCGCATATTCCTTTTTGGATTTCTGGTATTTATCGTAGTCGCGAAGATACTGATTGTAGTTGTCTCCGTATTGGCTGCGGCGAGGTGGGAAAAGCCCGGGCTTCGCGGGTTTAGAAGAGCTGAGGCCGAAGCACATATGGAGGAGAATATGGAAAGTCGGGAATACTTTTGGGTCTCTGGCACATATCAATGGAAATGGGCAGGGCGACTTGGAGGTTGAATATAAAATTCTTGCGGGGGAGGTGTTTATATGCCAAACGGCCCCCACTGCACTGCCTCCATAGGATTCTTGGTCTTCTTGGTGTTCCAAATTGGGGGCCAAATATGCCGCGTATAGAGGAGGTGGGTACTCGAATTCTTGAGAAAGCTTTCATGGACTGAAAGTTATTACTACGGCCAAAAGTTCTTTTCGTAATTGGAATCAAATAATGATATTGGTGATGATTCATGATCCGAAGAAACAAAGACAGTACGCCACCACAGTCTTCAATGAGACAGATTCAGAACAAGATCGAGGGAATCTTTACCGATAACCACCATAAGAACAGAGATAGAACAACATATCAATACCAGTCTTTGTAAATGATCCCCATCATCGCCCATCAACGTCCCGCATCCCCGTAGACGACACTCAAAGCTGCTCCGAGGCAAAAACGGCCAGGGCATGAGCTCTTTCGTTCGACTCCTTGCCCACCAGCCAGAAATCTACCTTAGTATTGCTTTCAATCTCCTCAATCATGCTATCAATCAGTCTCCACGTAGTCTCATTCGCGACGGCCTGACCCTTACAACCCTTCCAGCCGTTGCTCTTCCACTTCGGCAGCCAATCCGTGACACCCTTGACAAGATACTCGGAATCGGACTTGATGACAATCGTATGCAAAGGCCAAGACTTCTTCTTTTTTCCATTCATATCGGCAGCCTCTTCCGACTTCCACATCATTTGAAGCATCAAAGTCCGAGACAATGCCGCCGAGCACGCCTTAAGCGAAGCAACTTGGGCCGTAGGGTGTTCCTCTTCGAAAGTGCTGGCAAAATTATGCACATTCTCATGACCGTAGAAGACTCCGACGGAGATCTTCTTGCTCTTCTGCGGGTTGCCTGGGTGAACACTGTCGATGGCGACGACTATGCAGTCAACGTGACCCGGGTGGTTCTTGCAGTCCTCGCAGATGACGGGGGAATCGGGACAGGCGAGATATGTCCAGTTTCCGACTTTGGCCTCGACTTCGTGCATGGAGAAGTTCTTTGGGTATTTTTCGACGAGAAATCTTCGATCGTGTGGCTTTGTGGTGGGCGTGGTTTCTAGAGAGATGGAGTCCATGGTGGCTTCTAGCTTTGGCATGTCCAGGGCTGGGAGAGTACCGGTGCCATGGACTGCGGCAGGGTGGTTTGCCAGGTGGGAAGGCATTTTGGCCTGGAGAGGATGAGTTAGCTTGATAGTCGACATTATGGCTTTCGAAATCAGGAATTCTTGCTTGCCCCAATACAGTGGGAGTGCATGCCGGCATTGTTGGACTTGCGAAGAGTTCGCCTTCTGGCAGTGCGAGATGGAGAAGGAGGATGCATGTTGAGTTGGCTTGGAGGTAGTAGAAGAAGATAGAACGATGTAAGAGGAGAGTTAAGAGAGGAAGTGTGAGGTTGGAGAAAGAAATAGTGGAGGGATGGTCAAAAGAGAAGGAGCGAGGGAGGGGAGGGACAGAACCCATCGCTCTTTCCCTGAATGGATTGCCTGGAGGTAAGCTGGAGGTAAGCTAGTCCCAACTGGTAACTACTGCTAGAATTGACTAGAATTGACTATCAAAGAACATTAACTTGTGCATCTCACTGTTCGTGCCCCGGTCTTTGTTATCTTCTTTGACAAACTATCCAATTAGTGACATTGGTGATCCTCTTGCTACATCGAGTAAGCCTACATTTTCTGTATTGCACAGCCTCCATGCAAACCGCTCCTGGTTATATGCCTCGCCTCTCGCCTTATTTTTTGCAAGAGATCTAACTTGAAAATAGCTATGATGAAGATGTCAAACCCTATATCAAGCCTTACCTGATCGGGTTAGGACAGCAGTCCATTCTGCAATGGCCAAGAAAGGTGGGGGCGATTGGGGGCCAAATCCTTTGAATGCAGCTGCCCCGAGGACTCCTCACTTCGCAATCACCCTTCAGCTCGATGAAAATTGCATCCAGAGCAGTAAAAGATTGCTTCTTCCAAATCGAAAAATTTGAAAGCCGTTTGTTTCTTCTCGGGCCTCTTGGGCGATAGATATACTCATATATCCGTGCCCAGGGAGCGCATAATGTCAAGAGTCTCGAAAGGCTGTGAAAATTGCCGGGCTAGTAAGGTGCGCGTAAGTGTACCAACTGACTCACTGACCGCGTCAAATTAGCGCTAACCGCCGTCCATTTGCAATCAGTGCGATCAAAAACAGCCTCGTTGCGAACGGTGCATCCGTAGAGGCAAAGATTGCCAGTACCGGGATCTAAATGACCTCGTCTTTCGAAATATTACAGACCATACTGTACATCGGGCTCGGCGCCTGATTGCAGAGAGAGCGGCCCTGAGCGATGCCAAACATATACGCACGCACTCGCTGACGCTGGCTCGTGGTCTGCATCCCGGCGTGCATACGCTAAACATCACCTCTCCCCTCTCAATACACATACCCCCAACCATCGAGTCAGGCCCGATGATGCGCTACCAGGTCATGTCATCCTATTGCACAGACTACTTCCCTTGTACAAAAATCACAAAGGATATCAATCCTACGCATTTTGTTTTCATGGGCATATTCGCGCTTACCAAAAAGAGCCCTATGCTGGAAACTGCCTGTTCTGCATTGGCATACATTTTTCAAGGCAGAACTCACCACGATGAACATGTTTTTCAACATGGCGTTCAGCTATATAATCGTGCCATTCGCCAATTGGCGTGCGCAATGAGCCGCAAAGCCGACACTGCCAGCACTGAGGATATTGTATATACTACTGTTATTTTCCAGCAGATCCAGGTACGAAGTCAACGGCCTTCACCCAACCATCCAACTCACCCTTCTCTAGAACCACTATTGTCCACATAATCTTGGTCAATGGATTGCGCATATAGATGGGCTCAATGCAATCATGAGACACTACAGCTCAACCCTGAAGTGGATACCCTCAACCCCACTACTGAATGCTGTTTGTGGGGAATATCAGAAATTCCAGGTGGTAAGCAGATATTACAACGCCGCACTAGTTCTTTTTTACAATTTCGTTAACCCTGACGGATATTTAAGGCTCTTACCGGATTCATGCATCAATCTGATGATACAATAACATGGCTCAAAGAGCCACGCAAAGGCGGGATATGGGTTGAGTATCTCGAGCTTCTTATCGAGCTTTCACGAATTGGCCAGGCTGTCAGCCTTACCAATACCACTGATCATGCTGCTTTCAAATCTCTCCATGCCGATTGCCTCGCTCTTGAAACAAAACAGCTGGATTATTGGACAAAGATCAATCCCGACAGAGAGCCCCCGACATACGCTCGTGGTGAATTAAACACCGGAATTTCTCCCACGGATGACTTGTTCGGCCCAGCCTATCGCTTTTCTTGTCTTGATGATGCCATTCTACATTCTATACTCTGGCTAGCCATGTCATTCCTCTATCCTCTCATTCACCAGTGTCGAGTTCTCACCAACTCAAAATACACACTTTCTCATAGCAGTCTCTTGATTGACGATTCTCAAGACGAAGCACATCGCCTTTCGCTATCTTATGTCTCCAAGGCTGCTCGATGCCTTCCATACTGCGGTCAAAAGGGCATGAATGCATGGGGCATGTCTTACGCGGTGTGGGTCGCAACTCAGGCATCCCGGGTATACACCCACAAGAAAGATTGGGACCGGTTTATGTGGGCGCAAAATGCTTTGCTATACGTGGAGAGCCTTGGATTTGGAATTGCTGGTCAATTCTACAACATGTGGGGGAATTATTGGTTTGAAACTCATAAACACGACCCTTACAGGGTCATGAGTTTGAGAGGCCAGGTTGAAAAGTGCAAAATCGATCCTTATGGGGATGCACCAAATAAATATGGTGTGTAATGATAAGCTGCTGGACCTCAAGCCGGCCATGGCATGATGATGTATCTACGACTCGCAACTACTAATTAGTTTATCCAAAAGTCTCAGAACGGACTTTCTTTCGCTTGGCAGTAGCGGTGGATGGTAATAATCCGATCCCAGCAGGCCGGGTCCGAGACTAGCTCCAAACACAAGCGGTGGATGCGTTGTACATTTAGTCTTTTTGACAGGGGGCCAAGTACAACAATGCATTGTTGTCGGGACCCGCTAGCCTCCACTGGGACTGTCTTGCTCCTTCGACTGGCCATACACCATGAATCTAACCACTTCGGCTCCATAGCGGGAGGATGCCATTAAAACTAGTTTCTACTAATTACGTGGTATTTAAGTTCATTTTCTCCTGACGGCGGGGTAATTCTTCTCCTATTTTGACACTCATTTCTCTCTCCCTCCAGGGCATACGATCGACTCCTGTCCGCGGTACCATACTATATATCCACTATGGGATCCATCCAACAAACTACTAGTAGATCTATTCCAAAACTCACGGCTATAGAGCAGATCAGTCCCCGGGGCTATGCGCGCTATATTTTCCCTTTCGAGCTAGGAGAGAACTACAATCCCGACGAAATCTTCACTGTCGTTCGACAGGGGTACGTATTTCTAGCGAAGCAAATCCCAGAGACGGCATGTGAGGTAATTCCCGACCTCGACTCATGGCAGAAGAATGTCATGAAGTTGCGCATGCCCAGCGATGGGGAGATTGATCTTGTTACAGCAAAGGATCTACGAGCACCAGGCGCTTTCCCATATACATTCGCAGAGCTCAAGGCCAAGAGCTTTCCTCCATCCGCCTTCGAAGGAGACCTGCTCTGTCGTCGAGAAGTCTGGCCAACGCCCGATACGAGAAGGCCCATCTCGCTTGCACAGTGCACTTTCATTCCCGGCGGCCTCCTTCTATCATGGAACGTCTTCCACATGATCGGAGACGGCGGATGCTTTTTCACATGGGCCAAGGTCTGGGCAGAAGGATGTCGTCGGGCGCAGGGTCAAGATATCGACAACCCGGTCCAACTCCCGGAGGCCCTTTGGAAAGATCGCGAACAGGCAATCAATCCTCCCGCTCAGTATAAGGGCAAACTAGAGGATCATCCAGAATATATCCTTCTGCCCTTTACGCCAACAGAAATGCCACCGAAAATGCTAACTACGACCCACCGCGGTCAAATCTTTTACATTTCGCCCGAATCGCTGGCAAAATTGAAGCAAGAGGCCGATCCATCAAATGCGACCGAGTCATCAGATCAAAAATGGATATCTACCAACGACGCCATCTGCGCGCTGATCTGGCGCTCGATCATGGCAGCGCAATTTCCTCTGCAGCCGGAGGGACTCGGGGAAGCCGAAGAGAGTGATTCTGAAACCAACTTTGGCATCTTCATGGACGGACGGTTGCGGACGAATCCAAAGATTCACCCCGAAGCCCTGGGGTGTTTCATGACTTGTTGCACGGCCACGGTGTCTCTTCGTAAAATGCTCGGACGGCTCAATATTGCCGATCTTTCCGTGCTCGTGCGCAAGGCTGTCGCCAGTACGGAGGGGCATTCTATCTGCGACGTCGCGGCGCTTGTTAAGAATCAGGAACATCCGACTCGTCTTGCGTTGTCTGCTATGCTGGATCTTTCGGGGAAGAATATTTCTCTGTCGTCTTGGGTTAATTTTGATTTATATTCTTTGGATTGGGGTTCGATGTTGGGGAATAGGATTGAGGCTGTGAGAATGCCCCGGATCGGCATGATTCATGGGGCTCAGATTGTTTTGCCTGTTTTGCCGAATGGAGGGGTGGAAATTATGGCTGGGATTGAGGGAGAGTTTTTAGATAGACTTCTACAGGATCCGGTGCTGAGGAGGTTTGCTGTGCCGGTGTAGATTAGTCCTCGCCTGGTTGAAAGCTGCTACGCTCGATGACACGGGACAGTATGATAATGAATTTGAAGAAATAAGTTACAAGAATACAAGCAACACCGTATCCTACAGCAAATTCGTAAAGTCGAGATTATCCACCTGATGAGCGTCCGAAGAGAATATCAGAGGCAAATATGAGACGCATCTCATAATATGCAGAGATATATGCACCAATTTCCCAGGTTTCCAAGAGCAGGAAACATTCACCACGGGATTCCTGCCATTTGACGTCACAGTAGGAGACTTCAACGGAGATGGCCGTCCTGATATCGTGGCTACAAATCTTGGCGACAATACAGTGAACGTCTTTCTTGGAACTGGATCGGGGAGCTTTCAGCCGCAGACCACATTTCCCACAGGAACCCTTCCAGCTGGTGTTGCAGTGGGCGAATTCAACGGAGATGGCGATTTAGATATCGTGACTACAAATAATGTGGGGGTGAACATCTTGCTCGGGACTGGGTCTGGGACCTTCCAAGCGCCAGCCACATTTGCTGCAGATTCTGGTCCACAGGACGTTACAGTAGGCGATTTCAATGAAGATGGCTTTCTCGATATCGTAACTGCGAATTCTGGCATTAATTCAGTGAGCGTGTTTCTCGGCACTGGGTCAGGGAGCTTCCAGGCGCCGGCAACATTGCTCGCGGGGGCCAGTCCAGTCGCTGTTGCAGTGGGTGACTTCAACGGAGATGGCTATCTCGATATTGTGACTGCAAATGCCGGCGACAATACAGTAAACATCTTACTCGGGACTGGATCGGGGAATTTCCAGAACCCGACTTCATTCCAAGTCGGGTCTTTGCCGCAAGGTGTTGCAGTGGGCGACTTCAACGGAGACGGCGATCTCGATATTGTAGCTACGAATTTTAACGACAATACGGTGAGTGTCTTGCTCGGAACTGGATCGGGGAGCTTCCAGCCGCAGGCCACATTCACAGTAGGGAACGGTCCATCTGGTGTTGCAGTGGGCGACTTCAACGGAGACGGCTATCTCGACATAGTAGCTGCGAATTCCAACGAAAAATCAGTGAGTGTCTTGCTCGGAACTGGATCGGGGAGCTTCCAGCCGCAGGCCACATTCACAGTGGGGACCAGTCCATCTGGTGTTGCATTGGGCGACTTCAACGGGGATGGCAATCTCGATATCGTGACTGCGAATCAGTCTGACGGTACAGTGAGCGTGCTTCTCTCGCAGCCTTGCGACGCTTAGAAGAGTCTGGGGGTTGTGGACTGTTTGTATGTGATAATGTCTTAATTCTTCACCACATACTGCATGTTTTCCTGGAGGTGTTTCGGACCCTTGTTGGGACTCTGGACACTCATTTGGGAATAATACTCAAATTTGGCATTCACCAACTGTGGAATAGGTGGTCGAGATAAAATATTTCTCCGGGGCGTCACATTGTGCGGTAGATACTTCGGGTGGAGTTGAGGGAGTGGCGGATTTGTGACGGTCGGCGGAGAGTGAAAGTGTTCTTGCCTGCCCCAAGATTTGGAAGCTGAGGGTTGATTCTTCTCTTCGGATCGCCTCTTTACGTGCAGGGATATATATTGTTGTTGTAGCTTGCATAGCACATTGAGTTGTGAGGGGTTAGGATAAGTAAAGTCCATCCATGTTGAGCCTCGTCAAGGCCTATCATGAAGACTTTCGTTGTTTCTTTTTCATAGTTAAACGCAGATTATTTCATGGGAATCGATTACAAAAAAAGCAGAATGTAAACCTTTACTGTAAGGCCAGAAGAGCTTAATAAGTAGAAGTCAGATTTACTCTATGCTTAGAGGGTAGGGGTTTGACGCATTGCGGCCTGACCCTGCTTCCTATATATAAAATCGGCCTCGATAAGTTAAATAGATAGTAACCAATAAGAAGAAGTCTTAAAAGAAGTACGTAGCAAAAGTATACAAGCAATGACTGCAAGGGTACAACAAATGAGCAGCAAGTAAGAAGCACAGACGCCAGGGTTAAGAAGTCAGCTGTTAGGGTTCTGGAGGGAAGAGCCAGTAAACGAGGATAAAAACCGCCAACACTAAACCAAGATGATAAATTCCTGAACAGCAATCAGAAGAGGGTGTGGAATCAAAAGGTAGCGAATCAGAGGAAGACAGTGGATCAGAGTAGTGAATGAGAAGCCATAATTTGGCTAACCAAAGCCAAAAAAGTAAAGTTTTCAGAACAGGGGTATCCCCGCGGCGGAGAATCCCTTTCTCTCACTTCGTTCGTTTCAGGGCAATGATGAAAGTATGGTCATGTACTGTTACATAACTAAATATAAACCATGTCCCAACCTAACACCCTTCCCAGTCCTGCCATAAGATCGTCTGTTCTCACTCTTCCCAACCTCGCCACTGCTGTCACCCAAACCACTTATAGTACAAAAAGGCAAGAAATATTGATTCCCGGCAGCGCAAGATGATCTTTCATACGATACACAGCAAGAGCAGATTCACTAGAAAGCAAATGGCGAAGGTAACGCAGAGATAACTCAATTAGAGAGAAAGGAGGATAATGTCTTAAGCATATTAGCCCTGTCTCTTGCTGAGCATCATACACCACAAGACCAAGAATGAGGAAGGAACACAATGTCACTGATCAATATTATTCCATTTTCGGACCTTTGTGTGTTCATCTCTAAGCTTCGCTCACTCGGTCTGGATAGACTGCGAGCCAAGAATACGTGCGCTGTAGGGAAGCGCTTAGATAGATAAGCTAAAATAATTAGCCACTGTGTCAGAACCATTGATACTCAGCTTACCTTGCCAGAACCGAGGCTAAATCTTGATTTGAGTTGGAACAATGACCAACTCTACACCCTTCACAGAGTTCACTATTATGCGGCCCTCTGCTCTGGCCAGAGAAGTCAGGCGGCTGTACCTCAATTCCATTCCATTTCTTGAGCCAATACGTCACTCTTTCCACATAGCTTCCAGTATCTAGGACTAGACGGCCGACTGCTTTGCAATTTCTGCATCGTTGGTGATACACTCGTGCATTGTATCGCTGTTGAGGGTACATGCGAATGGTAATCGCTACTTTCTTGCTCGACCAACCGCTGGAGTAACATCTGCTGTTTGGACATATAAATCGACCCATAACGTTGGTGTCTCTGTCCTCGATGTTTGTTGCCTCGTCATCGGCGTCCAAGAAATCTATTTGAAGCCCTTCCTCGTCTAATACCTGTGCTACATCATCATGGAGCTTAGGGTAGAGCGACCACGGTTTCGCAGCCTTGCGTCCCATGCGTGGCATTTTAAATCTTGGTATTGGTTGTGAGATATTTTTGGAATGTAAATGATAAGGAATTGTGTTGAGAACCAGGAATATGATCGGAATATGACGTTGGATAGGCATATAAATACATCTCTGGGAGAAAGCCTACCCCGCTCCAATTCAGCAAATGTACCTCCTGACGACAACGCATCGCTGCCGTAGCACGATTTGATTCGTAAATATTCTTTTTGGTGTAACCCGACACTAAATGCGCAACTGGGAGAAAGATTATTGAAAGATCATATGGATGAGCAATTACAAGCTGTTTTCGCTATCGACTGTACATGGTCTTGCGAACACAGTCTTATGTACATATAGAAGAGGCTGCTTTGTAGGCTGCTGAGTATGGTGGTACGAGACATCATGTAACATGAAAAAAGGAGTACGTACATCGTGGCCGAGAATCCGAGAGAACTCATAGTCTAAGCTAAGTGTTAGCCTAAGTGTTGGCCAAAGGGTGTAAGCTAAAAACAATAGTTTGTATATACTATCATGTGCGAATGAGAAATCTAGCTATTGCTAGGATAAAAGCAAGTCTCAAGTTGGCTCTGACGATGGTTCATGTATGTGAGCACGTCACGACGCATTATTATCACATTGCGGCCGTAAGGGAGTTTTGTATATCCGAATCAAAAGCCGCTACGCTTTACCCGTGCTCTTTTTTCCAGGCCTCACCAGCTTCTTGAGAGCTGTGTGTAGGAGTGTGGTAGGAGTGTGGTAGGAGCTATGGAGACATGATTAGTACGGTAATATACTGGCTTGGATCTAGGCAAGCTTGGGCAAGCTCGACCGACGCCAGTGCTAGAAGAGAAATGCAAAACGGCAAAGACCTTCATTTAGTATAATTCTCTCGGTAATACATTTGCCGAAAAGACTATCTATTGCAACTTGTCCGCCACCTGCTTGAGCGCATCCTGAGCACAAGCTTCATCAAAGTCCCCGCTAGGAGCACCACCAACGCCAATGGCACCGATCGTCTCATTTCCAACCTTAATTGGCACACCACCGGCGAGAATCAAGAAATTGTCAATTGCGACGAGCTGGGCGGCACCGGGGTTCTGAATGTTCTTCACCATAGTGCTGGTCACAGTTCGTGCTGAGGCAGCTGTGTAGGCCTTGCGGCGTGCCGCATCGGGGGTGTGAACTCCCGCACCGTCGGCGCGAAGGAGGGCTCGCAGGACGCCCTCGCGGTCGAGCACAGCTGCGGAAACGCTGTATTGCTGCTTGGCGCAAGATTGAACTGCATTCTGGGCGATCTCGACGGCGAGGTTGAGAGGGATGTTTTGTACTTGGAGGAGGTTGGAAGCGGTAGCGGTTGAGATGGCTGCTGCGATGCTAGCGAGGATCCAGAATTTGACCATTTTTGAAGAACTTCGAGTTTGAATTTGTTGTTAAGTTGGATGGTTCGTGAGGTGAGCTGATTGGTGATATTAGGGCAATTGGAGATTTGAAGGATGTTCTGCAATGGTCTGGAAGGAAGAGATAGAAGGCAATGCGTAGAAAATAGAACACCTGAAGACATTCGAGATGCTTATATAGACATTGGCAGAGATCCGAAATTCTGCAGTTCACGTCACTAAGACCAGCATACGCTCCTAATTGGGTAAGTGCCAAGTCCCCGGAAATAACCTAATAATTCACGGATTCAATTCAACGCTGCGCCTCCATGACAGCCGACTGCCAAGAGTTCTAGAGGCAACAGTTAAGATTCGCGCAATGAACAGAATTACGTCGAACTCGCTGATTGACTACCATTGAACGCTTTAAATCTGATAATTTTCAATACCGGGATTATCTAGCAAGTCAATTGAATTCCGCTGTAGTTTATATGTCAAACCCTACTAAAGCAAGGTTATCAATCTGCTGTGGAGAACATAGATCCAACGCGGCTGAGCATTTACCTTTTTTAAACTTTGCCGTCGGTTTCTTCTCGTCGATAGCGACATCAAAGAAAGAAGCCGATGGTTACTTAGGCTGCCAAATTTCGAGTTCGCCATTCCCAAGCATCTAGATCGCGCCAAGCAGGGAAGATCCGCCACTCGGCAACGGCCGAGCGCCGCACTACGCCGAACGCCGCACCGGGCCGTAGTGTACGTTTGACGTATGAACTTCAACTGACAATGGATTTTTGAGCGAACTATATTGATGGGCGCCATTTTTTCTGGGTTGCATGTCTAATTTCCTGCTTCGAGGTAAAAGGTGACACATGGATGCAAGCAGTGGCCATCCTTTCAGCAGTAGGAATGATGCCCGCGCCGTGGGGAGGCTGTTTTCATGTGCTATTCTGTAAGTATTATGGAAATCGTCAAATATCAAAGGGAAATATCTCTATCGTCTTCAGCAATCCATTCAGTTCTTGGAGATTAGGCTGAATAAGTATGGACCATGTTCTACGTGACTCGATAGGCGAAAGGTGCGTCCAATCGTTCAGAGGGGGTGACGACACTTTCAAGACAGAGCTACTGTCCCGGGATAGATTGAGCTGTCTGTGAGCCTTTTCTCATCCGCTGCTGCAAGGGCCTTCGAAAGATCCCCATGACGATGAATGATGGGAGGCCCGCTAATAAGTGTCACTTCATGTTGATTTTCTGGGCCTGTCCTGCAGGAAAGCCTCGTTCGAATGGCCTTCAAATTGGTCGGTTTCGCCACCTCAAGATATTCAAGAAGATCGAATACGACCCTATCATCTGATTCTCTCTCGTTTCCCCAAGGATCATGGTGGTAGCCTGCATCCTTCATCTCTTTGGACGGCGGGAATATTCTCAGGACAAAAAGGACATCTCCATGGACGTTGTACTTTAAAAACTCCTCAAAACATCGACCGTCCGAGACATCAGCGTAACCTCTCCAGATAAATTGTTCCACAGCATTGAACAGAAATATCAACCACACAGACTGTGAAACTGTTTTAGCTGGAATTGTTATGGGTTGAACTCTGAAATCGTTGGCAGCGGGTCGGATCGGCTCCATGAGAACCATTTCTTTGGGACTTCTTCCCTCAAGGAGAAGCTGTTCAACGAGTTCTGATCTGAAAGATATAGCGGCTACAAGTAGCAGGTTCGGGCCAGAAGTAGAATTCTGCTGTTTCAGGCGTCCTAACGAAGCAGAAGAGAGACATTGCAAGTCTATAAAACAGTATACCAAGTCGCATAAAAGGTCGGGCGGATGTTGTGACTCTCTTCGACGCCATGCGCGATGGAAGGAATGCTGGCGATTAGTACCCCATATTCTGTGGCCTTTGAAAGCTTGGGTGTTATTTTCCGGAAGATCTTGTCTTCTTGTACGAACCATTCGAGAATACTCCTCAACAATATGACCAATCTCCTCGAGAAAGCGCGAGGGTATATCATACTTCCCAATTGAGTTGGCCCAAGCTAGCATGAGAAGAAGATCATCGAGCTTTGCTCTTAAAACACCGCCTTCTCCAGCACGTTCCACCCATGTCTCTAGGTCGGTGTCGTCAGATGTGGACAGCGCGAATTTGAATTCCGTAAGCTGTAAACGGAATATGCCAGAATAGGCATCAAATGCTGGCCCATGATCTCGCAGTTGTAATTCCCGAGTATTCGAAATATACTCTCGTACACTCCGATGAAGAAATCCTATTTCGTAGCTGAAGTAATCATTTCCATCTACTCCACCACTGCGTTTTCGGGACATTTCGAGAAGGCCACGGGAAAGTCGGTCCAGCAAGCACGAGACACGCTCAAGTCGCACGCCGACCTCGGTCTGTGTGTATTTTTGTATTGGTAAGTTATAGGGAAAGTCCGGGCTTTCGAGATTCTCGAGCCATGAGTATGCTATGGCATTCAATACAGCTGGTTTCCAGGGGCAGAAATCTGGGATGGTCAAGAGGAACAATTGGTCCGACATGAGCTAATCTTCTGGATCAATAGTGTTGAGTATCTGGTCGAACAGCTCATCTAAGCCCTTTGGCAACGAGTCAAGCTTCCTTTTCAGATCTTTATCAGTGGCATGATATCCGATACTTTTCAAAAGTGAGCGCACAACTAGCCTTGCCTATAGAAACACCCCGTCCGAAGCACTGACAACCTTTATTACTAGGTCTTTATAAGTACCCTTTATCCGGTCAAAATTGGGGTCATTTTCAAACATGGCCAGACTGGAATTTGAGATATCCTCCCAGGTGAACTCGTGAATGCTAATTTGGTGGTTAGAGTCTCTTACGAACGATTGCATGAAGGTAATATGAGGTCGACTGCTGACACAGAGCTTAAATTTCTCCGTTTTAGTTGTCCAGTACTTAAGATCCCGACATAGACGCCAATGATCAACCTCGTTACCTTCGAACTCGTCCAGTCCATCAATGAAGAAGCAAAAATAGCTCTCAGAGGTTCTTGCTTCCTGAATCAGGCGCGAAAAAGCTTCTTTGAGTTCCTCAAAACGAATCGGAGCGGTCGCTAGGCTCGAGGTCTGCCAAGTATCGGGAAACAGCCGTGGGATTAGACTAGGCAATTGCCTGCATGATTCGAACAACAAACTTCGATATAAACCTTCGAGAGACATCTGTTTCTTGTCTCCTGAATTCCAAAAGAAGAATCGAGCAAAAATCAAAGTGTCACTACCAGCCCAGATGTCTAATTCATCCTCTACCCGGGAAGATCTAGCAGGAAACTTCATCAATGTAGATTTCCCTGATCCTGCCTTGCCAAATATGTGAAAAATGCCACGTCCTGAATTGAGCCAAGCAAGGAAATTTTCCCGCGTATCTTTTCGCAGGATTTGCTGCCCCGTTCTTTCTGTCTTATCGTGATATCTCTGGGACGCCATTTCGATTGTGTTATCTTGCGACTCAACAGGATGATCTCTCTGATCGTCTACCGGTTCAGATTCAGAGTCTTCGTCAACCATCCAGGCGAAAGTTCCAGTTTCTGAATCTTCAATACAGTTCTCACGGTCGTACATAGATTTGAAAACTAGGCGCTGTAGCACTTTATTTTCTCGAGAGAATGAAGTTGCCACGGTTTGGAAATCGGTCAATGAGGTCAACAGCTTTCCCAACGATGTCTCCGTCGATTGCAGTACCATGTCTACTGCAGGTGCAAGCTGAAGGGACTGTACTAACGTCACAATAGTCCGGTGTAAACCATCTAATTGTGAGGTCGTCTGGTTTTTGAGCGCTTTGCCCTCGCTGCGAAGAGCCTCCAGCTGACCATTGACGAAAGCATTCTGCTCATCTGTATGTTGACTAGGTTTATCTTAGTCCTAGTATACCGTGAAGTCGATAGATTCATTAAAAAACGAACCTGAACATAACTTGCAGTCTGATCAAAATCTGGGATTGGTACCCGTTTAGTCGTCGCTCGATTGAATCCACATCCTTCTCCTTCCGCATGCTGCGCCACTTCACTTTCAAACCGTCCCATTTCGACTGCCTATCTCCAAGCTTCAAACTTGCAAGTATGTGTTTAAGTTCTTCTGATAGCTTATAGCAATTTGCAGCCAAGGCGCAGAGTTGCCTTTCGTTCTCGGTCTGGGCTGTGATGTCCGTGGACAATTTCTGTGTGACAAGATTCAAATCAACGACTAGAACGGTCAGGCTTTCGTTTTCCGAGGTCATCCCACTTGAATTGGAGAGAACTTTGTTGGCGCCAGAAATGACTTTATAAGAAAAGTCAATGAATGCAAGGATGTTGCCAGCCAGGCCAATGGCCGTGAGGGGATCCATGGCGCAGCCCCGTCCCGTACTAGATGTGAGGTGGGTATGGGGAAGCGACAATCTTCGGCAGATATTTAGGGTGTTTTGGGCCACGGGATCGTGAGAGCGAACTCCGAGCAAGGAGTTGGTGATTTGTGAAGAGACTTCGATGCCTCGCTTTGGGGGCTGACGGTTACCCCGCCATATCGGCCGCTCGAAGCAGCACACCTACGCCTCAGGTACCAGTCCAAAATGAGTACCAAACGTGTGATTATGGAGGGTAGATTCAGTCAGTATTTATGAGCAGATTGCTACAAAACTCAATGTACTAGATACTTGAAGATGAGGCTTTGATGACGATTTCCATACACCCGACCTCTGCGCTACTGACCCCTCTGCTTTCTCCATCACAAAACATCCCCGAGCCTACCACTGAACCTGAATGAATGTCTGATTTGAATGCTAAGTAAGCGATGTTAATATAGATGTATTTCAAGTTGAGAATCAAGTTTGCTTTGACTTTAGAAAGACGCACCAAGAAAGGCTTATCGCAGACAACTCCTCATGAATTCTGAAGGGTTCGCTTTCATATTCGCGGATACCACCATCTGGTTCAATATTGTAGACCACTGCCTAGGTGCTCCATTGATCATAGACATGGCGTAACTATCACTTGAACGTTGTCCCGTTTCACAGCATGCAGAGAGAGCTTGGATTCACCGGCTTGAATGGCTTGACAGCCATAACTTATTTTTGCGATGTCTCCATTGTATCCATACTTATTGGCGCAATAACTCTCCCTTAAACCGAACGAAAGACTTGTCAAGTATTGGTTTTTGTGTTTCTTCAGGTCCGATCGGAGTTTTCCCCTCTTCGTCCGTCAGGCGAATGTGGGGTAGGGTTATTGCGAATGATATCAGAAATACGGCCCATCAAATTTCAATCAGATCAAGTGGTTTAGAGTCTTTCTCTAGCGCAAATGCGTAGCTCCTCGGCCGATTCAATTGAGCAAGGCTGTGAGGCTCCAGCGGCCCCTTTTCGCGCAGATCTGTTCGCCTGAGTGTGCTTGACTTCGTGTTGAGCACACCAAATACGAGCTCTCGCAGATGTCTCAGTACTTTCCTGGGCTAGCCCCTCGGGGTCCGATCCCGCGAAAGCATGCTCGTACTACGCCCTGTTCTGCTGTCATATTGATATTTCCGATTACATTCAAACCTTTGCATGTTTCTGAGGCCCGTTTGGACATTGATTTAAACCTCCCTTCATTTCTTCCGTTCTTCGGATATCTAGGTCTAGAATCTGAGATTTTGACAGCCTAACACTAATCAGAGCATGAGTATCATGTGCACGGGACGGACCTCAGACCTAGGCTTGCCCCCTTCAGCCGCTTCGGGCTTTATCCAATGAGATAGCGCCGGCACACTGCGCCAGATCAGGGTCCAGATATCTTACTGGGGTACTCCGTACAGCTCGCTCCAGTACTCCATACCAGGTCAATGCATTGACCAAGCCTGTCACCACGACATCACCTATTTTCCATAGCAAAATTGAGCAATGACTGAGCAGCCTGGGACTTCGGCTTACTAGTGTTGGTGGTATGTACATAAAAATATGGGCAAACAAAAAGAAATATTCACCCGAAAAATAGTTTCACAACAACGTTGGAAGCTGGAGCCTTTCCGAACGTAATTCATGCGGTTTCCTGTCATTTTTTGTGGCCAATAACAACACTTTAAGCAGTATGACTAGCAGAAATTGGGGAAGGATTTGTGAAACCATCAGGGTTACGGGTCCACAGAGGCCGAACCAACATATCTCCACCACAACCTTGGGAACGCCACACAGGGTCCTGTTCCCCGAATCCGAGAGCCACACTACAACTAACACGGAACTGTTCCTAAATTGGCTAGAATTAAAATCTGAGCCCTTTGAACCCCAGTTCCTTCTCCCAACTGACAGCCGTCCACTCCTTGACCATCAATCATGAACACTCTCGTCTTAACCAATTCATCTTAGACTAATTCTTTGGCACAACTATATGGCAATCAAGGACCTCTTGTCCTCCTAATCAATTAGCATGTTTGCGGCAATGGACCTTTGCAAAATCCTGATATCCCTCACCGCAACTCTGGCTACAGGCACATTGGCGCAAGACGAACCTCAACGGCGACTGAACGAAACACTCATACTAAAGGAATTTCCCAATGCGCTGTCGGCTGGCGATTCATCCGACCCTCTGTTCAGGCGAGCATCCGACAGTCTCTCGTGTCAAGCAGGTTATAGTCTCTGCGAGGGCGAAGCAGTCTGCTGTCCCACTGGCAACACCTGCTGCAGCAACGGGTACTGCACCGATCCCGGCTATACGTGCTGCACCACACTGCTAGGATCATGTCCTAACGGCTGGCAATGCTGTGCAGACGGTGGCTGTGCGCCTCTTCTCGGTGAATGTTGCGCTGGTGGTCTTTACTGCCCGGCTGGTAAACAGTGTCGAACTTGGAAGGGGGAGCAAACGTGCTGCCCTTCATCTGGCTGCTCTGGAGAGAATGACACTGGTGGATCAGAGAGCACACTCCTTGTCGCAACACCAACCATAAGCGCAACCTCTGTATCAACTAGCCCGAGCGGTAGGTCTCTTGACTCTCAGCATTTTAAACATCACAGTGTGAAACTTTGGCTGACTAGTTTGCACTACATTAGCCACGACTACGACCACGCCTGTGTCGAGATATGGCGGAAATTCACGAAGTCACTCGGGGATATCCGGTGGAGCTATTGCGGGTATAACCGTGGGATCTGTCGCCGGCGTGCTCATTATTCTGGCTTTGTTGTTCAGAAAGAAACTAGTGGCATGCTTCCAACCAAGGAAACCAGCCTTCGACTTCGGGCCCGGATCCTCGCCAGGGTATGTGGCGCCCTCTGATGTTTCTGGGCATGCTGCTTTTCCCAAGGCTGGGGTCTCAGAAATGTCCGGGCAAAATACTGTTTACGAGGTTGGGCCACCCGAAACAGTATCATCCAAGCCGCCACAACATGTGCACGAGCTGGGCTCATGAGCTGTTTTATTCTTGATATCTTCCTCTTCAACTGTTTTCACCTTAAACAAGGTTTATATCAGCGTATTATACTTGCGGGAAGCACGAAGACAATATTAATTCATTCATTCAAGAAACAAGCTTTCTCGGGCACAGAAGTGTTGCTACAAGGAGTGTGCTCTCCGATATCGTTTGCTGGTGACTATTTGATAAAACCAATTTGCTATACACCTCGGGCGATACTGTCAGCTCTTTGGGAGTAATGCTTAGTTTAAATACCAAGCCCCTGCGACAATATTTGTGCATCCACTCCCAAAGGCTCGCGTAGGGCCTAGGTGCGTTGACTTGTGGGCATCAACAATTTACTCGACTGCGGTTGGCTCTAAATCATGGCTCAGCTCCTCTTACGTGGCCCTCCTGAGCTGCTCAAGATGATTGGCAGATTGAAAGTGTATAAACTATTGAGACTTGATTAGCGAGGAAGGCGGCTCCAGCTTGCTCTTATTGGTACAAACGTCCAACAAGTGACAATGCTTCAAGTTTCGGATTAGCATTTCCGCATTGGCACCTTGTTCAGTTTCACTTCACTGAGAATTGCAATGAGGCTCTGCATAAATCCAATGTTGCCGCACACGTGTATGTAGGGCCGTCGGCAGGTATTAATCCGTCTCCATGCTCCTCCCCTTTACAACATGGATGTTGACCACAACCCTTACTGTTTGTAAATAATTGTCAGTTTGTAGCACCTGATGCAAATGTAAAGTGTCTACTTCCAAGGTTTGCCTGAACCGTGGCTTTATCCGACTTGGTGACCTTGTGGCAGCTCCCATGGTATCACTTCCGATCCGATGATGACTAATCAACCGAGTCGGCTGAGTGGGGGAACCGTCGGATATTCAGTATGTTAACGAGTTGTCGTCTTTTACTCTAGAAAGCAAAAATAAATCAGATTTATAGGTTCACATACCTCTGGTTATAGGGAGAACTCATTGAGGGTCTCAAGAATGGAATGACGGTGTACGAGTATGGATCACTAGGTATGGTTGAATGTTCGACCCCACACGCGGCAGAGCCCTTAGCCGATCTTCAATGCCGGGCCTCGCGACGGGACTGGCTTCTCTCTGCTACTTCCGACCCCGGAATTTCGCCCGGCATTTTCCTATAAGAGTTGCCGGCGACAGCTACGGTCGATTTTCTGTCGAGCTTCACTCTTCCCTCCTCCATCTCCGCACTCGAATTGTACAGTTGTGCAGGCACATACCCCAGATTCAGTCGAAGAGGAGTCCCGAATTTCCCGGATATACGCATCCTCGGCCCATATACACTTTTTGCCGAACTCCATTGTTAACCACTTATACCCAAAACCACCGCAACAATGGCCTCCCCAATCCCCCGTGGTCTCAAGCAGGTGCTCCAGAAGTCACCGAACGACATTGTCATTCTCTCCTCTCTCCGTACCGCCGTCACTCGCGCCAAGAAGGGTGGTTTCAAGGATGCCTACCCCGAAGAGCTTCTCGCCAGCGTCCTGCGCGCCACTCTCAAGGCCAACCCTAACCTCGACCCTGCCCTGATCGAGGAGTGCACCATTGGTTCCGTTCTGCAAGAGCTCGGTGGCGCAAAGGCCGGCCGCATGGCCCAAATCCACGCCGGATTCCCCAACACCGTTCCCTTCAACACCATCAACCGCCAATGCTCTTCCGGTCTGGCCGCTATCACCGCCGTTGCTAACGGCATTCGCGCCGGCTCCGTTGACATCGGTGTCGGTGGTGGTATGGAGTCCATGACACGCAACTATGGCTCCCGCGCCATCCCCACCGTGCTCTGGCCCGAGCTGAAGGAGTCTCACTCCCAGGATGCTCAGGACTGCATCATGCCCATGGGTCTGACCTCTGAGAACGTCGCCAAGCGCTACGGTATCTCCCGCGCGGACCAGGATGCTTTCGCCGTCGAGTCGCACGCCAAGGCCTCTGCTGCTCAGAAGGCCGGTCGCTTCAGCGGAATCGTCCCTACCACCACCAAGTCCTACTCCGCCGAGAACCCCGACGCTCCTCCCCAGGATGTCACCGTTACCCAGGATGATGGTATCCGCCACGGTCTCTCCCTCGAGAAGGTGGCTGCTCTCAAGCCTGCTTTCGCCGCCGACGGCGCCAGTACCGCCGGTAACAGCTCCCAGGTCAGCGACGGTGCCGCCGCTGCTCTGCTGATGCGTCGTTCCACCGCTGAGGAGCTCGGTCTGTCTGGCTCCATCAAGGCCCGCTGGGTCGCCTCTGCCGTTGCTGGCTGTGCTCCTGATGAGATGGGTATCGGCCCTGCTGTTGCCATTCCCAAGCTGCTCCAGAGCGTTGGTGTGACTGTTCCCGAGGTCGGTGTCTGGGAGATCAACGAGGCTTTCGCCTCCCAGGCTCTGTACAGTGTCCGCAAGCTTGGTATTGATGAGGCCAAGGTCAACCCCAACGGTGGTGCTATTGCTATCGGTCACCCTCTCGGTGCTACCGGTGCTCGCCAGCTGGCTGATCTGCTGCCCGAGTTGGAGCGCAGCGGTCAGGACATTGGTGTTGTCAGCATGTGCATTGGTACCGGCATGGGTATGGCTGGTATGTTTGTTCGGGAGTAAAAAAGCCTTGTGTTCTCCGGAGTTTTTCTTTTCCTTCTTATGTTACACCATGATATGAGCGATGCAGTGTATATACATTTTACATTCAATAGATGATTGTATTCTCGATAGTTCTTCTCCCCTTTAATCGCATGCGTTATCGCGTCGATGTGTAGTATCTAGTAAGGGAATTCCTCGCCCACCAACTTTTCACTCAATCTCCATAGCCTTTCTGCTTCGAACTCACTTGTTGTCCATGGTTTCAGAGTATCTTGCAAGGGATCTGCGATGTGTGAGTCGATGAGATAGGCGCCATTGTTCGCTGGTTTGATAGTATGTCAGCCTATTATCTGGAACCAATTTGCAAATATGCACATACCTTTGAGCAGTGGGTCGAAGGAAGCATAAACATGTGTTGCGACGCCTCTTTCTGGTGTTTTGAAATCAAAGGATGTTTTCCAACCTTCCGCATTTCCCAGCCGACGATCAGTTGACCCTAAACGCGAATTAGATCAAAAGTACGTTGGACAGTCTCATCGCAGAGCCAACATACAGAGTCCTTTCACATCCACATCATCCCAATCAAGATGACTGCCCAAGTTCGTGAGAATGACACCGGGATGCAAACTAAACGCAAGTAGGCCATGCTTGATCCCCAATTTATTCGCCAACGACAATGCCATCAGCATATTGGCTGTTTTAGACTGTCCATATGCAACCCATTTATCGTAGGTATTTCCTCCCTTTCATAGATTTTTAGCAAAGAAAGTTCTTCTTTCGTCGCATGTTTATTCCTAGGGTTCTTCACTCACATCGAAGTTATAATCATCAAACCGCAACGGACTCAGTCGGTGCCCATCACTAGCAACCGTAACAATCCTCGGGCTAGTGGACTTGAGAATCTTCTTCATAATCAAATTCGTGAAAAGAAAAGGACCAAGATGATTCGTAGCAAATTGTGATTCAAATCCATCTACCGAAACTCGATATTCCGGCGCCATGATCCCGGCATTGTTGACTAGGACGTCGATGGCGGGAATATCATCCCAGTTGTCTACTACCTCGGCAGCTGCTTCACGTGTACTCTGCAAGGAGCTCAGATCCAACTTCAAGGTGCGGATTTTGACTTTGGGGCTTGCGGCTTGGATTTCTTTGGTACATTGCTCTAGTTTGGTTGTGTTCCGGCCGGCAAGGATGATGCAGGCTGGGTTGGCTTTTGCGATATTTTGAGCGTAATACCCACCTAGTGATCCTGGAGAAGCTCCTGTGATTAAGATTGTCTTGTCTTGGATGATGGATTTGTAGTCGTTTACTAGTTCGCTGGCTGTGGTGTTCGTGTCATATACTGGGGCAGGCATGTTGAGCTGAGAATGCTGGCGGTAGAGTACTAGTAGCAGTGGCAAATGATGTACTATGGAGCAATATTCATTGCTTTTATATACTTTGATATTTAATTTCCTGAGTAATCTGTCCTTTCATCTATTGAATACGCAGTGCAATAGTATCTCGGGGATATCATCGGTAACCCCGATTATCTTCGGGTCCATTTTCAAGTTCGGGGTTAGGTGGCTTATGACCATCTGACTCGCCAAACCCCAATAATTCGAGATTTGACTATTTCCGTTGATTCTTGTTGGGTTTGGAGAGTTATGTGTATATCAAGGTAGATAATTGGGAAGTTTGTAAATAATATTTTAATTGAGAATTCACTCCGGTCAAAGTTCTTAGTCAGAATATCCCCACGCATGTATATTCTCGAGCCCAGATCACTCCCGAGCTGTGACCGAAACAATCGAAAGTGTCAGTGCGAGGCATAATAAGCTGAACCATAAATACCCGACTGTAGATTAAAGTTTTACTCATCAATCAGAGTACTCAACATGAAATTCGACTTAATGTGATGATACTACTAGTACTACTTACTATGTAAATGGCCATAGTCAAAAATGCCAAGCATCGACATCACGTGATCCGCATCTCAATTTGTTTCGCCGACCAAAGATTGCCCGCGCATCAAGTTGATCACATCGAGTTCCATACCGCAACCATGCGCCCCGTCACACGCCTACCTCTGCGAGAGGCACTGTATGTCTGCTCGAGCTGCAGGCAAGAAGCTGTTCCGCGTGTCTCCCCGCTCGCCCGTCAATTCCAACACCAGACCCGTCGCTACGCCTCCGACTCCCCGTCTTTCCTCGACCGCACCCGTCGCAAGTTGTGGAACTCTGAAAAGCCACCTGGCGCGGCCGATCCGTACACTGGAGACTCGCAATTGTCACAACAGTCAACTGCCGCAGA